TATTCCTACACAAGCTCTCTCTTCTGTTTCCAATCGATCAACGGCTGTTCCACGTATTCCTCTAAAATCAACACCGTTGTCAATCCCAACATCCTCAAATCCACCTGTATCATCTTTAACAAAAAGCACGACAATTCGTACACCAACAACAGCATTAATTGCCCCACCAAAACTAAAACCAACTCCATCCACTCAATGTTTAAGTTCCACAGAAAATATACGTACAATGCACACAAATCCTCAAATGACAGCAACGACAACAGGCTCAACACCACTACCACGAAAACAGCTAACACCGATTCAAGTATCTGCCAGAAATCTATCGTATCGATTAACCAATAATTCGAATACAACAGGACACCAATCTCATTTGACGAATGGAAACTATCATCAGCTACAGCAGCAACAACAACAACAGCAACAACACATGAGTAAGAGTTTTATTATGCCATCAAAACGAGCTGGTAAGTGTGATGTAGAATTCTTCCATCACAACTATTCTGTTTTGCTAATACTAGATCATCGCAGTGTCAGTTCATTATCCGTTACGTCGAAGTCTGATTCCTTGAATCTAGACGATTCAGATTTTCCCCTTCCGTCACCGACATTTCTTGACGGTTTATCAGACACATCTATTAGCACAAAATCAATTCCCACCACTTTAACGAAATCGAAACCAACTGTCGTCAGTACAATGAATTTTAATCGATCAAAACTGCCATCATCAACCAATATCACAGCATTAAAAAAACCATCAACAACGTTTCGTGCTAACGGCCGACCGCAACCTCCTGTACCTGGAAAAAGTGGTCTTGTTCCACCATCAATCAAACTGTCAACATCGGTATCACTAGCACGTCCGTTAAATAAATCTCTCGTTTCATCAACATCGAATAATTCATTGACAAATGGCAAAATTTCCACAATACTATCTACGACTAAACCTGTCCCCCCTGTTCCACCACGTAAATCCAGTATTCCTCGTCCATCTTTCAAACCACAACCACCACAACGAGACTCGTCAAATAATCTTCTACAAAAACCTCATATCAGTCATTTATGAAAAGAAGTATTTTGAAACTAATGTTAACTCTATCTGCGTCTACTTGTTTTATGGCCCCGTGATAATAATGACCACAATTTATAATATATGTATACTTGACGTAAACGCTCGTAACACACATCTATGCAGTGAAGTTTTCTTATTGTCTTTTTATTTGTTTGTTTGAATTTTTTTCAATTTTTAAAATATCAAAAGTAACTCGTCGTGAAGCTTTTCATTTCTTCATCATTTGCCAGTCGATAAAGCACATCTTCAAATCTCTCAGTATATTATTCGTAAATATGCATAAACCATGAGCTAAAGTACGACATCATTGCTTCCAAATGAGCACTTATTCAAGTACTTATCCATCTGAGTATGTATTATTGACTGAATTCGTACAACTATGAGTAACAATTGTTTCATTGATTGAACTATTCACTAAAAACAATCATAAAAGAAAAAAATCGTTTTTCTATTCAAACTCTTATCTTTGAATTGTTCGTTTTTTTTATTGTCATCAGTAATATGAGCAATCTTTACAATATAAATACGAAAGTCGTGTCTATGGAAGAAGTAACAAATTCAAGTATTGTTCTTATTTCTATCTGGAGATGCATTTTATATGCTTCTTTGTTCTTTCATTTCTCAGACATGTACAATATTACCTAACATGTATTGTTTTATGACATAATGATGTGAGACAGACATGCATACACATGAAATGATGTAAGTAAATGTTTGATATTCCAGTAGATGAGATCAGGTTGACTAACGGTAGAAAAAAAGCCTCACTCCGATAAAATAGGAGGATTTTTCGTTGTATTCAAATATTTGATTATGTGATTTTAACGTATGAGCATATGCTTGTTGATAAAAAAAAAACCATGCGCGTATGTTTGGATCGAACGAAAAAGTCTGTAAGAAGAAAAACATGTTCGAGACACGCATACCCATACATATGCACCTATGTAAATAATGTCTTCGACTGTCATGACGATAGAATGAATAAATGTGATGAATTAGTCAACTGAAAACGGAACAGGAAAGAAGTAAGATTGACATGTTTTTTTTTCGACGAACGTAATTAGGGATGAGATGAATTCCACGTTAATCTTAGCAACAAGAATAAATTCAGTTTTGAATACGTGACATTGCGTTATTAGTATGACGAGAAAATTCGTAGCGAATATCTTTATTCGAATTGAACAGCTGATTGTAACTTAGTAAAATGATTCGAATAACATGAATATATGTATGCAAACTCAAAACATAATGTTGTTTTTGTCAGATTTCTTTTCCAATTCGTTTTTTTTTCTTCTGTGATCCTATTCTTCTATTGCCATACCGATATTGATGACATTTTTCTCATTATTTTCAGATGTGCACATTCTATACATCGTATTAATGAGAAAAACGTTGTGTTAATTCGAAATAACACGAATATACATATCTTCAATGAGATAATTATGCATGTTTTTGTTGTCGTTTTGTTATTGAGTTTTATTTTCTTAAAACATACTTTAATCATCGAAATTTAATATGAATTGTTATGTTTTATCGTACTAAAAAGTACTAATGGAGCAAACGCATTACTTTATAGATCAAAATCGAATCAGTCAAGTTTTTACTCTGAAATTTTCTAAATGGTTTATACATTGGATCGAGTGAGTAATCATTTGTTTTTATTTCTTCAATATTCTCCTCTTTACGTCGATAGAAAAGATCGTTCCAGGTCTTTAATATGTCATATAGTATTCTTCAATACATCGCTGAAATTAATATGTCATTAATCAGTACAAATTATGTGTACATATACCGACATCTGGAGGTAAAGATTGAATTCAACCTGTCATTTCGAATTCGTGTCGTCTTAGTTAGTTAAGTTATTCAGTCGACAGCATTAGTGCACTAGGGTCGTCGTTTCTAGATAATTAATGTTCGTTTACAGTTCACATTCAATTAGCTTCTGGTACTGAAAAGTCAATCTATTCAGTTATCAGAATCATTGGAGTCACCGAAAATCGGATCTATTTTTTATGTGAGTAACGATGAAGTAAATGACGCACGAATCTCTATTTCATTACATTACTATAAAAAAAAGCCTCTCGAATTAAACGAGAAAAGTCAGATGAATTTTTTTCGTCGAAAACTTACAAATACATGACGAAGTAAAAGCAATAATAATAGCGTCGCAGCAAAATAAAGAAAACAACAGCGTTCAAATTCAACAATTCAGCTAGTATAATAAGGCGTTTAAGATTATTATTTTCTCGAAAATCTTTCGTGTGAAAACGATGCACTCAGACACTATTCAGGATTCTAAAACAAACTCAAATGAATGAGAACCTTTCCAATTGGAGATGACACAGCTAGACTGATGATTTCATTGAGGCTAATTATGATTGATCGTTGTGACCCATTGTCGTATGAAAACAGCATGAGAAGTTTCTTTCGTATCTAACGTTTTTGGCAAGGGAACAGATGTATTCCGTTTTCGATTGCAATGTACGAGTTTAAATCTGTCATTTGTATGAAATCATTCTTTGTTTGCTTCCTGATTTGTGATGAATAAACATTCTCTATTTTTAATCAAAATCATTCTTTCTATCACACAAAAATAGATTTTACTTTTTGAAATCATTGTTATTGATTAAGCAAGGTGAGACTCAACAGTTCTTCATTATGTTCCATCAATCACTTTATTATTTTAAATTGTTTGTTTTTTCAAATCTGTTCGATACAAATCATGTCCCACTCGTATGAAATTCATTGACAATACTAAACAAAACACTAGTTGTGAATAGAAAATCGACAAAGATGATAAAAATTTACTCAAAACATACACGTCATCAGTTTATTTGAAAGACAATCTAGAGCAGCGATATTTTTTTACTCATAAGTTTCTAAGGACGTAAGATCACATATATTGTCTCTATGTTTAATGCGAAGCTCCACTAAATTCAGGAAGGTACACTTTCTAGAAATGTATCATAGCTACCCATATGTATTCGCCTACGTGTTTTTAAATGATTAACTAACCAGATGTTTGCTACAATAAGATTTGGTAGTTAATACGATGTGTAATTTTGAAAGAAAGTGATTAAATGTGTCACATGAATGATTAAAAATATTTGAGTAAGAAAATGCCGTTGCTCTGAGTGACGATGACGTTGGCGATCGAAAGAGATCGTATGTCCAAGTGTAGGCGTGAGTCAACGCAAATAAGCGAAGAGAAAATGTGAGAACAAAAAGGAAAATGAATTAAACAAATGAAATAATAGTTGTCATTTGATGATTTGAATAAAAATTACACGTTTGCAGTTAAAGGGTAAGTGAAAAACAAAAGAAATTCTTTTCTCAGATTTCATTTTGTTAGAATTGTCAACAGAAGTTAGAACTGATTATTACTTGGAGGCATATTCGCATCTGATTTAAATTTGCTTTTGAAGTTTATAGCTGCCGCTACTTTAGTATTTTCTCTTTATTGATTGAACTTGAAGAGCTTCTCAAACGATGTGTGCATTTAATTGCCAAAAGGCACATACATCTTTGAATGTGACTATATTCAATTCTATTCCTTCTTCTTTCTTTTTCTCCTTCGATTTTTGTACCTTGCGTGCAATAACGAAAGTCTTTGCATCATTAATACGTCCATGGAAGAGTGCATAGTGCGAATATATTAAATCAATAACTTTTGAGAAAAAAAATATAAACTTATTTTCACCTCGGATTTCATCCATTTCAATGGTTTTTCTCCTTCATTGGATATTTATTTACCAACATATTAAATTCATTGGTTTTTCTTGATTTATGCGCCTAATTTTGACAAATCAACACAATGATTGAGTGTTTTAGATTTTGAAATAATAGATCTATTAATATATGTTGTTTTATCATCAATAAGTGGCTGTTTTCTTTTGAAACTTTATTCATTTTCCAGCGAAACAACTATTTCATGCCTTTATTGAAATTATTTGAATTAATCGAAAATCTTCTTGGTTTTGGTGAACATGGCCTTCAAATTCAACAGAGATCCGCTCAGTTAAAACGTAGATTATCAGAAGAGCCGGATTACGTTAACAGAACCATCGAACACTCTCCGATTGTCCTATCAGATTCGTCAAATGTGAGTACCCACCTGTTTGATTGTTAGTCTAGGGAAATCGTTTATTTCACATGTATTGATAATTGAAAAGCTCTCATGCATTCTTCATAAATATACTAAATGATTATTTTCTCAATAATTTACATAAAATATTTCGATTTGAAAACAATACGGAACAGACGAGTTAAAAGAACCCGATTTGCATTCCTTGAATTTAAATAGCAGACTGTATTGGTGAGAATTGCTAAATGTACTTCGAGAACAAGTAAAATATTTTTCTTGTTGACATAACAAGAAATCCGCTTTCAAAAGATCTGAAATGAAACGAAAACAAATATCCGACGCGCTGAAAATCTATATTGTTGTCGATTTTCCCATGAAATAGGTCAATTTTTAATGTCAAAGCAACTTGTGTATGATTTGTTGATTTTGATCAAAAACTACATGTCTCTGTACACTGTAGACACAGTAGAGAAAAAAAAGAATTATTTACTCGTTATAATCTTTCTTTAAAGACATCTAATCGGTGAGAGGCGAGTTCCGGGTAGAAAAATTGACGAAACGCAAATTACTCGCTGTAATTTATTTCTTTACGAATCTGGACTAATTTTAATATGGATAATTATAGGATTTCTTCGATGAGATTGAATGGACAAGGTCAGTAGAGATTAAATTTGAAAATATAAAATACATTCATTTATTCGGTTACTCTTCATACATTCTCTGTAGTTTCAATATCAGATTTCGTTTAGCGGATCAGTCCTTCTCTTTGTTGATGTCAGGTCTGATATTGATTTTCTAAGGAGAAAAAAAACTGCCGCGTATTTACATAAAAAACGTTGGCATTACACGACCAAACTCAACCGGGATCACTGTTTCTATAATTACTAGCTGAGTATAAAATTCAATACGTCTCTTTTTTTCGTATATGTGCATGTCTATGTCATTGGCAATTATGATGAAAAAAATTTCACACTGTCAGATGACACAGGCAGAACGAACAAGAAGAAAGAAATAAGATTTCAACCCTACGGAAGATAATCACGTGCCTTAAATGACGAAATCGTTGAACATCATCCGAGTAATTATGAAAAAACAATTCTATCATATGAAAATCATGTTTATTGCTATGAATAGTATTGCTTTCTCTAGCATATCATGATATGATTGCATTTTTTAAGAGGATACTTGACTATAGAAGTATCAAAGGAAAAGAAATGAGAAATACTTCAAAAAGAAAGGATCTAATTTGTAAAAATCGAGAACTATTTTGTAAAAGATGAATTCATGATTGATGTTTAAAGCGATTAACTTTCCTTTACGAGACAATGAATAGAAGAATAGATTGATTGTATTCTTTTCGTCCAATTTAGAATCTGAGTAAACAGAATACACCATCGAGAAAAACGTGTCGTCAATCACTTCCATCACCACACAATAGTCGAATTACAAATAATATTCGCGGTCCATCATGGTGGTTATCATTAAGTTTTTTACTTATTTCTACTGTGATTGGTTTTCAATCTGGTCTTGTTCTTCTTTGTAATGTGAAACGATGTATTACAGATGAGTTACCTTCTCAACATGAATCAAGTAATATGCTAATCACTAGCAACAATCGAACAAACGCAATCGCACCTGTTAATTTACCACGTGTATCACAGAAAAAACAATTGATTCTTATTGCTGTTATGACTAGTAAAGATTTTCTAACGACACGTGCGCCAACAGTTATGCGTACGTGGGCAGACAAAGTTCCTGGCCAAGTCATATTCTTCTCTAGCGAAGGTTCAACGACTAATGATTCACGTATTAATCTGGTCAGTTTACCATCTGTAACTGATACTTATCCTCCACAGAAGAAATCATTTCTTATGATGAAATACATTTATGATCATTATTTAAATAAATTTGAATGGTTTATGCGTGTGGACGACGACGTTTACATCAGAACAGATAATCTCGAGAAACTATTGCGGTCAATTGATAATCGTATAAATAAAGATCTCTCTTTCTCTTAATTCGAATTTCATTTCTTTCTTTTTTAGGCAGACCTTATTATATTGGTCAACCAGGAATGGGAACAAAAGAAGAATATGGTCGATTGGCTTTGGGTGAAAACGAAAATTTTTGCATGGGTGGACCTGGTATAATTATATCACGTGAAACATTAGCTCGTTTTACTCCACATATAAAAAAATGCTTGCAAAACTTCTATACATATCACGAAGATGTTGAACTTGGCCGATGTGTTCATAAATATGCCAATGCATCATGTACATGGTCATATGAAATGCAACATATTTTATACAATCATCCGAATAAAACGGACGGATATCGTGCAGCAAACCTTGTCTCTACTGATATTCTTCGTGCTGTTAGTCTACATTCGATAAAAGACATTCGTGTATTTACACGTGTACATAATTTTGCTTTACAACGACGGATTATGGAACTCGAGCAACGAAATATGTTGTTGCGGCGTCAAGTATATATATATGATCAAATACTTGACATCAACAATCAAATTAAACTTCACATAAAAAATCTTTCGAAATTGATACAAAAAACAAAGAATGAGCAAGTCAAAATTAGATTGAAACAACAGTATAAAATATTAAATAAACCCGATCAACATATTGCTGAACAAATCATGTCATTATATAATAATACATATCGATTATTTGTTGATGATACTACTGAGCCACAAGGTATACGACAACGTTTCGAGAAGCATCTTTTATATTCTCTCTTTCATTTTAGAATATCACTTTTGGAAAGTTTTACAAAAATATTTCAACCAATCGCTTAACTCTTCATCTTCACTATTGATATCAAATGATTTAATGTTTCGTTCGTTATTTGAGCCTTCGCTTGCCATTAAGACTTATCAGACAAACCATCATCAATATTCAAAACGAACGAAGACATTAAATAATTATCACAATAAATTTTCTCGTCAGAAAGATGCCAGTGTGTATGAAATCAATGAATCCAATGTCTACACATTATTTACTGCTAGCCAGTATTCAGCAAACACAGAACTGCCAGTACGATCGGTTGAACCAGCATATAAGCAATGTTTCGATGAAGTAGTTCGTACATATATGGAAGAAGTCAATAAAATCTCCAGAACGATGGGTCGATTCTTAGAATATAAAAAAACTCTATATGGCTATTATAAATATACGCCAAGATATGGAATGAATTACATTCTAGACTTATTTCTTATTTATCGGAAGTATTCTGGAAGAAAAATGTCGGTAAGTTATCGATAGATTTAGCTTGAACTTAGGTGTATCATGTTACTATTTAGCTTCCTGTACGAAAACGTGTGTATGTCGTGCAAAAATTTCGTCCTCTCTACTTTCGCGAATTATCTTCGTCCTATTCAAGTGCAATATTACTTTCCTCGGGAGCTGGTTTTCCTAATCTTGCTGATAAAGCTTCACCGGTGAATGTTAAGAAAAATGTGACTTCGACTCCTTCCGTTCCCATACATATGATTGTCCCCGTTAGTGGTCGTCTTACTACACTCAAACGGCTATTGACTAATTTTGATCATATTGTCATGCGTTCGAATGAATCTGACCTTCTGAATATATATCTTTACATCGTTTTAATGGAAACAGCTGAAGAAAGCGGTGAACGAATGTCGACAATAGTTGATTATGTGAAGAAATTTATTGATAATCATCATACATCACGTATACATCTAATCGAAGTTGAAAAGGGAAATTTTACTCGAGGCTATGCACGCTCATATGGCGCTTCTCGTTTTAATGATACAGATTTATTATTTTTTATTGATCTCGATATGGTCTTCACTCGCGAGCTATTCCCACGTATACGTCATCATACTATTTGTCATAAACAAGTCTATTTTCCAATCATATTTAGTCAATACGATCCACATTATTGGGAAACAACGTCAACTCAAATAAATTTCTCATCATTTCATTTACGTGATGATATTGGATACTGGCGTCAATATGGTTTTGGTATGTTGGGAATTTATAAATCAGATTTAGGATCGATTGGCAATTGGAATGTGGAGATAAATGGATGGGGAAAAGAAGATGTAGAAATTTATGATAAATTAGTTAAATCTGCAACTTTAAATGTCTTTCGGACAATTGATACAAGTTTGATGCATGTGTTTCATACAAAAGAATGTTCACCAACGTTACAAGATGACCAAATGAAAATGTGTAAAGGAACTAAATCAATTACGTTAGGATCACAGCGTACATTAGTGAAACATGTTCTAAAAACGATTCAGCTCAATAAAATCTGATATGTTTTCATGTTTTGTTTTTGAGTTTCATCTTTTTCTTTCCCGTAATCAACAAAATAATACACCGTCTGGATGAATATACTGAGATACATCAGCACTAGGCTGTATTCATATGTTTTTTCACTTATACAACGACGAATAGTGTAATTCTTTCTGAGAAGTTGAACAATAGCATCGCCAACGACTTGAGTAACATAATTAATACGATAATGAAAGATATTGCAAAATAGGCAATCGACGGTTCGGTTAAGAGAATGCACCGTGAATATTTGTACATTACATCGAATTCAAATTCAGGTGATCGAACAACAATCGTATAGCATTTCTTGGATTTGGAGTCATTGTGGTGAGTTAAAACTATAATTATTGTTCACAATAAGTCCTGATAAGTATGCAACTAAAGCAGTACGATATCGATCCTCGCAATAGAAAGTACATTATATTGTCATTGTATTCATACTGTATACTGGCAAGAATTTGGTTTTCACATGCTATAAGTGCAACCTGTATTTTCCATATCAAGTATATTAATAAATCTTATTATTTCTTGTATTCCTATCCATATACTATGGATCGATAAATAGTAAAACATTTGTACATGTTTGAGCTATTATTCATTGTATAGTTCACCGACTCTGTATAATAAATGGCGCAAAATTATTTTCCACTGATTCCTACGCATGTTCTTTTCTTCGGCAACTGTAATAACAGGTTGCTCGTGATTTGACTGTACAGAACTTTTTCTTTCTCTATTTTTTTGTCATATCCTCTCGTCTTCATGTACACCATACTCGAATACTTAGCCAAGGACACGTATGCATAGAGCAGGAAAGATCTACGCAAACAAAAATATTACATACGCAATGAGAGAAAAGAGAGAGAAAAAGGAAATATGAGAGCACACTCAGTTATATCTGTTGTATCATTAGTGATACGAAGTGCAAAAGTGGAAATACTCTCATCTAGTATTTTCACAAATGCGGAGCGTAATTTATACTGCATATTCGATTTTCCTTGTTTGCACATTGTTGTTTACGGCGAGTGAGTAGCGTGATATTGATAAATTACACCTAAACAATACGAATACTGTTCTCATCTATAGATGCATTATCTCTCAGACGTTATCGTCGTCAAACAAATAAACATAAAAAAGATGGTCTACCCTATGAAGGTTGGTCGGGAGGATCAAATAATCCAAGTGGTGCCAGTCCGGGTGCCTACTACGGTAAATTAACCTTTTAATTAGACGATCGATCGGAAATTTCACGTGAAATTCTTTTCTTAACTGTAGGTACTGGAATCAATCCAAATTATGGCGGAATTAAACCACATACAAATAATGTTGAAGGTGGAATCAGCGTCATAGGTTACACTCATGAGTTCACTCATAACGGTGGTAACAAATTACATTGGAACCAGCATCAAAATTATCAATACAACAATAATTATAATAATCAATGGCAAAGACCAAATATGTACAACTACTATAATCGACCTTACAATCGCTATGCACCAGGGAGCCAAGGGTGGTATGCAAGTGGTGGGAATTATTGGCATAATAAAGGTCGATATCTGATTCCTCATACTTGGATACTGATAGTCAGTTCTATAATCTCTGCATCTTATATATTGTAAAATATGCTTCCTAATGTATTGTTATTGAATAAATCATATACATGAATCGGTCAAGACAGAGCTAATTCATCTCTCCGTTTCAGCTAACTGATCATGTTTGATCAACGTAAAATAGTTCAAAGGCTGCAGATTTTATTTGAATCAATTCCTTCTTCGAGCACCAGTTAGAACAACCACTCAAATGGCTTTTGTATGCCATTATCAGTCGAATTACATAACAGTAATAACAGTTAATATCTCACAGCTGCAAAAGGACTCAAACAATTCAACTGGCACACATGTAATACAGTAATCCTTCAAGTGGCTAAAATCTATAAAAAAAAAACTCAATTGCTAAAACTTAATCATCACGACCACGCTCAACAAATGGTGAAAGACAGCGCGTACAACAATCTTATACAAAGCCGAAACGTGTGTCCATATTCAACTGCCACGTAACAAACATCAGTAAAACTATTTCAACATATTTCACCACCATCGATCCCACATTGAAAGAAGATATCCTAAAAATATCTCGGTATAAATTTTACACGCAAACCTTCCATGCAAATCGAAACATTATCCACATCCATTTTAGGCGATTGTCATACAAATCTACAAAATAATTCATTCTAACACGATTTCAAATAGGGTCTCCCTGACTGTGTCAGACTACCACGATGAGAAGAATGCCATAGATTGATAACATCTGAGGAGCGCGCACATCACTCAACAAAAAATGCCCATGTAACCGAACGGTAGAAATACCAAATTGATGGCGTGACTAGTTCCAATCTCGCAGATATTTTGCCGAGTGAAAACAAAAGCTGGACACAAAAGCCATTTTTCTCAAAGAAATTTATTCTCATGTCAACAGCCAAAAATCATGTACATGAATGAATGCAAATAACGATGCTTCTCTCTTTCTTTCAGAGTACGTTATATCCCCTTCGTTTTCTGTACAAAATATTCTTGTATGCGCTATTGGAAGCACGTCTGTCAGCCTATCGATCCATATTCAATCGAGTTGCATCTAACACGCCATTCATTTGCTACACGACTCTCACTGAAAAATACCAAAGAGAAAAAATTCCCTAAAACGCCTTTTTCATGCACAGTTCATTCTCACAAAACGTTGTCCCTAAAACTAAATATATTCATATAAGTCGTCCAGTTTAATTTTGACTTATCTCAAAGTCTGTCTTTTCCTGACCCATGATCGACAGTTGCAATCATAATATCCCTTCAAATTTATCTAATCCGAATGTAATTTTTACAATAGTACTTGGAACGCCAGCCCAGGAGATTATCTCACCTTCGATCTTACCATCCAGATTTATCGAAACTACAAAATTATAAAACGGCATTTTCACCTATCTGTCGTGTATTACTGCTACCGAAAAACAGTCAAATTTGACAAAAGTCCAATATAGCTAAGCAATATGCATCGAACCATCTACAGCATACATTTCACACAGATCACATATATTTAAATAAGAATCTTCCAGGCCATGATTACTACTACAACAACTCAACGATTTGGCTAAAAGACCGTCAGAAATTACCGCCACAAAATCTGTCTCAAACACATGTCTCACTCTTTAACTTCTTCAATCGATAACGAAAAGTCCAGCTGCATCAGCCAAAACCATTTTCAACTTCAAACATGTCATAATCAAAGCAAGGGGGGGGGGGCTACCCTTAAAGCAACACAGATATTGCACATTTGAAAAGAATCAATTTTGTTATCTGCATATACATATGAATGCATATCAAGTAAAGAAGAAACTATGGCAAGATGATCTGTGAAACACGTTAAAATGCAAAACAATGATGNGTCGTTTTCAACGAAACTTGTTCTCGTGTCAACAGCGAAATATCGTGTGCATGAATGAATGCATATGACAAAGCTTCTCGCCTTATTTAAGTCAACACAAATATTGCACATTTGAAAAGAATCAATTTTGTTATCTGCATATACATATGAATGCATATCAAGTAAAGAAGAAACTATGGCAAGATGATCTGTGAAACACGTTAAAATGCAAAACAATGATGAACATACATGTATGCTATAAACAAACGATAGCAATATGAAAGAATAAACGTTCAAGATATTTTATTTCTTCGTCGATCCAATCTAGAAAAGTTGAATACAATCCAAAGATACACATAGATGATGAATATTTATGTGAATCGATTTGCAATGTAGAATTCGGAAACAAACTAAATCTCGAACTGAAACGTAATTAATATAGAAATGCACAACTAGACAGCATGATTTTGAGGATGAGAAAAAGCACAGCGTCATTCAAATGAATGAAAAAGAGAATGTGTCGTACATCGAATAGATCTTCGATGTACACGATGAACAAATAACATTTCTATGGTTGATATTCACTAAAAGAAAGTAAATTGAAAAAACTAGATAACATAAGCCTGACCTTTGTATGCATGAAATTTTCAGATCAGACGAAATTGGTTTGTATAACGACGAAGTGCATATGTAATCATAGGAAATATCCGGAACGATCTAAAACATCAAGAAAAAGAATGAAATGCAATGGAAAACTGAATTGAATAAGACAGAATAGACGAGTAAAATTTGGTTTGATTCTATATATTGCTGATTTGTTTGGTGAAGAACAAATAAGAATATTTCGTTGTATGACATCTATTACCGAGCGTAGGGAGAAAACAAATGATTCGATATCTTCTAGAATTTGACGTCCTCGAAGAATAAGTAAGACGTCAAATAGAACAAGTCGATGACTACGAAGAGAAAAGACATGAATGGAATAAACGATTGATGATAGATCTTGAGAGTGAGGACAACACGACGTCGATCGAAGAATTGTTCAAAATTAACACATGAAAAAAGACGCAAGATAAATGAAATTCCGGCAAACAAGGCAATCTTGCATTGTAATTACGATTGTTTCTTGTGTATAGAGAAAGGTGCTTGCCGAAACGAAGAGACTGTCGGATGGCATGTGTCATGCATGTATAGGAGTTAGATAAACACATCTGGACACAACACATGATTCGACTTTTCGTTTCATTTCAAGTATGAACAAGTGAAATGATGGACCGGCTTGTTCGTGAAAACTGAATAAGCAAATGTATTGTTGGAGAATGAAATGGAAGAGTAAATTGAACATGTAACTGAATTGATATCGTACACGATGAGAAAATGAAAAGGAAAGTCGCTGTTATATGTGTGCGATGTAATTGGAAAGAAAAAAAAAGATNGACACAACACATGATTCGACTTTTCGTTTCATTTCAAGTATGAACAAGTGAAATGATGGACCGGCTTGTTCGTGAAAACTGAATAAGCAAATGTATTGTTGGAGAATGAAATGGAAGAGTAAATTGAACATGTAACTGAATTGATATCGTACACGATGAGAAAATGAAAAGGAAAGTCGCTGTTATATGTGTGCGATGTAATTGGAAAGAAAAAAAAAGATGTGCTTGAAGACTAGACAATGCGGTAGCATCCGATCCTAGTCAGATAAAAAGGGGGCGCACCATATTGGTATGGTCTATTACTTTAATACTTTATAATATAGTATTGTTTTACTAAATGAACAATGTGTTCAAAACAGGTGATAAACAAGTTGGATTTAAACCGCTAAACGGATGCGGTGTTAATATATCGTGGATCTACTCATTATTACAACATGCATGATTAAATAAAAATTAAATATACGCTTGTCTTGCTGATATATCGAGAGCATTTGATGCAGTGTCTCATTAATCCATTGTTAGATTACTAACACAAAATGGTGCACGATCTCTGGTGATAGACTTGATAGTAGACCAGTACACTAATGTTAGTACTGTCATAAACTGTGCAGTTGAAATATCAGGGAGAATTGATATTTCAAGTGGGATGAAGGAAGGGGACTTGTTTTCTAGCCTTCTATTCAACGTTATTGTTGATGAACTATTTGATGTCACACAAGACCAGTATATGGATATGTTATTATGGGAATAGGTACCACAAATGCACGTTGCTTCGCTGATGATCTTACATAAGTATCTTCATCTAGAATTGATCTAAACAAACTTATCAGTCTTGCTACAAAATTCTTTCAAGAGAGAGGATTAGATGTTAATCCTTCTAAGTATATCACAATTGGTATGATTAAAGGATACAAAGGTAAGAAAAGCAAGATCGAAACAGAAGCAATATTTTCGATCAACGATAATATGATACCAATGCTTGGTTATAATGACAGGACAACGCGATATCTAGGCGTCGACTTTACCTCTATCGGTGCTATTAATGTTCAAAAAGTCAAAAGGGAGATATCCGATGCACTTGATAAACTCGAACATCTTAAACTTAAAGCTCAGTGTAAATTGGATATATTGAGATTGAATGTAATTCCGAGATTATTTTTCAATTAATTCATACGGAGTTATATCCAGATTTTTTTAACTACAATTGACATACAGGTCAGGAAGATGGTTACCCAGGTCAACAAATCCGATCGGATCTCACCGGATCCGACCATCCGACAAAATCCGATCGGATCCGAGACCGTCGGAATCCAATGCGATTCCATCACCAGGATTTCATCAGATCCGTCGAATTCCTGTAGGATCTGATAAAATCCTATATTGGATCCGATGGGATCCGAGTATGGGATTGTTCGACCTGGGTAAACGTATTTTACATCTACCTGTATTAACAAGTAATGAGTTTTTCTATTTACCGATTAAAGAAGATGGTCTTCAATTAATGAACATCAGAGAAACAGTTAGTCTATCGAAGATTAAGTTATACAAGAAAATAATGAGTGGTTATGATCCAGTGTTACGCTATCTAGTGCAGACTCAAAAAAATCGAATAATTGATCATTTTATTATCAATCTCAATCTTGAACAATCGCTATCTTTAGACGATGTCAATCAAATTAAGGATAAATTAGTTAAAGACAAACGAAATTCATTTATCCAGAAAATTCATGGTGTTGGGTTCGAAGTTTTCTCCACCAGTCCATTAACCAACAAATGGATGAAGAGAGACATTAGAACAATGTCAACACGAACGTTTATCAACTCAATTAAACTTCGGACCAACACGTTAGAAACGCGAGTAACAACGACTACAGGATTAATCACAAACAAGGTTTGTCGAGGATGTCATCAAGCTGATGAAAGCTTAATGCACGTACTTCAAGTCTATCCTACAACGAAAGGACTTCGAATTAATCGACATCATATATTATGTGTTCGAATAGCCACCAAGTTACAACAGAAAAATTATGAAGTTCATCGCGAGGAATCGTATCCGGATCCAAACAACACGGATATTTATTTAAGGCCTGATTTAATAGCAATAAAACCTGGAAATATTATGATTCTTGATGTAACAATAGTATATGAGATATCGGCAGCTACATTTATCAATGCTTACAGGAATAAAAGTGAAAAATATAATCCGATAATAACGCAAGTTATGCAAAAGTACTACTGCCACATACGAGAATGTCATGGAATGGTCATAGGTCCTCGTGGTTCAATACATGCTTCGCAACTTCGACATTGGCACAACATTGGAATGTCCTCTACCAAACTCATCTACACATCCATAGGATGCATGGAAGACTCATTAAAAATTATGGCTATCTTTCAAAAAACTAATCTTTAGGTCGTCTCTTCTATACTCTACAGTAGTTGTATTAAATTTACTCTTCCTAGTTTCAATCTTCTCGATATGACGACTGCTGTTAATGTTACATCCAATCCCCATTTCATATGTCAGTGAAGGTTTCCTACCTGATTATCCTTATCGAATGCATATTGTTTGTACCATGACATCCATAATCATTTAATACAGTTCCCTAGTATTAGTCTTTATTGTGATCTTTCTTTTATTGTCATCTTTCTTGTTCTACTGTTTTTTTTTCATCAGTTTTTTGTCCAAAATTGAAAATAAATATAAAGTTAGCTGGTTCCGTCCGAAGTTTCCCTCAAGGTAGCTGGCATTCAATTTTCACAGTTATATCCGGTAAAGCGAATGTTTAGAGGCATTGGGTGTACAATACGCCCAACCTACTGACAAACTGTAACGGGTGTGGTTGTGTGAGTGTAAGATTTGTGTGGAAAAAAGTGTAGGATGTCAATGGTTGAAGTATTCCGCCTGTATCTCTGGTGTTCGCTATGTATGACTATGAGATTGAATGTTAGTTATCAGTTCTAGTTGAGCTTGGCGCCAGCTCAGGCACGTCGTTGACGTTTGAAATTAGATCACTGGGATGAAGCTGGCCGGGCCCCTGCTAGCGTTCGGTTAGAACAACTGAACTTCGTCCGGAAACGTAAGCCAATTAGGGGACCACGTCACCCGGCAGAGGGGGGACGGTGATAAACTTTGTTGTTTCTTCAAACGGTCTATCATAAAACATGTTCTCGTGACATGCGGACATGACGGATGCGCCGAGCAGACAAAGCTGGTAACCCTGCAAATAGTTCAACATCTGGTTGGGGTCTGCAACCCCTCCAGATGACCTGAATACACACTTCCTATGAACACAAGAAATACACGACAACAAGCTCGAGTAAACCCTTTAACTCAGCATGCGCATTCAGATTCGGACATGATTGATAACGATTCTCCATCAACTGTAAGTCAAGTTGCTGCACCTACAGTTTACATAATAGAGTATCCGATCGAAGGGAACTTATGTCTAATATGTAACGACACTAATTGTCGTATAAATCTTGAAATCCGTGAGCATCTGAATAATGACCATAATATCCATGACATTAAATATAAATGTAGAATATATGATAGACTTTTTGCTACTATTGGGAGTATTAAATCACACCATCCTGCATTTAAACGGTAACAATTAACAACGAATATAGTAGCTAGTAACAAGCCATTATCATCTACAACACAAACATCTACTATCACACAAAATGCACCCTTAAATATTCCCGGACTACAATGTGAAATTTGCTATAATGAAAATGTCATCCACATTGCAAAAGATAAAAGAGGCCTCACATCACATATGCGAGTCAAACATCCTGAAGCATATGAAAAATAGAAGAAAGTTGCGAATATACGTGTAGCTTGGAATAGAGACGAAGACATCATGTTGGCAAATCTTGAAATAAAATTAAAATCGATCCAAAAGGGACAAATACTTGATCGATTATGCAGTGAATGAGATAAACTTGTTAAAACATCACATGCTAACCGTCGTTCTACAGATGCTATTCGCACTCGAAGACAACAAGCTATGCTTATAAAACAATTCTAAATGATCTCCAGAAAAAGGACACGTCGGACTCACAAGATCATAATGTCGATACAACATCAGATGAAAGTTCACCATCGACTGAATCTGACTCTGAAATTAATCAACAAAATACAGCAACAAACTCTAATATCGAAGATGTGAGCGTTATAGAAGATATGCTAAGGGATTTATAAGCAGTTAACAATAAACTGTCAACCTTTATGAAAGATGCTATTCAAGCATTCTTAAATCCCAATAATGCTATGATGCTGTGCAACTGACGATGTTAGGGATTACCCACTGACTTTCCAACATCAGAAAAAAAGAATAGAGATAATACCAGTAGCAGAAAAAGAAAAACAAATATGCTTGCTACGAACAAGAAACATGCTCGAAACCTATCTCGTATAAGAAAAGCAAATGAACGTGCTTACTATCAACGTTTATATGCCAATAAAAAATCTAGGCTCATGGGCGAAATCATTAATGGGGTGCAGCCGAACATCGATCTACCACCTATTCATGAATTCGTTCAATTTTATGAACAAATCTGGTCCGTGCATTCGTGTGATTAGCATCCTGTTGTAATAAAATCAGCGACAAACAACAGTAACATTGAACTGCTATCACCTATTACTAAAAGTGATATAGAAAATGCACTGAAAAGGACCAAAAGAGATACGACTAAAGGTCTTGACTTGGTAACCGTGCAAGAAGCAAAACAACTAGCGAACGTCGATCGTCTCGTTGTTTTCAATATCTGGCTAGGTAGTAGACGAATTCCATCTGGCCTAAAAATCAACCGCACCACTCTAATTCCAAAAGAAAATATATATCTCGACAAGATCACTAACTGGAGACCTACAACAATATCATCGGTTCTACTTCGTCTATTTAATAAAATAATAGGGTACCGCATGAGCAAATATTTTGAAATTGACAAACGACAATTAGGCTTGACGCCAATTAATGGATGTAGCATGAACATTCTATGGTTACATCATTTACTTAAGCATGCAAGACTTGAGAAAAGGGAGGTTAACGTTTGTCTGATCGACGTAGCTAAAGCTTTTGACTCTGTTCCTCGTGATAGCATATTTCGAGCTCTGACATGACATCGGGCTCCACTCTCTTTCATTGAATTGGTACGCAATCAATACATTGATAGTTGTACTTCTATATCGTACAAAGAAATAAGCTAAAAGAAAATTTTCATCAAACGAGGAGTTAAACAAGGCGATTCATTATTATCACTACTGTTTAAGGGTACCCCCCCCCCCTCTTTTTTTATGTTTCTCAAAACTCAGCAACGGCGAGTCCAATCGAGCTGAAATTTTCACCATAGATAGAGAATCGAAATCCATTAGACACGTGTTCGAGAAAAAATTTCTTTTACTAAGTCTTCTTGAGATGCTAGTAAAAACTTACTATTTCAGCCCTGTTCATTGTGACCAAGAAAACTCAGCCAAATTTCGTCCGTTGGTGCTGAAAATTGTTCTAGGGATAGTCGGACTTATTCTCCAGAGGTAAAATTCAGGGTTTTCAAAAATACGCCTTAATTTTTTTTTCAGCAGTAAAAATACAAAAAAGATCTCTGAAGATCTCCCAGAAGCCTCTAAAAAAACCGTATATATCCGACTTGGATGATCAGAATCAAAATCGACCAACTTCACCTCTGGAGGATAGTCGAAAGTACCGCTGATAAAAATTTCAGCCCGATCGAATAAGATTAAGGGAAATTATCCCGGTCACAATGACGGGATTTGGGCAAAAACCTAGTTTTGAGAAAAATGACAAATGAGGTCCCGGACCGACCCAATTTTTTTGCACCATTTTTATACTCAACTTCGCGCGGCGAATCCACTGGATACGAAAAAACAGTTTTTTGAAAAAATTTTTTCAAAAATGAGGGGGGTTCGCTCAACTTAGTAACAAATGAATTACTTGAAATACTCGATCATGAATTTGGATATCGAATTGATAACATTGGATCAACTAACATCAAATGTTTTGCCGATGATATATGTTTAATATCACGATCTAAGATTGGTATAGGACACATGATTTCTGAAACGACGAAATTTTTAAATGAACGAGGATTACAGGTAAATGCTAAGAAATGTATGTCCATTGTTCTAGAAAAAGGTTATAAAGCTAAAAAAAAGCAAGATCGTGACTGAACCGGTATTTACCATCAAGGATATATCGATTCCGATCCTAGGATATATATAACGAATCATACTAAGTATCTTGGCATAAAATCTACATCATTAGGCTCGATTAATGCTATTACGGTTTGAAAAGAGATAAATAACACTCTTATAGAGAAGATAGAAAACAGCAAGAGATGATATCAATATCGTTACAACTACTACAAGAGGACTATAAACAGATAAAATGTGCAGAAGATGTCATGTTGAAAATGAAAGCCTAATGCATATACTCCAATACTGCAAAAGTACTAAAGACTTACGATATAGAAGGCATAATCAAATATGTTCACGAGTTACGGATAAATTGAAAGAAAGAGGGTTTGCAGTATACGTCGAAAAAGCTTTTACGACAGATATAACAGGTCTACTCACTACAATAAGACCTGATATCATCGCAGTTAAAAATAATCCTGCCTGTGTTATTGACATACAAAATGTTTATGAATCATCAGGTGCATCATTTATTAATGCTTATAGTATGAAAACCCAAAGATACACTCCACTTACTGAATATATTAAACCAAGACACCAATGCTCCATGGTTTCATTTAAAATGCTTATTGTTGGATCAAAAGGTTCTTTCCACCATGGACACTTGGACATCTAGCACGAATTTCGCTTCTCTTCCTCGGAATTACGCTATTTGGCTTTAAACTGTTTGGAAAATTCATTGAAAATCATATATTCCCTCCACAACAACCTACGTGAATTTCCGGTGCAATAGTTAATATTATTAAGGGCATACAACAGGACACTATTGACTTAAGTATTAGATTCTTTTTTGTTTCATCCTTTCAGTACTCTACTCCTGTGAAGTGAACAAGCCATGAGTGCATCATAACTTGACACCATCAAGATGTCTCAATGACGATTCGCTCCGAATATAGATCCCATATGAGTCAGATGTATGCTGTTTTTATCCCATGTTCACTTTCTTGCACGTTCATGATTTAATGTATGTTTCAATCTTTTTTTTATTTGCATATCCTGACGACCTCTAGGGTCCTAGCAGCACATTGGTTGAAAGAAAATGGGAAGAACGGGGGACGCGAGAACAATAGAGATTATTAGAAGTATCTATAAATGGACATTCACACTTACAATTCGAGTTACTACATCAACAAAAAGAAGAAAATAAATAAATAAATAAGTTTTACAATTATTTTTGGGGAATTTGCATTACAATGATTGGTTACAAAATATACACTGGAGAATCCCATATACAAATGCATCGTTGACTTTAGGGTAAGTGAATCGATACCTAGTAATTCATACGTGCGACCAGTTTATGAAGCAGGGGAGGAGCGAGGAACAAAAAGAAACAGAGAGGCATGCGCGGAGAGAGAGAGAGAGAGAGAGAGAGAGAAAGGAGGGGAGAGAAAGAGAAGAGTAAGGAAGAGAGAGAACGAGGAGTGAAAGGGGAAGAGTACGAGAAATGGAAAGAGAAGAGGTGGATGAGAGGAGAGGCAGGAACAAAGAGAAAGGAGAAGAGCGGACGAGTGGAGGAGTACGGGAGCTGAGAGAAATTGTGGAAATGTGGTGAAATGGGTGAGTGGATTGGTGAGAAGTTACATGAGAAGTATCAGAAAGTTTCAGGAAACGTTGCTAACGGTAAGATTTCGTCGATATCATATTCAACTTGTGAGTTGTGAGATGGTGTCTTTTTGCACCATTCCGCTATTCTGCATAATAATGAATTGTGTTGGACAAATCTCTTGGACCTATATAAATTATTAATCTTGATTTCTTTATTTCGCCACAGCTGTCGAAACGCGTTGAAGTTATCTTGTTCGAGGAGCAGAACGCTATCCTTGCTTCCCGCTAAGGCGTTCAAATATTTCTCGCACTATTTTTCGCATATTGCTTCCAGAGCACACTCGTTTGTTACGTATGCGAAAAAGTCGTCGTTCCATTGAAGACCAAACAAAATTCTTTTTAGGCAGATGTAGTAGAAATGGGAAAGGTCGTTTTGTTACCTTTCGGTAAATAGCGGAAAGAATGGAAAGAGCCAAGTGAATAATGGGAGGATGAACGTGTGGAAGAGTGCTTTTCGTAGATTGAGAGACGTTGTACCATTTATACGTAGGGCTTTTATCCTTCCAATAGTTTGTCTGATTTTTATCATCGATTTCTCGATCATGGTTCCAAAGCCCAACTTTGGGGTGATCCAATAGCCAAGGTATTTGAATTTCTTTACCCATTCGATCCTTGTATTGGAGATATTTAGGTTGAATTTTGGAGCTCCGATTGCTCTTGCCGACCAAAGTTCCTTGGTTTTTGTGAGATTGATAGGTTGGCACGTGAGAATCGAGTAGTAATAGAGGTTGTCAAAGAAATTTTTAAGTTTCCTTTGGAGTTCAATACATTGTAGAGTGTACTTCATTCCAATACCGCCAGCAACCATCGCCGTCAAGTCGTCGGCGAAAAAGTGGCTGAGGCATCCGCCCAAGAAATCACCCATATCAGAGTGGTACGTGTTAAATAGCGTAGGGGAAAAAATCGAGCCTTTAGGACATCCCTTTGGTATTTTGAACCATCTTGATTTCTTACCTGCAATTTATATGTAGGCTCTGCGTCCAGAAAGCCACGAGTAGATCCATGACAAGTAGTCGTTTGGAATACCATACTTTTTAGTTTAACAATGCAGCCTTCAAACCACAGTTGGTCGAAGGCTGCCTTAAAATCAACGAAAATTGTTGCTACTGGAGAACTATTTGCCATTAGATTGGCGACTTGATCGAAGAAAAGGAGAACTCTTGTTTGCAGACGAAAGCCCTCACGGAATCCAGGTTGAGAGTTTGGTAGCAGCCCATGCCGATTAAGTAGGTCTTTGAGCCTATCTTGATACAGTGTCTCAATTGTCTTTAAGAATACATCCAATAAAGAGATTGGCCTAGTAGCACTAGGTTCGCAGATGTGTTCTTTTTTTTCAAGTAGCAGTATTGGTGTATCCTTCCATAGTGCTGGAAAGTAAGCGCTTCGGAATGAATAATTGAAGATGTTTGTTATTAAGGACCAATATGGTGATGGTAGGAAGTTGAACATATAATTAGATAGCGCATGTGCATCGACGGATTTTTTCTTTTTCTTGAATAAAACTACATCCAGCACTTTCTCTGTCGTTACTTGCAGTATTTTTTCGTGGAAGATAGCGGCTTCCATATCCGGCCGGTCCGTATACGGATGTGGATAATGAATGTTCCGCGGTTCGAAGAAAAATTCCTCGTAATAGTTCGCCGCTATCATACACATTTCACCATAATCTTTACACACTGTTTTGTTCGGTAGTATGAACCCGTGTATAGAAAAAGACGTCGCTTTCATTTGTCTTTGTATTTTAGACCAGAATGTCATTGCTTCTGGTGAAACCGTGTTCCTGACTGCCAATGATTTGAGTAGTTGATCGGATAAGAAATGTTTGAGTTCTAATTTTGCCGTCTTTCTTCTGTGGTTTACCGTTTTCTTGAGTTGTAGATCACACGTTCGTTTTTGCCTGAACGAGAGAGCTCGAGTATACGACATATATGTTCTTAGGTATTTTGGTAGTGCAATTCTGTACTTGTCTACCGGAAAGATCACCGTGCAGCGCTCTATAAGTAGAGACAAAAACGATACGTAGTCTTCGTAAACATTGTTCATCGCTTTGAGATTCCAGTTTTTTCCCAATATGGATAGACGTAGTCACAGAACCCTGAGAAAACATTCCAGTGAATATTTTTAACGTATTCGTTCTCCTTCGTTGAAATTGGTAATAGCGCTAGGATTGGTTTATGGTCGCTCGAAGTTCCACCTTCGTATGTTTGTACTCGAATTTGAAAACCTGTTGAAGTTGCAAAGTCGATAATTCTGTCGGATCTTTTTGACGTCGGTAATGCTGACAGGTATGGCGAGAGCAGCAGATTATCTAGCCAAGCTCTAAATGAGTCCGCGGTGCTTTATCCTGTTCGAGGTCAATATTGAAATCGCTGAATAGCGCACAGTTATTCGACACTAGTGGAGTAAGGTCATCCCATGATCAGGTTCTGCTCACGGGTGCGTAAACACCTATCATCCGTATTGGCTCTTCCTCCATGATGTCTATTGCACAGACATCTGGAATAGCGCATGGTACCAGACTTGATCTAATTGCCTCACGGATGAGTAACACTGTACCGCCATTTGCATTTTCACCTTCTTGATAATAGGTTTTGTAATCGAAGAAAGTTTGTTTACTGTGTTGAAGATCAGCAGCGCCGGCTTCTAATAGTATCAGTATGTCGAATTTGACGGAGTTCGCTAGGAAAATTACTTCTTGCAATCGAAGATCAAGTCCTCTCACGTTGAAGGATAGTATATGGTAGGAGTTACGAGAGGCTATCGTCTCGTAGAAGTTAGACTGTTTGCAAAGATTTAGGCAGTCCGTTAAGAATGGTAAACTTTCCCACTCTTGTAGGATACTCTTAAGAAGAAGAAAGTCGAAATGAGAGAGTGAAGATTGACCTTTTCGCAAAAAAAGTGTCACAAGTGCATAACGTATAAGGAATTGTACACGAGAAAAAAGGAGGTGCATTCACAGATAAAGACATTAAAAATCCTTACCGATTTTGCAGTTGTTTACTTGAGCACGGATTCTGTTTGCTATCACTTCGAAGTCGGCGTCTTGTGTGCTGCCATTTTTGTTGATATTGATGAAGGATAAAAAAACGAAGAATGTCATCGAGTGCAGGTAAGACTAATTTTGTAAACATGTTTTCATGCCTTGTTACTTTAATTTCCTGTTGAATGGTAGTGATTTTAATTTCTTTTTCATTATTGATAAGTTGGTCAACTTTATCAGTGAGGATTTCATCGGCAGTAGTTTTTTCTCTCATAAATTGTTTGAAATTGTCGTTTTAATTTGATATATTATTAGGTGATAATTGTACTTGTTCTAGACTTTTAATTAATACATCAATTTTGTTGTTCATCATACTTTGAGCTGGGTTAGTGCCAGCTGGCCAATTGTATGATGTTGATGACGGTGTAGTGCGATGGGTAACAGGTTTGAAGATTGTTGTTCTTTGAGCAGGGAGCAATGCTAGAAAGTTGGCGGATGACATGTCATGTAGATTGTAATGAGGAATTGCTTGGGCGACAGGTGCGAGAAGACATCGAGTAACGTTTGCTCGAAATTGTTTGATAACTGGGCATTTCATTTCGTTCGCCATATGATCGCCTTTACAGTGTTTGCATTTTAATTGCGTACAGTTTGCTAAGTGGTTTTTCAAGTCTGAGGTTATATTCCCGCATTTGTTACACGTATCATGTTCCTGTTGACATTGTTTGCGAAAGTGGCCAATGCCCATACACTTGCTGCAGATGAGTACTCGAGCCGGACCTAAATACTCATCTACATCGTAGGTGAGCGAGTTGATAAAGATCTTTCCACCGTTCAGTAGTTCGTCCCTTTGCTCGTTGTCCATGAATTCTAGTTTGACTAGTTTGATGGGTGATTGAGGTTTGTTTTTCAAACGAATCACGTTGGTAACCGAAGAGTATGTTGATTTGATACCATTGGTAAACTCAATAAAGTTGATTGACAAGCTTACATTTTCAATAATCAGAGATAATTGAGGTGGGATAGCCGGCAGAGGTTGTAGATTGTAAATTAAGCCCAGAATTGATTTAGACCAGATATTAACCCTAAGGAGAGTTGAGAATAATCGACTATTCTTGGCAAAGATCAGCAAGCCACTTTCGTTGCTTCCGCACTTTGTATTGGATTTGCGGAACCCGCTAAGTTCAAGATCCGTATTGTTTTTAATTAGTTTACATAATTCTTCGGTAATTCGTTTTGTCATCGATATGAGGTGTTGAGAAACGAAGAATAAATGCAGGATACGGGTATCGTGATTGTGCAAAGGCTTTCGCTTCCCCCGAGATTGGATCGTTCAGGACGTCCCTGTCCGGATCAGCGCTCTGTGGTGCTGGTGGGATTTCAGGTGACATTAAGCTTGTATTAACATTAATATTCGTCAAGTTCGGAGAGCTTGAGTTACTAGCTAATATTAAGACCCTTGCTTCCGTAGCTGTTGTTGGTGTATCATACGATTGTTGTTGATAATTAAATGTGTGATTTTGTTTTGCTTTTTTCTACTTGTAGAGTCGTGTTTAGAAGAATTGTTCCTCGACCCATCCATTTCGGATGATGACAGATGTCCACGACATGGAGAGTTTATTAAAGGGTTCGTTGTTTGGATTTTTGCAGGAGGGTTTCCGATCCCATTGTTGGACGAGCAGTTGTATTGATCGTTTGGGCCGGTGATTTCACTGTCCATTAAGCTTTGGTACGTCTGTTTGTACAATTCCGATGTTGCGAGCGAACTATAATGAGACGAATTGCTGGTTTTGGTTGACTCAGAGTCGACGATTTTGTATATCGTTCGTTACTCATGCTTGAATTTCTCCAAATTCCCCTAATACGAAGGTTTGGAGCACAGTACGATGCTCTTGAATATGTTATTGTGTGATGAGAACAAAGACTCTTTTCGTTCTATTGAAATGTTAGTCAGCTGTAGCGAGAAAGAAATACGTCTTAATCGTATAGTGTCAAAAGGAGAAGTGAATGTATGTTTCAATCTGTCGTTTCTCTGTGTGTTATTTTTTATCAGTTTTTTTTGAGAAACAAATTGAAATAAATCAGAACTAGCTAGTTTCGTCCGAAGTTTCCCTCAGGATAGCTGGCATTCAATTTTCACAATTATATCCGGTAAAGCGAACGTTTAGAGGCATTGGGTGTAAAATATGCTTAATCTATTGACTTTTGTTTGCTATGATTGATTGTGAAGGGAAGGGTGGTAGTCTATTTCTTCTAAGGTCGGCGTCAGTTCGAACAGGTGTTTACCTCTAAAGTTGAAATACTGAATGGAAACTGGTCCGACCACTGCTTGAATCGATTAGTATGACAGAGCTTCGTCCGGAAAACTACATAAGTAGTCGACCACGTACGCCCCGGGGAGGTGAAATGCATGTCGGTTCCTTGCACGATTCTTAGAAGTATAAGACATGAGAAGTAACCTTGCGAATAGCTCCAAATCTAGTTGGTGTCTGCAACTCCTTTAGATCAAACTGAATACGCACTTCCAACGAGCACACGACGAAAAGTTCGAGCAACTATAACTCGGCACGCGCATTCAGACTCTAACACGATTGATAATGATTCTCCAACCCGGTCAACTCACGATCCTCGAGTAACACCATAAACGGTTGAGCATCCGCTAATTAAACGTGCCTGTCTTATGTGTTATTTTTTATCAGTTTTTTTTAGGAAAAAATTGAAATAAATCAGAACTAGCTGGTTCCGTCCGAAGTTTCTCTCGGCATAGCTGGCATTCAATTTTCACAATTATATCCGGTAAAGCGAATGTTTAGAAGCATTGGGTATAAAATGCGCTCAACTTATTAGCAAACTTTAAATGGGTGTGAAGTTCATTTTTCCACTCCATTTAATGAAGCGTGGGTAAACGGCGGTAGTAACGATGTCTCTATTCGGGGATCTAGGGCTTTTTGAAGGATATAGATGATCTCTGGAGAACTGCCGAACCGCTCTGATAGAGGGTAACGAGTTATTCCTCTGTAGGTATTGCGTTTTGTTTGTTGAAGTAAATTATGTGGTGAGTGTCGGCCGAGTGATATTACGTCCGTGACGTGGGTTTAGGCTAGTTTTCTCGAATTTCCTGGATGGCCGAAAGTAAGACGTGACATCATTGAGGCTCGTTACAGTTTGAGATTAGTAACAAGCTTCTTAAGAAAAGAACATCTTTTTCTCTGCTCTATCGACATACACTAATTATTTGAATGGCGCTGATGGCTTACCCGTGGCAGTAATGTCCCGATAAGATTCATTTGCACGTTTTCGAATAGGGGTTAGTGTTGATCAATGTGGTGGAGAAAGGAAATGTGGTCGTATCGCGAAGCATCTCTCTTTGCTACTCACTGTGGCCTGTCCTCAACTTTAGCAGTTACACTAGTAGCTGAACTAAAACTATTACTGTTGTCACAGTGAAAGTAGCACTCTCCATGTCGTCAGAGTTCTCTCTCGCTGTAAAAAGCCAAAAGACTTACACGTCTTAGGTATACTACGCTGGCGATACGCAAGGGAGACAGCAAATTCAGTAGATTTCTGAATTTTCTTTCCTCTTTTGAAGTGTCGTCGCCGTTACGACTGGGCGTCCTTCTAGTCTTACTTCTCGACTGTAACAAATATGTAGGAAAGTTGAAATAAATGGCCAAATGCCTCGTCATCTAATTACCCAGGTCGATCATTCCGGCGACTGGATCCGTTGAAATCTGAGTCGGTTCCGGTACAGTTCTTCTCGATTCCGGCACAGTTTTCGCCGATTCCAGCAAGTTCCGACAGGTTCTTTACCGCCGGATTCCGGCCGGAATTGCACAGGAAGTATCCGATCAGTTCCTGACCGTCTCCAGCTCGAAGTTTGCAGGAAACGGTCGGGAAATGACTGGAACCTACGTTTGAACTTCCGGCCGGAATCAGGCGGCAAGGAAATGGTCGGAAAACGAACCTAACCGGCCGGAACCGACCGTGCCATAATAACCTGGGTAGTGACACGCACGAGGGGAAACAAGGTGGCACCTTCACGAGGGGTTTCCCTGTTAGTAAAAATGATTACACGTAGTCGTTTGAAGCTAACGTCGCCAACTAGACATACAGATACTGTTTGTCAACCATCTCTTCAGACGAATCCGGAAACTACATCAACCAGAGTGGACGGAGGAAGACCTGGAGATAATGTAAATAGAAAAAGAAAAAAGGTTACGGTTGACATTCATACAGTCACTCAACGTACTCAATCGCTCGAAAAAAGTCCTTCTGGACAATTAAAAGGGTCGAGTACAGGAATCTCTGTTAAACAGAGTAGAGTAGGACAATGGACAAGCCGTGAGGAAGAAGAGCTGAAGCAGTTGGCCACCCTACATACCGATCCGAAAGGAAAGCTTTCATGGACAAAAGTCGTGGAAGCTTGGAGTACCATGAAGTTGCCTATACGATCTAAGGCAAGCCTAAGTAGTAAATGGTCTGATATAAGAGCCCGAACCATTTCACTAGACGCGGCAAATGAACAGGACAACACTGTCTTGGCTGTAACAGCCGACGTTGGTGTACAACAACATCAGAACACAGGCATTGATAACAGTCAAGAGGTAAACAGAGCTGTAAGTCCTAAAAAGAAGGAAAAATTAGGGGTAGTTCTTGCGGGGACTCCCAGTTCGGTAAAAGACAACCTTAAACTGGACAAAACCAAGGAAAAATCTGAAAAAGACCCGATCGAAGTACTATTCGCTAAGTACTTGAAAAAATCAAGAAAAATAGGTTGTGAGGTATACCGTAAACCGACCAGACGGATCATACCTAATTTTGGCACACAATCTATCATAGATAAAGTCGATCTCATTATGAGTGATCAGATTATTTGGAAGATGAATGGCGAACCAACTTGGAACCAGTTATCAATTCTGATTTACGCTGGAGCTATAACTATAGAAAAGTTATGTAACCAGGCGTCAGAGGAGAAGCGAATGCGCTCAAAAATGTGGTTCAGTTCAACATATCAAGAAGTGGACAAGCTGCGAAAAATAATCGGGAAAGCTACACCAGAGCTCAATCGAAGAAGACAATGTTAGCGTCATTGGATATTACTTCATGACGCTACCTTCTACAGAGTTGTTTTCTTCCATTTCTGTACATATATATGTATATCTTTTTCTTTCTTTCCTGTCGTTTCAGTTTTCGTTTGGTTATCATGTCCGTTCTCATGGTGATCTTTGTGATTGTATTTCTTCGTTGTTTTCTTCTTTTTCTAGTTTTTTTTCTCAGATCATCTTCGATCTGTATATATGTTCTTATTTTTCTCTTTTCAATCAGTCTTTTGTTATCATTTTCTTTAGTGTTTTATTTGATTTCATCTAATAAAACACCCTTATCATCTCATCCACATCCATTCTCTTCAACTCTCATCCTTTCCAGTCACCTCAGGTAGGTTCAGCGACGTGAGTCTTGATCTTACATAAGATCATTCGTTCGATTAGTCGATTCAGCTTACGATCAAGTCCGTAGCTGGAGGTTTCTTCACATCCCTTGATACAAGAGATTCACAAACAAGTTGCGGAAGTAGCACCAACAACTCAACAGCTGAGCAACATCCGGCTGCTTGAGAGGAAATATAAATGTAAGAGCTTTGATAAAACAAGTAGCGCTCATCCTTTGGATTCGCTGACCCTTTTCTGAAAGAATCGTCCCAATGCTGACCACATTCAAACACTTTGAAAGACAACTTAGACACTGCGATTGCTACTAGTCCTCAACTGAACCATGCCACTATGGCACACACTAGAGTGAATAGAAGACAGAGATTGTTCTTTTTCAGGAACCGAACCGATTAGCCATTTGTCAGTGAGTAATTCTCGAGAACTAACTGTGTTGACTGAAAACGCCATCCCCCAATGGCTAGTCGCTCGTCAACCTCCCTCCGGTCGGCTAGTCACGACCAGCCATTCACCTTTTCATCTGTTGTTCTATCTTCACATTACTCGCATGAAAATTTTACACATTAGCCTGTCTCTTTTAACAAAAAAATGGCTCTTTTCTCTGCTTTCAACAAAATGGTGCATTCTACAATATTTTCATTGAGGAATATACATTTGCCAAATCCTTTTTAAAAATCGTTGAAGCCTGATAAGGCTATTCCAAGTGTACACTTTAAGATTAATCTGGAAATTAAACGCCAAGTCGTTCGTTGGTCTCCCTCCGGTCGGCCACTCACGGCTAGCCGTTTGTACCTAATAAGTATTTAATGATATTTTCATATTAAAAAATACCTCGTTCTTGTTGAGTTTGTCTCTAGCAAAGTAGCCGAAATTCTTCACAACTTCATGACCTAAAGTATATATTTTAGTATCATTTTTAGTTGAATAAGTCGATGATCTACATAGTTTTTTCTTGAAGCTCGAAAAGATGTCATATACTTAGGGCAATCCAAAAGTAGTGAGGGAGGTATGTTATTTTCTTAGGCAGAGACGTAAAGAAATTTCTTTTTTTACCAAAAGATAGAGCGTGTTTCACTCTATTTTTCTATGCTATNCAAAATGAAAATTGAGGTCGATTTCCGATCACTACGTGACTTTTACTAAAAATTTCTCGTTTTTTACTAAAACTTAAATAAAACTTTTTCTACAATTTAGATTTTCATTTTGAAGTCGGCAATCGATAGGAAAACCTCGGCATCGCTCATACTCTTACTCTTACCTATGGGCCATATCAATTTGTGAAGTAAATTGAGTTTTACGCTGTAAAACAGTAGTAATCCGACTTTGAACTAGTCCAATGTGGAATTCCACTTTCGCCTAGGCGGATCTTAGATTGGCCCGAATCTCACATTGGACGCCAACATATATATATATACCTTAGAAAAATTATGGACAATTTGCGACAGTCTTATAAATCTCACTTTTCAACTAATTTTCAAAAGAAACAACTAGTCGTTCGTCGGCTTCCCTTCGGTTGGCGACTCACGACTAGCTGTTCCCATGCGTACTCATTTTACTATCTTAACTTCATTCGGACGAAGACGCCTTCCGAAAATGAGCACATTCCGGAAAATCAATTGATAATAAAAAACTAAGAAGCTTTACATAGCTATATGATTCTCTGGAATAGGTTTCAATCTTCTCTCCACCACGAGGAACCTTAAATAGCTGCCAGCTATGTTCGTGCAGAGCAAAGATTAATTTCTGACCAAGAAATCTTAAAACTCTATGAAAATCACAAAGTTTGTTCTTAAAAATATTATTCTGCAAATCGACGACTAGTCGCTTGTCGGTCTCCCTCCAGTCGGCCACTCGCGGCTAGCCTGTACATGTACATTTTCACTCTTCCATTTAGTCTAGAGTCACTTTTGAAACTAATTCATTCATTCTCCTCTATTCCTCCTTTAAAAGTCACCCTCTTTGTGCTACTGTGACTGTTGAAGACAACACTTGGCAAGAGAAACATTATTTTGAATGAATGGCATCAGATGATATTCGCATAGTATAGCTGTTTATAAAAGTGTGTGATCTCATTAATATGCTGATGACTATGGAGATCCAGCGATCGGACGTCAGTCAGCTGTTTCATTTTGTTCTACTTATTGCCACCTAAAACATTATCGTCTAAAAAATTTATCCTTTGTCGCAAAAAACGGGTCAGAAAGTGTTCATGAAAAAACTAACACCAGATTCGAGCTCCTTGACCTCGATTACCCTTCGGTCAACCCTTACTCCACAACGTAGAAAATTCCCATCGCCTAATTAGCTAATGAGCTAATTGGAATTTCGAGAGACTAACCTCGGATTCGAGATCCTCGACCTCGATTACCCTTCGATCAACCCTTACCCTGCATATTAATAATTTATGACTAGTTGACAGCTAATTAATTTATAGTTAATAATTAGTTAAATCTAACCTCGGATTCAAGTTCCCCGACCTCGATTACCCTAACGGTAATCATTTTCTAACAACGATCGATCAATTTCAACGTTCATTCTTGGACGATAGAATGTATGTCTATGTTTTTCGACAGTAAGGAAAAATAACAGTCTGGTGATTGATCTATACAAGTATGCGTATACCTTCCTGCATAAAACGAAAAAAAAAACTCAGTGAAATAATCGTCGGTAGATGGAAACTTAGAAAAGTAATTTTGAGCGCCTTGTGGCTGCGATCGACGAAATAGAATTGTCAATCAATGTTACTTTTTTTTCAGTCTCACCGTAAGAATGTACAGAGACGATCAATATTCGTGCTGCGAAATTGAATTGTAGGTATGGTTTTCTCGATTACGTGCAATTATATTGAAACATTTCGCTTGTGTTAGTATGCGTTCTGTTCTCTATAGACCTCTGTCGACGGGTAAACGAAATGGTTCTCTGCATAGCCTGTCGTATGTTTTATGGTTATAGTGATGGATATGGATGCAGGGAAAGGAGAAAAAATAAATTAGACAAAATTGATTCAGGTCTGTTCTATTTGAAATAAGTGCAAGGGTATAATTAGAAGATTATCTGCCACTAGGTCGATGATCTGCATAATGCTGTGCAATACTAAACAACATTATCGATCAATTCCGCAACTTTTTTATCAGTCTCGACGTTCATATACACAAACTCGTCAATTAAAAGATTTGCAACAGATTTATGAATTACTCAAAGAAGAATCTTTATGTAAAAGTCAAATTTTCCGCCAATAGCATTTGTAAATTCATTTTTAGCCTCCACATCAACTTTCTCAGAAAAGATGGATCCAAATGGAATATTTGCTAACAATGAACTAAATTTACAGAAAATACAAGTTTACGGATTCGATTTTGGTTTGTAATTGTATTATGGATTAGCTGGACGTGCCAATGACGTTTTCTCTATTTCCAATAGATTACACACTAGCTAGATATAAGTCGACATTGCATTCATTGATTTACGATCGTACAAAAGCATATCTTGTAAAAAACCTACGGGTAAGATCATTTTATTGTGAAATCTCATAGTTGTATGTTGTTTTCTCCCATAAAGTATCCTGATCAAATAATGGATTTCTGCTTCCGTCCTGGAATGGGAGCTCGTGGTCTTCATCTAGATATCAAACGTGGATGGTTGATGAAAGTTGACAGCTATCATAACATTCAATTAGGCACTGTTTACCAGTAGGTTTCATTGAAGAACTCAAATAAATTATTGGTCTTTTTCTTCTCAGTGGTATGCGACAGGTATCAGAGGAAGAAGTTATTGCAGCACATCGTGGGACAAAATTGTCTGTCGACGAAGTTGGATATCTGGGGATGACATCAAACATGTTTCAATACGTTGATATTTTCACAATACCTGAAATAACTATTTTGAGAGACGTTATACAGGTATGCTCAGAAGAGAAACCTTCATAAAATATAGTGAAAACTAATTTTTGCAAACATTTGTAGTATTTCGTTGACAATAGTATTCCGTTCGCTGCTGAATATGTACATTACGATGTTCGAGTATGATACTTTTTCTCAAAGTTCTGCAAACTACTTTTAAAATTAAGGAAGCTGTTGGCGCTTTTCATAAAAGTGGTCTTATGCACCAAATAGCGGGACAAGATGTAGGTAAGATATTCCACGAGATCTATTCGCTAATGTTCAATTGTGATTTTACGCGATAGGAAATTATTTTGAGGAAAATGTTCGTCTAAAGCCGTTTTTGCAACGACTTCGAGATGCAAATAAACAATTATTTTTAATAACTAACAGTGCGTTTTGGTACGTTAATCGTGGCATGAGTTATCTGCTTGGAGACAAATGGCAAGACTTTTTCGATATTGTTATATGTCAAGCTCGAAAACCGTCATTTTTCGGCGCACAAAAAAGGTTCAGTTCAGATTATTTGTCATCCTGAAACGCTCATTCGATTGCTGTTTTGCTTCTTCTAGACCTTTTAGGGAGATTAATATCAATAATAATTCAAAATCATGGGACCGAGTGTATAAATTAGAGAAAGGAAAAGTTTATGTCGAAGTAAGTTGAATTTTTATAGGAAAAACAAGTTGCTACCACTGACGTACCAAAGGGCAATCTTACAACTCTTGTTGATATGACACATTGGCAAGGCAATGACGTTCTCTATATTGGTGATCACATCTATGGTGACTTAGCAGTACGTGGAGCATTTTCCTGTTGGCATGTCATTCCAAGTTTTCTTTCAGGATTTATTTCTCACACATGGTTGGCGAACCGGTGCTATTTTAGAAGAAGTGGAAGTAAGCAGTCGTCACCTTTGAAAAAAACAAATCTTTTTTCATCATGTTTAAGGATGAGATCAACGTGATTAATTCCGAAGCATTTCAAAAGACTATTCGATGGGTAATCAAATTTGATTTGATCATTACACATCTAAACTGATTGAATTTCTTAGTTGAATGTTCTCCAATGGCTTATCGATCAATTGCAAGTACGTTGTGAGAACAAAAGAAACTTTTCGATGCCTTGATTATCTACTCCCTTCAGATAGAAAAACTATTCCTCAAACTTTCATGTTCCCATTTTATTTATAGGTCATTCCGGGCTCTGAAGCAGATGCGTTAATGAAAAATTGGGTAGCAGAGCGAGAAGAAGAAAGGTAGGCCAAATTAAAACTTCGTTTAAACTTAATCGACATATCCTTCTAGAACTAAATCTCGTGACTACTTCAATCCGTATTTTGGTTCTGTATTCCGTACTTACACTGTACCAACATATTTTCATCGACGTCTCGCTCGTTTTGCTGACATTTACACGTCCAATGTTTGTAATTTTATTAACTATCCAGTAAGACGTCTTTTTTTATCTCGTATACTTTCCTTAATATTGAATATATAGCTTGATTATATCTTCTTTCCGCGTCGTATGGCACTCGCCCACGAAAATGTCTTACCAACTCCAGATATTGATTTACTATTAATGAAAACAGCTCAAGAAGCAATGCGTTTCGAAACGAAGAGCTAATAATTTATTATTAAGCATGAAATATCTTGTTTTTATACAAGCACTCTATTTATACGTTTTTTTCCTCTTTTTTTGTGCACATTATAAAAGAACTCATATAAATGTATCTAGACTTTTAGATTGAAAAGAGACATTTTCATAAGGACTAGTAGAAATGTTTGGAGTTTTATTCGATCTTGATGGTACCCTTGTCGATTCAGATCCAATACATTTTGAAGCATGGCAAATAATTCTTGCTAAGGTCAATGTCAATGCATCTTTAATTGATCGAGAATTTTTTGACAAATACATCTCTGGTAAATGGATCATTATACAATTTCGTTGTCTCTTATTTTATATGTATATTATTTAGGCCGATTGAATGCTGATATAACGCGAGAACTACTCTCGCATCTATCTCAAGAGGAACAAGAAAAGATAGCTGATGAAAAGGAATTGTTATTTCGTCAATTAGCGAAAGAAAAACTTCAACCAACAAGAGGTCTCGATAAAATACTTGAATACATAAAACAAAATCGGACGAAATTAAAAATTGGTTGCCAACGATGAAAACTTTTTAGTGAAATATCTATGAGCTTTTTTCTTGTAGGCTTAGCAACAAATGCTCCACGTTTAGTGGTCGATTTCGAATTAGGAATTCTAAACATTGACGAAAAAACATTCTTCGACGTTGCTCTTCTTGCAGAAGAATTTGGCATTGGTAAATGATACGTTTCTGATCGATCTTTTCACATTAATTCATTTCTTCTTGCAAAATCAAGGCAAACCAAAACCGGATATCTACTTAGAATTAGCAAAACGCTTGAATGTGGATAAAAATTCGTGTATTATTTTCGAAGATTCCGTATCAGGTGTTCGTGCTGCTGTCGCTGCTGGTATTAAATGTATCGGCTTATTAACATCAGCAAAACAGGAAACTTTAGAAGGGTATGGTACATGGAGAACAGTAAGGAACTTCGAAGAGGTCAATCTCGATGAAATTTGGAGTGCAATACAATCGAAGTAGTTTATTTTGATTCGAAATAACATTGCTCATTTAGAAAAAGAATTCAGAAAGTCTTCTTGATATTTTTTTATTCGATTTTATATGTGATTAGTATCGAATAATACGTATCATCGGCACACAAACCCATGACTACTAAATCTTTGACATGAGCTGGTATATTAGCTGGAATTTGCAGACTATAAATACTATTTTTAAGATTCTTTCCAGTGATTAATGTCTGCTCATCAATTTGTAATTGTACGCCGCGAACACCAGGCACACGAACGACAATGTCAGTCGGAAGAGATTCTCTTGAGAGACAGCCATCGATTGATTTCAATAATTGACACCGTAATATAGTGAATGTGTTGGTCGTTTTGGGAAAATAGATAATATCTCCTTTTTGTTTGATATAAAAATCGAATCGAACAGCAGTTGCCCATTGATCATCTTTTTCCGTATCCAAAGCCCAAAGGAACAAACGATGTTGGCCAGTTGTGTGTGGTGAATGAAAACATTCCCATAGGCGTGTCTCGTAATTGTAATGTGTCAAACATGTTCCCGGATTTTGATTGAAATCCAAATGATCCACTGTCATTTGAAGGCGAATACGATCAGGTGCACGAAATATCAATTTGTTCGGCGCATCAGAGATAATATCAATTGAAGATGTATGAAATGGCGACCAAAAACGCATCTTTGTCGATGAGATTTTTTCTTCTAGTAATCTGATGAAGTAACGTGAGTGAGCTTTTGTCAATGTTGTTTTTGTCAATGTCTATTTGTTACACGATGAGAAGTAATAGCGAGGAAAAAGAAGCAAAAACAACTCCTGCAATCTTATCCATTTGCACAAGACATCAGCCGTTTTGCTTCATTATTAGTGAAATAAGAAGTCAAAAGACAAAAAATTTTATTTTCTGTCTGTTTAAAACAAGTTATGCATATCGAAAACTAATTTTCTTAAAGTTACACTTTCTAATATACTTTTGCCATAGATTGCCTTTAGAGTAGCTGGCAAATCTAAATGAAAGTTTTCTCCAGTCATGTATGAAACTTATTTTGCCTTCGAAAGATTGATGAATCATATTATGCCAAGAACCATAGTTATTACTTGAAAAAAATGCTAAAATGAAAATAGATTAGAAACATATTTTTTTTCTAATCGATGACCTTCGAATTGTGAAATAGATCATCAATATCGATTTATAGTCATATCAAAAGATATGTGTATAATTGGTTTATTACATTAGCGATTGGAGAACAAATGGACGGAGTTCAGATAGATTTGTCATAACAAAAAAAGAGTCATTTATATGATAGAATAAAAACTATTAGAAGATTCAATTGAATTCCCTGAAGGCATTTGAGAATAATAAGAAAAAAAAGAAAATGACAATTATGGTTCTTTTTCTCTCTTCAGCTGACTGTTTTTTTCTTTTGTCTCATTGTTCGTTCTTCTCTTCTCTTCTCTTCCTCTCTTTTACGATAATTACAAATGATTTCTTTTCTATCATTATGTTTCTCCTTGGATCATCAAACAAGATGTTGATCAAAATAAATGACATCGTTTTTCATCGTCTTCTTTTCTAATCGCACTTATTCTTAAACTGCTAACTACATAGACAACTTAATACAATGAGTGATATTGACTTTCTTCGCGTTGTTTTGAATATCGCGCCTACCGTCAAGGCCAAACAAAGAACAAGCTCATAGCCGATAAAATCTCGCTCTCGAACATACTTCCATGTTGTTATTTTCGACAGACTGTTTAGACGTTCAATCGTCAATAAGCTGATTAGAATTTCGAACGACACACTGTGCCTTCGCTTCCGCTTGACAGCAAATCTGGTTGATTTCAAAAATTCCATTAGACACATCCTTGCCGTTCTTGCTTTAACACTATGTTGCCAAGACCCGGACAATAGGAAAAAAAATGAGGAAAAAACGACGCTCAATTTGGGCATCATCAACGATAAAAAAAAGGACAGAGAGAATAAATGATGTAGATTATAAAATGACAAAGATGCAAACTAATGATGCAATCACTCGTGCCGTTCAGTGATCAAGGAGCTTACCCTAGGGATAAATATAAGGCTAAAAGTAGCAGTCAAGCAAAACGCTAAAGAATCCTCAAAAGAACATTTCATATTGATTGAATAGAAAAGAATAAGCACAAATAAATTAGAGTTCTAACCTTGATTCAGTCAATCACAATTGACAAGTTTCATTTATACCCTCAGTGATTTTATTTTCATATTGAATAGATACATATATAAACAAGTTGACTAAGGATCATTATATTTATGTTTCTTTTCATGTTTCTTCTTTCTTAAAGCAATACTTTGATAATATCTCATATTTATTTGATAGTAAGTAAGCTTTTTCTCGAGGGTGAACACCGACAACGTTGATTGACAAGTACCTCTTTTCAAGATTTACTAAAGGAGAAAAAGATTGAGTGCACAATAGACAAGGTCATTCACAATATAGAATTATTATTGAAATCGAAACAAGAAGGAAAAAGAAGCATATTGTCTTCTTGCGATTTTCTACTCTATTAAACAATTGATTACTGCACATCTTGGTTATCTATATATATCTTCTCACATTTCTTATATATATCTCACTCTATATTTATTTATATGTTCGTATTCATGTCAGCATCTTTTTTCGTCATCATCACTTTTACTTAGCTTTTTTCTCTTCTTATTCTTTCTTTTTTCAAAGAGTATAAGAAATGAGAGATAGAGAAAGACAGAGAGAGAGAGAGAGAGAGAGAGAGAGAGACGGAGAGGAAGAGAGCAAACAGAATTGCTTAGTTCCATCGCTCTTTTTTCACTCATTCGTTTGTCTACTATAATTGGCATGAAAATGCTCCCTCGGTGGTAGATGAATTACATGCATATATATATCCTCATACACACACACACACACACGCATACGCAAATAATTATTATACTGGTAATATAGAAATTCTCATAACAAACCAAATCCGACAACAACGACGATCATTAACTATATCAATACATTCGTCAAAACACAATCGTTAAGCATGAACTACGAATGGTTACAATTGTTGCCTTGATCTTTTTCATCTATACTTCATGTAAGTATTTTGTGACACATACCATTTGATAATTAATTTGATCGAGAATGACTATCTATACAACACATACATACAGATGACGTCAAATGGTGATAGCGTATTGAGCGCCATATGCAAATAAGCGGCAATTCTTGACAAAATGATTAAAAAGAAGCGTGTCTTGTATATTCAATGAATGTTCTCTTCTTCTACTTTGTTCAGTTTTAATCATTTGTACAGTGCGCTTGGAATATAGATAAAACAGATAAGCTTTTGTCGATGTCAAACAACATTATCAGTCAAAACGGCGTCAAACTTGTCTTTCTGCTTTCCGTTTTATTTTTTTTAAACATATTCATCATTAAGAGGACCATCATGTTCTCTTTCTCTCTCTCTCTCTGTGTCGTATATATTGTTGGTCGAATTTCAGCGACATATTGTTTAAGTGATTCGTCAACAACTATATGGAAGAATAACATTTCGAGAGACAGTTTCAAGTGGAGTGGAACAACTGAACATAGCTTAGAGCATCTTACGTGTTCAGTTTCAAAGGAATTACATAGTATATGGATATAATCAGTCTATGAACTGTCAGAAAAAAGTCAACTCATTATCTTTGTCTTCTGTGAATGTCGTGTTGAATAAATGACCAAAAAATCAGTCTCTTTGTCGTTCGAAATTTTATAGGTCCTCATCGTACTTTGGCGATTGGGCAACAATCATTCGAACCAGAGTATACTGTCGCCAGCGTTGTAATGCAATCAGTTGTTCTACCATGTAAAGCAGCTCTACCTCACGTAGAACCTGAACGAGTAATTTGCACGATTGCTTATTTCAATTTTATACATTATCATTTTGTTAGGTTATGTGGTATAGGTTAACAAATCCTGATAAATCAACACTTAGCGTTGGCAAACACTTGATAACAAAAGATTCTCGTTTAAGTGTTGCTTATTACAGTGTTGATCATGGCTATTCGCCAGCTAAATGGGATTTACATATATCTAATGTGCGTTTATCAGATGCAGCTAATTATCAGTGTCATGTTATTACCAAAACAAATCCGAAATCGTCTCGATCAAATGTTAAACTTATTGTTGAAGGTAAGAAAGAAAAGAAATTGTGTACATGTTCTTACAATGTTTACATGAAAGGAGAAGAGAAACAAATAGATATATCTTCGATGTGTAGTAAAGATAATCATGGTCGAGTAAAATTTTGAGAATAAACAGACATAGATAAGGAAGGTAATCTAAGTGATGGAATATAAGAAACTAGACGTTCGACGTCAATAGAAAACAAACGACTGTATCGATATTATAGATATCATTGTTGATATACAACCAACTGACGTTCTTGTCTCACTTGGCGACTCAACACAATTTTCATGCCAATTCACTGGAGAACATCGCATACGACGTGAACAAATCACTTGGCACAAAGGTAATATGAAACGATTTTTTTTTCTTGACTTTTCAACAATTATCATCGTTGTCGTAGACGGCAAACCGCTCGTAACTGATGCAACCCGCGTGATAACATCAATTGAATTACCTAACGCAACAGTAACTAATCTACAGATCGTGGCTTCTCAACTGAATGATAGTGGTTCATACCGTTGTTCCGATGGTCATGGAGCACAGAGTCGAGAAGCCAAACTATACCTACGAGATATCAATCAACAAATGTCTCTTCGTTCCTGCTCGCCGTTAACTTCCTTTCGAACAGTGTTTTCGCTTTTCATTTTTCATTTTTTTCTTCTCATTCTGTAGAAGATAATAATAATATGACGAACTTAAGCAGAGGAAAAAATGAGACATATTTTAACACACACCGATGTAATTACATCTTTACACGCAGGGGATAGTATATCTATGAAAAGAAGAAGTGATATCTTATCTTCTTTCGTTTATTTCTTTTATTGACAAGATTCATTCAGACAAGTAACATCGACCGAAGACGACAAGATGATGAATGCATATCATTCTGCTGAACCTGCCCTTCAAGTTGAAGTTATTTCACCAACAGTACAAGGCGTTGGTTCGAAACGATATGTTGAATATACTGTGAAAGTTAAAACCACTTTACCAGTATTTAAAGAATCAGAATCAACTGTAAAACGACGTTATTCAGAATTTGAATGGTTACATAAAGAATTGCAGTGTGCTGACACGAAAATCGCTGTGCCATCATTACCTGAAAAAGCCTGGCAAAGACAATTACCATTCCGAAAGGATGAAGGTCTTTTTCAAGAAGACTTCATCGAAGAACGTCGACGAGGATTAGAAACATTTATTAATAAGATTGCTTCTCATCCATTAGCACAAAACGAACATGCACTACATGTCTTCTTATTCGATCCTGTGATTGATTTAAGCCAGTATGTCCGAGGCAAAGTAAAACATTGATGAATCCACGTTTATTTTAACTTCATAAGAAAATATTTTTCTAAATAAAGATTTGATTGGTTATAAGAAGAAAAAGAGCTCTCTTTTTACGAACATTCGTCCTATATATGTGATCATATGACATTCAGTGTCGCATTATTTTTTTTTATTTGACACTGTTACAGCTGATGAGGATGATGAACAAGGTTTAATACTTTTCTTTCATCAAAGATGATTCCATGACAGATAAAATAGATTAATAGAATGAACGCTTACATTACATTATAATTAGAAAGCTGTCATACGAATATACAAAACGCTTTCCAATGACAACGTCGAGTTTTCTTTTCGCTAGATGTGGGTAGATCACTAAGTAACATAAATTGTTTTTAATAGAAAGTATATCCATATGTTTCTTGCATTACAGAATACAGATAACACGTCTTATTATTCCAATTCATCACTTATCAGGAACTGTATAAACATGCCTGAAGATAACCAGGAGAACATTCGATACATAATCATTATTAGAGCATTGGATCACAAAAAGTTGTTATTGTTTTTTCTACGCATTTGTCATCGATAAACGTTTTTTGTTCTGCTTCTTCTTCTTTGTTTGATTTTCTTCCTTATGCAAAGCAAGAAAAGACTAGAGACTATACTATTGATTTTTTTGTTTATGTTTATAAGTGAGCGGTTTAAATAAACAGAAAAGAGTAAGTCGATGTGAAGAGAAAAAAAATCATTTTCTTGTCTGTATATATTTGTTTTACAGCGTGCATTTTTTTCCACAAGCTACTAATGTCTACAGTTTAATTGAAATCGTTGATTATTTCGAATTCAAACGAACGATTCGAACACGTAAGATTTATTTGGAGGGTAAAAGACTTTCTTTAACTATTGATAATGCCGGGCTATTCAACTTTGAATCGCTTTTCTCAAGCTCAATTACAAAGCGAAAAACGTAAACAACAAGCACATTTGAAGAAAATTAATGACATGCAACGACAGAGTAAATTAGACAATAGTTCACCACATGCTTGTCCACATATTCATCAAGGTTTCGTCCGACAACTAGGTGAAAAACGTCAAGTCATCGACAAAGAAAATGAACTTAAAACAAGGAAACTACTGGGTATAATGACATCGAGAGCGGTGCACTTTCCTCCACCATCGTATTCTCCGAATCCAGCGCAACGAAATCGTACGGCACACCCTGCACAAAGTAACACGGATTTTCTCGATCGAGTTGCGAAGACGAGAGGTAGATATGATACAGAAAAATGGAAAAAAGATTATCAGGAACATAGAGGATATTTGAAATTACGTAAAAATAATAGCGTTTTTACTCCATTGGATGTTGGTTCAAATCGAGAAGGAAATTCCAAGACAAATTCCGTCGTGAATACAGCGCGAACATCACCGCATGGTACATCATCAGATCCCGATTCGAACAGACAACCAAATGATAAAACAAACTCGTCGGTAAATGACAAACAAACAAAGCTTTCATAATTACGATGAACTGTATTTATGTGACATAGTTTTATAACATACATGTGTAAAATTTTTTTTCTATGTTTTCTTAGCATGAAAATAACTCATATTAAAAATTCATATCGGTTTTGAACGCAAAAAAAGCAAAAAATCAGTATTTCTTTCTTGACTTCATATCTCTGTAAACTGCTATATATATTTAAACATGGAAAAGGTTTATGCCAATTTCGGTCACGCGGATACTAATTTTAGAACGAGTTTACCGAACTCGATTCCTTGTGTTTGTGCAATTTGCAATTCTAATTCCGAAGGATGACGTTCACCTTGTGCGCCTGCTAATGTTCCAGCGCCTGCAATAGAATTTTAATAACAACACATCGAAAATTGAATAACTGAAATACGAAACAAACCATAAGGTGATCCGCCGTGAATCTCATCCATATTCATTAGTAATTTATTTTTATAGCCGAGCGGCACAAAAATCATACCAAGGTGTGTAAAAAAGGGTACACATGAAAGTGCAGTTGTTTCTTGACCACCGCCTAAGGTCGCTGTGGAAAAAAATACACCAGCCTAGAATCATTTCAAATCAATTCTCATCTCTAAGTCAAGATCTTCCAGGAAAAAAACAACTTACCGGCTTGCTACTCAATGCATCGGAAAGCCAATGAGCGCCACATGCGTCGAAAAATGCTTTCATTTGAGTAGGTGCTGTGCCAAAACGCGTCGGCATACCAAATAAAAATCCATCAGCTTCTAACAATTGCGTCGGAGTTATAATTGGTATCTCTTGGTTTTTCGATGGAACATGCATTTTTGTCAGAACTTCAGTCGACAACGTTTCCGCTACTTGAAAGACGCGACAATTACAACCCGCACGTTCGACACCCACCCGAATCATCGATGCTAATTTCGCTACATGACCATACATAGAATAGTAGATTACAAAAACCATAGGACGACGCTATGAAAATATAACGAACAATTATCAGAATTCATTTCACTACTTTTTATTAATCTTACAGCAGTACTACCGATAGGCGGTGCTAATAGTATTTTATCAGAATGAGATTCGGGAAGTTGTGACATGCGAACAAATTTTCTAAACGAAAATCAAGCAAAACAGGTAATCATAAGCGGATGACTATTTACCTCTGCGGGAGATTTTTATTTGATTGAGAGGACATTCGTGATGGAAGCATTTCTTTGCACCAAACGTGTTTCAGTATTACTTAGATTTGTACGAAATGCGAAACACGGTTGTCGACCTTGGAAAGATCAATACTTTCAAATAACGAAAATACTTGTGTAATAGACACCTCTTAGGTCTCGTAATATTATTTTATGATTATTTTAATTTTCTTTCGCTTTGTAATTTACGATCGAAAAAGAAAAACGAGCGAAGGAAAAAAAAATAACATAGTAAAGCAAACAGCTGCATTCAAGCTGTCAATATTTATTCTTTTGTCCACTGACTGTGTGCACTTTCGCGATACGCCGGTGTTTTTCTGCTTCTTAGAAGAAGTAATCAACTGATGAAGCAACGTTTTACAAGTAATTGTATTAGATTCGATCGGGCACTTAACAAGTATTTCACTAATTCTCAAAGAAAATCTCTCGAATGCATTGCTTTTCATAGATCATTCTGAAAACATATTCATTCTTCGCGCAGGTAAAAGTAATAAAATGCCTATCAATTTATTGCTTTACCCACATGATTAATCAAAGTTTCAAGTAGTAAATTCTTTTATTGTTCGACCGACGAGAACGAATATAAGACATAAAATACGAATGATGGTAATTAACGATCTAATCGATTGAACTTCTTTGATTAAAACTAAGATCAATGTTTAGGAAAAACAATGAGAAGTTGCATATTTTTTCTAATGACAATGAAGAGATTCCTATCGATATTTCAAATTGAATTAGTCAGATACATCGAACTGTATACCGCGTATCCCTGAAAAAAAAACTTTGTATAGTCAGTAGACCGACACCTATTTTATTGTCAATAGATAAGATAATATTAATTGCATCGAAAGTTTGTTTTACTTGGAAGAACACGTCAATAAAACAAGTTTTTCGTACGAATCTATGCATCATTTGTGTCGGATTTTTCTTACATTATTCAGTATGCATCGGATATTATTAGTAACCTGTTTGTAAGTATAATAATCAGTCTGAATGCATGGAAATTATGATTGCACTATTTTAATCAAGTCTGTCATTCTTGTATGTCATCAGTTTTTATTTCGATGATTTCAGTGCAATTGCCAAATTTTAATATGATTTGACAGGTTGCAAAGAAGAAGGTTTTTTTTCTCTTCTTTCATATTAAGCTTCCTTTTGAACAAGAATAAGAAACTATGTATAGAACTGTCGACCATTGTTGTATATTTCACTTATCACGTATATTTCACAACTTCGTAGTTACAAGAATTTTCCTATCAAATAATTGGTGCGTCTAAACAGCACAGCAACATACTACGTCTCGAAATGATCTTTACTAACGGTTTTTTGTAAACAGAAATGGTAGTGAATACTGTCAAGACATACATGTAATAATTACAAGTGAATGTTGAAGTTAATCTTCAGATTGATCGTACTGTTTCGTTTTTTTTACTCCTTTCACATTCTCTATGCGTAGTCAACGACAGAAGATAGAGTATAGATATCATTCGCTTGTACACATAACAAAATTATTTCCTCGAATGAATATATAACGTAAATCCCTGAATAACATCGAGTCATATAAAGAAAGAATACATACGTACGTATATTTATATACGTTCATCATACATCACCGCTTCACAGCAATAATAATATTGACGGTGAACAAAAAAAAAAACGAAGAAGACGTAGAAAAAAAGCGAAAGGGAAGGAAAAAGGTACATAATGGTAACGATATCTTCACACAATTACTCCATACCGACCAAACGATAGAAGTACATACACGTACAAAGAAAAACGTATCAGCTGGTAAAGAAAACGTCTATGGTTTTTCTTGACTTTTTGTCTTAATGCAAAAATATGACGACAGCTGCTAATAGATCATCGTCTCCTCGCTATCTTCCCAATCGGCCACCGATTTCATTTTCTTCATATAATTTCAATGATGCTACTGGACTTATGCATCGATCCTTGGGTAAGTGTCAATCCATCTTCTTTTAACGAGTTCTCTCGATGCAAAATAACCTAAACATCTGATTACATTGATGATGATGATTTATTTGACAGCTGATGAAATTAAACTATATCACTTTTAGAGAAAAGAATAGTTCGGTTTTGATTTTTTCACATATTTATATAATTAATCGATATGATGCTTCGAGTATTGACTGAATGCATACCTTTCATCATTTCATCCATATAAGAGAAAAAGCAGGAAAGCTCAATTTACGATCCGACAACTATAAATACTTCAAATGTGTTATTCAATACTCGCGTGCATAAAACAATCAGTTCACTTCGCATGTGATGTTTTCTTTCTTTTTTTTCTTTCTGTACACACACATATATTCGAATTAATTTAGCAGTACTAACATCTGTATACATAGAGAGTGTTAGTCTGGCTATCTAGTTCTTCAGTTCGCCTTCTTCTTTTTCTCCTCTCTTGCACTCTATGTCTTTCTGATTGTTGTATTCTCTTCACATGTTATACTTGTCGCTATTGCCGCTCGATGCATCATAAAAAACATGAAACTCGTCATCAGTCAGTATCATCATCATCATCATCATCACCATCGTCGTATCATTATCGATTAGCAACAAGGTCGTCGACATTAAAACTAAACAAATCAGCCAAAGTCAAACGATTAATTAAAAATTCAATCACAAAAAACGGTAGTTTAGCTCTCGGTGTATCATTTCTAATTGTTTGTTTAAATCTATTCAATGCGTCCTTCTATATCTGTTTCTATTTCTTTTTCTTTTCTCCAACTAAAAATAGATAGAAATCAAAATAGGTCATCGCCACAGTATCAATATTCAGTGGAACGACTATGCTTAATTATTTTGATGTAGAGATCGCTATCGACCATAATAATAACTTTGCAATTAGAGGTGATGTTATAACTCGACTGTAGTTGCTCTTTTCGTCGTTTCTTTGTACCTGTTCATTGTCAATAATACTGTCATTACCACACTGTTCTATTCTCAGTCGAATGAAGGTGAAATAGCAGATGAAGAAAGATTAAATACTCGAGTATAATCATTACTAGAAGTGTGCGTGTGTGTGTATTTGTACAAGCACGTTAGTTTTCACATGGTCGTGTAGGTTTTATCTGAAACACTATCATCAACTAAGTTTCAAGGATAATGCTGTTTCTGTTGTTATAAGTTTGCTAGACAGCTGTTTCTTTCCTTCCCTTCTTTTTTTCTCTGTCGACGATTTTGAAGCAGTGGTCAGATGAAAGCTTTTGTTTCAGAAATTTCTACTTTGTTTTGAAGTGATTATTTATTAATTCGTTTTGTTGAATAATTTAGACGAAAATCGGTTGCATATTAAACGAGCCAGTGAATGTCACCAACATTCCACACCTATTTCTACATCTGGGAATCTCGCCCTATTAACACAAAATACTCATTCTTCTTCCCCACTTTATGTAAGTCGTCGTCGACCAACTAGCTCTTCTACTATGACATCGTATTCTGCACTTAAACGTAAAACTCAACGAGCGGATGTTACGTCTAATATATCTCGAGTAAATTCTCTATCAAAGCACTTTTCAATGAAAAAGTCGATTTCTTTCAGTTTCAAATTAATCTCGAACATGTCCTTGGATTTACCTCAACATCGAATTCAGTTGTTAGTCAAGATCGGTCCACAGTAGCGTATGCTGCTGGGTATGAACTTGACATTGATTACTGGACACAAAGAAAAGATTTCGATATTGTTTTTTTTGTAGTTCAACTATTGTTTTATATGATCTTCATACACAAAAGCAAGAGTTTATTATTAGTACAGCTCGAAAAGCAATCACATCGTTGTCACTTTCACCTGACGGTCGCTATTTAGCAACAGGCGAAGTAGGTTAAAGGAACTAGGTCATTTCGGTTTCTCTTCTAAATATTCGAATATTTTCTAGTGTGGTCATGATCCTAAAGTACGCATTTGGGATTTACATGGTGATCGAACGAGTTGTATCGAATTGGGTGATCATAAGTTTGCTATTGATTGTGTGGTAAGTTAGATTTACTCGAAGAACCTAATGCGATTATGACATGAATCAGCCAGTAGAGATGCTCAATGCCATATAGCGTATGAAAAGAATAGATGAATCCATTGTTGAGATTAACTCAATTCTCTTAAGTATCAAGATCGATAGTGGATCAGGCAATATTTTTCTTTAATAATCGTAGTGTTTTTCGCCAAATGTTGATCGTCTTGTTTCGATTGGATCGGTGCATGATGGAAATATCTATGTATGGAATTGGAAAGACAAGAAAAAGCTCGCATCAAACAAATGTACATGCGCAGTAAGATCACTTTACGTCCAATAAATTTAGTCGACACCATTGGCTCGTTTTTGTCATGAAATTCAGGTTCGTCGAATCGCTTTTGCTGAAGATGGAAGTTATTTCGTTACGGTTGGTAATCGCCATGTCAAGTTTTGGTATTTGATTTCCACATCATCAGTAAGTCTCTCATTTTAACGGATACGATCAGCAAAGTCTTTGTAAATTTTTAGATGGAAGTTGTTCCTTTACGTGGTCGTTACGCGATCTTAGCTGAACGAAAAGATAATTTATTTACAGACGTAGTTTGTGGACGTGGTGACTGTGCTGGAATGACCTATGTGATAACAGCCAATGGACTGATTTGCCAATTTGATGAACATAGACAAATGTGTGGTGAACGTGATCTTCAGGTAGAAAATCAACTTGAGCAAAAGAAAATTCGATCGTGTTTTATATATGTATTAGGAAAAAACGAATTGTTTAGCGATTGGTGATTTATATCTAGTTATCGGGTGTATGAAAGGTGCTGTTTATGTCTTTTCACCACAAACTCTTGATTATATTATGTCTATTCCTTTGCCGCATTACTTGGGTGTTGACATTGCTTTTATTACATCAGTAGAGTACGTTGCATAAATTTGTTTATGCGCATCTATGTAATTTTTCGATTTGATCTTTCCAGTCAAATAACCTATCCGCAACAGCAACAAAACACATCCTTTCCTGATACGATTGCTGTTTGTTTGGATGAAGATAAATCAGTGGTTCGTCTACATTACTGGTCTAATGAAAATCAGTCTGTTCTGTTTATTTGTAGTTAACATGTTTTTATAATGACCATAGTTTTTACATATGGGATATTCGCAATGAGCGATCGGTAAAAAAACGTGATTCGCATATGTATCATTCAGGGTGCGGATGGGGAATTGAAGTAAAAAAGCTGAACTTTCGAGTTGATTTTTGCAAAAACCAAACGTGTTTTGTTAGACTTATTCAAAGACAGCGACGTCGCCAGCGATTCTTCGTCAGTTGTCTTGTATAACGTGTTCATCAGATAATTCAGTTCGATTTTGGACATTGAATCATAATGATACGGATTCATACACGAGTTCATCCAGTGCAACATCGAATATATTCAGTAGACAATTGCTGAAAATTGTCTATTTAGATGATGATCATACGAAACTATGTGATACTCAATCAACTCAAGGTAAGATTTGCTGCGTAATTGAATATAATAGAATCTTTTTTGAATGAAATTCAGAGCGACCTGAATTTGTACCTAAAACTGGTGGCCGTTGTATGAAAATGAATCCCGATGGTTTATCGATGGCGATTGGCGATCGAAATGGAAATATTCGAATATTTAACACTGAAACTTTTCAGCAAAGTGCACTTATCGAAGCACATGATAGTGAAGTACTTAGTGTTGACTATAGTCGTTCAACGGATATAGGTATGCTGACTTGATATACGAATTGGAAAGATGATCGTATTTTCTTTTTTCATAAAAATCGAGGTACAACATTTCTGGCATCCAGTAGTCGTGATCGTTTTGTACATCTATTCGATGTCACCAAAGATTACCAACTCGTGGCAACTTTGGATGATCATTCAGCAGCTATAACAGCTGTACGATTCACGTATTCATCGATAACTTCAACATTACAATTGATATCGTGCAGTGCAGATAAATCTTTAATATTTCGTTCAGTGTTAAAAGTATGTTAGTTTTGTAAGGAACGTTTGCTTTCCTATAATCGATTTCTTGCCAAATTTAGAATGATAATGGCAAATATCAATTCATACGCTCGAATAATATTGTTGAAAAGCAAACCTTCTATGATTTAGCTATTGATCACTCACGTGAACTCGTTAATACCGCTTGTCAAGATCGAATGATCAGGTAAAGGATTCATCGACACAAAAGGGAACAACATGATTGATTGGTCCTTTTAGAGTTTATAATTTACAAGATGGTAAACGCGTTCGAACGCGTAAAGGAACAGTGGGTGATGATACAGGTTATTTGATCAAAATCGACGTGGACACATCAGGAAGATATTTAGCAACATCATGTTCAAATAAATATGTTTATATTTGGGATACTATTACTTCGGAATGTATTGCAACACTTTGTGGACATAGTGAAATTGTTACTGATTTGAAATTTAGTCAAGACGGTCGCCACTTATTCACAATTTCGGGTGATAGGTAATACAACAAGGATGAAAAGCTTTCAATTCATTGGATCTCTAATGTAAATTTTAGTTGTGTTTTCGTTTGGAATACAGCCGATTTAGCAGTTGTGCCGACAACATATCGAACTCAGCCAATTTCATTAACAAAATCCATCGATTTAGAAGCGTATGTATATTAAAAACGATCATTCATTAAGTAGAACTAACTACTTAGATATACGTCTTCTTTTTTGTCTATAGAACTGATGTCGATGAATCTATTTCACAAGTAAGATTGTCCTTGATTTTGTGGTTAAGTTTGACGGCTGAATATATTACATTAATTTTAGTCATTCAGTGTTTCTGAAGATCGCCAAGGAAAATTGAAACATTCGCGAAGTGTCTGGGGAACGACGGAAACAGGCTCATCTGTCTGTATTCATTTCCAAACCAAATTTCGTACATTCAACACATTTCTCCTTTTTTTAGCCATTCGAATCAAAACTTATGCGAGCAAAACTATCTGATATCATTTCTGAACAGTAAACAACATCTTACTTTTTTCGAATCTTTTCCTTTCGATAACAAATGTATTTAGATCACCCAATAAAGTTTTCCATTCGATTAGTTCTCAAGACGAGGAATCAGTTTTCCTCGACGATGGTTCGCTTTTCTTCCTAAGAAAAGAATTCTCTTATTAATCTCTTTCCACATTTCAGATGCTGATCGAACATTCTCAACGACAACGGATAATACATCTAGTAAAATGAATTCATTCTTTGCCGAAAACTACGATCATGAAAATGTGACCAGCAACACATTAGTTAATGAAGGACTTGTGTCATCGTGCGCACTAAAACGACGAAAGAGTGTTTCATCTCGTTTTCGTTCTGTTTCCAAAGATACACTGTAAGAAAGGAAAAACAACAGCAATATCTAATCGATCTACTCTATTTCTCAGAGCACCTGATACATCGACAACATCGCTTGATACACTTCAAACTGATAACTCAGTGACTCTATCGACACAAACAACTACCCGTCACAGCAAATATGCTCGATCACAATCAAGTGCGACGACAGCAAGCGAAATTAAAGTAACCCCGACAAGAGCATATCTAAGACGAGATGCTCGCAGTAAGTATCACCGAGTGTGACGAAATCATCGAAACCTGTCCTGTTGTGTTCTAGCTCTCCGGACACGTTCAGAAGACCGCTATCGCGGACCATGCCTTTCACTTCTCGATAGCACTGGTGATACAACAGGAACATCGTCTTCGTCCTCGAATTCTCAGTTACCATCCTATGCTGCTCATACATCGAGTTCAATGAATAAACTGCGTGACAGTTCAACCTCTTCTATTATTCATTCATCCGCTGCACTGCTCTCCTCGTCGTCAAATACATCATTAGCGGTTTCTTCTTCTCGAACGCGCTGCGTTCCATCAGTTGTGTCATACGATACTCGTTCATCATCAGCAAAACCTATGATCAAATCTCGTTCATCACAAAATCTTATTGATGATATGGCAGTCACGATAGCTGTCAACACTGAACCACCTAAGCCATTACCAACACGTCGAACGAAAGTTGCTTTCGTTTCCCGGCGTCCGCCTAATCTTCCAACACCAGCCAATGTTCAACTATCCACAACTTCCTCTTCATCGTCCAATGCATCATCTCCAACGAAACCAAAACGGCATCTTTCGCCTTCACTACAAGAAACTGTTTTACCATTACCTACCCTAGATACATCATCGAATGATCTCATGCCAAAATGGGCACAAGATTGTTTCTACCGAACGGTTGTTCTTGGTTTAAAGCCTTTACTACTACAAGATGCTCCGTCGTCATCGCCCAAAAAACATTCGACGAGTACTTCATCGATGGAAAGCTCCGATTCATTAGAGATAACAAATGAACTAATCAATAATCTAAATGAAATGCCAATACGACGAAGTTTTTCCGTTTCAGACAATCCACAGGTCGATACAACTAAATCTAAACAAGCGTATGCACTTAAATAATATTCGTAAATGTCATCTCTTTTATTTTTCTATTCAAGTGAATCGAATCCAAATGATCACCGTATGCCAGCAATCAGTCATCTTGTTGATGACTTACATAAACGTCTCAATGAATTGGAAAACTTCTATTCGACAGTAAATATATCAACGATTTGCTCCCGATTATCTCCAATTTTTGTCTTTGAAAAGGTTTCTCAAAGTTCAGATAAACGTGATTTAATGTTAAAACAAACAATTGAACAAATCTTTACTGATCTTCATACGCGAATCTCAAATGATCATCAACAGCAAAACTTAACTTCCAATGCTGTTAATGATTAACAATACTTCAATCCGGTTCTTCAAGAATGCGGCGATATGTTTTAGTTTATCTTCAGGGATTTTATTTATCAGATTGAAAATGTGCTTTTCTTCATCTTCTTCTTTTTTTCTGATTGCAACAACTAATTAAATATCACAGCCATGCGTACAACCTATTCTTTCATAACGACAGAGCTAATTACAATACTAAGTAGTTTTCTTACTCTAAAACAACAAAAATCCACGTATGATAACGTATTCGATTGTCTCGCTGCATTGAATGAAGGAGATGATTATTATTTTTGTTAGCACATTGGAGTAATTTCTCCTAATGAATATCTGTAACTTATTATACTTTTGTCAGATTACTTATTTATAGCGTATCTAAAATTGGAACGAGCAAAAAATAGTAAATTATTCTTTAGATAGAAAATTTTGAAAAAGAATTAAATGAGTATGTTCATTTCTTCTTTCTCGTTAGATAATGAGAATTTATTTTGAAAGAACTTACATGTTAAGAGGATGTGCAAAAGCCAGAGTGCATAAATAATTATGTAGTTTTCTTTATCATTGTAATATTTGAAATGAAATAGAAAAAAGCGACCTATAATCACCGTCTTCTTACTCTTCATTCTCATTTTAGCTGCATTCACGTAAAGAATTCATCGACTTTCTCTGCAACATTCAAGTAACCTGAGACTCTCTAGGACATGAGCTCTCTCTTACCTTATTTTGTATTGACCACTGTGATGATTATAATTACATCGATATTTATCATTATCTATCGTATACGAATGAATTTTCTTCGTCAACAAGTTCTTCCGTGTCCAATGCATGTTTTCGTAGTTGCTCAACCTCATCAATTACAATCTAATTACCCTCAAGCATTTTGGGCATCTACAATTGACCATCTACCACCTCCATACAGCTCCGTCGTGCCACAGACTCGAACACGTTGTAATCCAGTGTCGAGCAATAACGAACCATAGGTTAAGTTTTTTTTTCTTGCTTAGTTATTTTTAATTAAATAAATTTTCAAAGTTGATCCAACTAATCTTTCAATCAAAAAACGATCTTATTAGTTAAGTTCTTCAATTTATTATATCATCGCGCATAATAGTTAATTAGTAGAAAAAAAAAGAGAGAAAAAAAAAACATCTCTGTGCAACTGATAGAGAACAGTAGGAAAAGAAATGAAAACCACAAAGGTTGTATACAAGCATAAGAAACAAAATCAGTCTTTTAAGAAATGATGTTATACATAAGAGAATGAATGTGTATTGGGAAGATCGAAAGAATCCGAAGGCAGAAAATACCAGATTTCATTTCTTTGTTTTTCATCTGTCAAACATGATTTTTCTCGTAATTATGATTCGTGCTGTACAAGAATAATGATAAGGAACGAAAGACAATAAAAAAAATAGGTGTAGAAGTGAGTTTTTTTGGAAGACAATAGAATGTGATCCAGATGACTTAAATATAACTACTGATGAATATCGGTGAGGAGAATTCAAGATTAAATTAATACTTGTCTAAAGAAATTCGTCTTTCAATCATATTGACCGAATGGTAATGCTGATGTATCTTCTGTTGAATGCAAATCGGTAGACAATGGTTTATATTCCAATCTGAAAAGAACAAAAAACCACAAAATTACAAATGAGTTCGAACTTTTGGCTTTGTCAACGTACATTAAGTCGAGTAATGTATTCATTGAATTTGTGAGTCCAATTGTATGTCGATGAAGTAGCAGACGTTTTCGTAGATCTAATGCGATATGTCGTGCGTCATTAAGTCTTTCCAACAGCTGTAAGTAGACTGAACTATCTTCATGTTGTTGTTTCAAATAATCTTTTAATGAATCATTCATTTTCTGATAAAGTTCACTGATCGTCGATGAAAATGGTGTTTGATGATAAACGTAATCTAAACCCTCAATGTCGATCTCGTTCTTCTCATGTTTTAAATTCTTACCAGGATTTGTCGGATCAAGTAATAAAATCGATGCTAATGTTGCGGCAATAATCGAATCAATTTTAAACATTTTTAATGTCGATCCATAATTATAGATACTTTGTGCGACGTCACCTAATAAATAATTCATTTGTACTTTATGTACAACAATACCTGAACATAGGACAACACGATCACCATCAAGTCGTGTCGCTGTTCGAAATACAATTTGTTCTAATAAACAATTTGAAAATAATCGATCACGTTCATTGTTTTGAATTGAATAGAATAAACAAAATTTATCCACCCATTGTTTGATAATATCGCATGAACGTGTAATAGCATCGTAGACAAGTGATTTTTCTTCGCATAAGTTTTCTTTAGTCGTTACTGTTCGATACTAAAACAAAGAATCAGAATGAATTGTATTCAAGAGAAATGTTTCATTTTCTAATGTTAATTTACGTTCAATTTGCTGAAGTCAAGATTGGCTGGATTAGGTATGGAATCATTGTAGAAACGACAGAATTGAGTCTGAAAACTATTTGGCTGCCGTGAACTTGGGCTTTTGGGTTTAGATGGTAAACGACCACGACGTCCCTTCAGTGCATCCGTTCGAACAACTAAAATCAACGTGAACCATAGAAGTTCGTTCATTCTGCTGGATGTATGTTTCTAACCTTCTTTATCCATGCCAACAGCAAGACATGTTTGAAATCGGCAGTATTGACAACGATTTCGTCGACGTTTATCAACTGGACAGTTTTTATCTGCCAAACAGACATACTTTGCGTTCTTCTGTACTGTTCGCTAAATAGATTGAATACCATTTGATCATGTTTATTATCGAAAACTATCGAGTTTAACTTACTTTGAAGAAACCTTTGCATCCTAGAAAGAAAGACATGGATAAGAATAGAATGATGCGCAGAAATCAATGAACAAACCTTCGCACGTTCGAACACCGTAATGTTGACATTGAGCTGTGTCTGAAGAAGAGAAAGATACATAATAAAAAATCAGGAATCGTAGAGATTATTCACCTTGACAAACAGCACACAACTGCGAAGGCGATACATCTGCATTTGGCGAAGCTCTTTGATTTCCAACTAATTTAAAATGCATATCAATTCTAAAATCATAGTTCGCATTTAGCAAAACATTCATTTTCAAATCAGCCTACCCAAAATCGTGTTTAAAATGTGAACTATACAATCGCATATGATCTGGATGAGAAACACTATATGGTCCAACAGGATAAGATGTTTGTAGAAGACCTGTGGGAGAATACGATGGGTAGGTGCTTGTTGCCGATGGATGATACAATGAAGAACCATATTCATCGATACCAAGACCAAAATTATTATTATTTGCATTACCACTTATCACACCACTTGTTGACGATGTTGTTCCATTGACATTTCCTATTGAAAAACAAAGATTCGATCAACAAGACTGAGGTCAATCGTTTCTTACCACTATAAGAATTATGTGGATCAATCGGAAATCCTGGTGGCATCATGGTTTCCTGTTTGATTGCTGTTGTTGAATAGCCTGTTGTATGAGGAGGTGATGATGTACTCGCAGTTGAAGTGCCATCGTATGGACTATGATTATTGTTAGATGTCGTCCCTGTTGTGTTATTATTGTTCGTATTTGAATTCGTGTTCGGCGTATTGCAGTTGGAAACACTCGCTTTAGATGCTAAAACCGGTGTATTGTAATAATCGACTGACGATGAATAGCCACTGCTCGTACCAAATGAATGCGATGGGGAAGAATCAGAGCCATTTATACCAGTACCTACAGATGAAGGAGTACGTTCTCGATTTGATGAGCCAGCCATTTGATGATGTTGGTGATGATGATGATGGGACATTTGCTGCTGTTGATGTTGCTGCTGCTGCTGCTGTTGTTGTTGTTGTTGATGATGATGATGTGACACAACGTAGTCGAGTGAGTTTTGTAAGGTAAGATAATCAGGTGGTACAGTTGCATTAGTAGCCGTCTCATGAGATGCAACAAATTCAGTTGGAAATGGTGGAAAAAATTCCGCATATGGATTGGACGGCGAGCAATACATTGGAGAAGGATGCTGTGGATGGTGCGATGGAAGAAGTTGAGGATGTTGAGTTAGATGACGATGGTGATGACTATATGGGTCACTGAAACCAGCAACACCTGGTCCACTAACGCCAAGATTGTCTGTATTCATGAAACGAGCACTAGAATAAGAAGAAAATCCGTTATTTTACATTTAAATAATTGAATTTCTTTTCTTTTTTGTTTCGATAGATTCCTCCCTCTCTCTCTCTTTTTATCAATCAGCTATACTCTTAACGAAATTTGCATGTCTAACTTCGAAAAGGTCGATTATCGAACGTAGCCAAATGCCATTGATGACATTTAACACGCGTATGGATGCTTCTTCTTCTTCCTCTTCTTCGTCAAGCTTACATTACTGCTCATGCTCATCATCAACACCATCCTCCAATTTATTGTGTTCTTTCTTTCCTTTTTTTTCTTTTATAATTTCGAGTTAATTAGAGTCTTGCTTACAATTGATCAAGCTTTTTAGTCTGTCTATTCTTGTATGTTTACATTATAGGAGTCTCCCGTTGTTGATTCTGACAGTTCGAACACGTGTTGTTCGCTTCTGCATTCATTAAAGATGTCGACTCCTGATCTTAAANTTCACATTGTTTAAACAAACAACGATGAAAATCTAGTTGACTAGATTGAATATATACATCTATGTGCATATGCATGTGTGTCAATAGTCTATGTATACTTCCTATTTACGACGAGACACAAACAGATCGAAGAATTGGGTTTTGTGTACCATTGTCTTTATTTTTCGTCTTCTCTTTTTTTTCGTTTTCTCATTCACATACAGTCAATCGTGTATGATACGAAGATGATAAAACAGTGATGAGAAAGAAGAGAAAGAAAAAGATAATAAGATTGATACCTACCAGTAACGCCAGTAGCATTTGTCCATTGTATTATCAAGTTTATAAAAGCGAATAGTTAATGAGGATTTAGAGCATCAATGTCTTCTTTTAAAAAAATTCGGCTTGTCTTTTCAATCAGCTAAGAATAGTAAATTCTTTCTGTTTTTCTGACGATATCCATCCATCGGTTTCTTTTCCTCTGTTCTTCTTTCGTTCTAGTTCTAAACATATATGCTACAACGTAGCCAATTAACGGATTAATGAGAAAATAATTAAATAAGCATCGACATCTTTTCTTCTTTTTTCTCGATAATGGGATCGTCAGCACTCTTCGTTCTTTTCTGTTAGTTTAACTATGGTCTGCTCTGGTTGAGTGACATAAACAATTGGTACCTCTATCTTTCTCATTTTCTCCTTCGGGTATCATTCATCCATTGATTAATTTGGGTAAAGAAAGACGATTTCTGTCTCTCATTTTTTTTTTGTTCATTAGTCTTCCATTTGACTTTCACTGAATAGAACTTTAATGAAACGTTATAGGCGGTGTAACGATATATCAACTTCAAACACACATTCTCAACATCGAGGAAATCGTTCCGTTTCAATTTTCTCTTTTAGAATAACGTTTTCGAGCGTATATAGAGAAAAGCTAATTGTTCTACATTATTTCTCCACCCCAATATGTACGCTCGATTCAACACAGCCAAGCACGCACACGCTTCAACCCTATCAGATGTCAACATATACGCGTGCGTGTGTGTGTCCAGAGACGAATCGATCTACTGGCAATTTCTCCCCCTTATATATATATCTAGACAGGAAGAGACAGTGTATCAGTAGAGAACATGTGCAGAAGAAAACTCCATTCGTCATTGATGATATTGAACATCGTGTTTTATTGATGAGTAAATCAATGTTCTATTGAGCAATTTATCAATACTAATTACCAAGAAAAGCAACACGTTATCATCAATATCCGCCTTGTACAATCGATATATCAATTGTATAAATGAAACAAAAAGCGACGAAGAATAGATCATTCATTTATCATCTCGTGTTGCTTTATTCTCTTGCTGATATTCAGACAGTTTCAAGTTGGATTTTTCATCGGCTGATTTCAACGGTATATATTAGATAACTATCACATAGATGTGATGAACGGAATTTTGATTGAGAAAAACAAATAACAAACGTTTGAGCTTCGCATTACAAAGGCGGCTCACGCTTCAATAATATGACGATTGCATACGCGTGTTTGTAGGACAGAAGAGCAGATCGTATTACATGCACCATATTTAAATTAAATAGAAAGAACCGAAATGTTCCACCTTTTTTTTTTCTTCATTCTCATTCGATTTGCTTGAGATATACCATCTTTAAGTCTCAATGATCCAACATAAATAAGAAAGTGTAGTCGAGCTAAATGGCAAGGATTAACTATTGCTTACAGATGATAATGAGACCTGATATGAGTATAGAAAAAACACACTCGGCATGGCAGACATCGAGCAAAAAAAAACATGACGTATGGATAACAATGGCAATGACAACATCAAAAAAAGGAGAGAAGAAAATGATATGAGACGATCCTTCAAGCATTGATTTTCCGATACTAACAACCATATTGCTCGAAAGTTCGCCCAGGATAACGAACTTCTTTTGTTTTGATCTTCATTCTTTGATGAAACAGATGGTATTCCTTATTGAGCTACTTACATAAGTTTACGTGATAAGATCTTCGATAAACATAGAGATGTATACAATAATCCAACCTTGGATATCTCTCTATTAATTCAGATGTAGAATCGACTCATTTTAATCAGTGGTTGATCGATCCAACTCGTTAGAGACAAGTAGCACGATTATCGAAGAGTGATATTCGTTAATTTCCTTTTTCTCGGTTATCCTCATTATTTGTACCATCCGCTGTGAAGCACATGGAAGGCAATGACAGATTCGACTGCTAAATACATTTCTTTTCTTTTTTGTGTTTTATTGTCAAAGAGAAAATAAACAACACATCGAACTGATCATGTCGTTTCTGCTGAGAGAAATAACAAATATTGCACCTAGTTGTTGTTTTCTTTATGAGAAGTGATTTCAATGTCAATAGAAGAAGACGCAGAAGAATAAGTGTGATATATAACGATAAAATGTTTTGATCATCAAATAGATTGAGAATATTTATTCAAGAGAATAAGTATGTATAATTCTATCATGCTCAATATCGGACAAATACAATCATAATTATTCTGGATTTAAACATTGACAATGTTTTATGATACCGTCATCACTCCAATTTCCTACTTGATATGCATACATGCTTATGAAAATATTCGTCATGTTCTAATGATCATTCACATTATTTATGACAATGAGTATCATACAAAAACATACGTATACAATGATATTTACAAAGTTTATTAGTTTATCAATGCTATTTGAATGTTTGAAACTGATTCGATCGAAATCTAGGAAAAATTCATTGCTGATATGAGATGGTTAAGGTTGGGATAGATTGATTGATTGTATGAAAGTTGGATGAAGTGTTGAAAGATTAATCTATTATGAATTACATGTTGAAAAATGACGAAAAGAATAATGTTTACGAAGAGAATGACTTTGACAACCGGAAAGCGCTTCCGATTAACTTGATCTTTCAATCATTGAATCTGTCATTATAAGAAGAATAGCATATAGTTTCATCTTGAGAATGAGATGCGATAATTTAGCTTGAAGTTATATCTCTCACTTGCACTTATTTTATCTTCAGTCTTGAAACAATCTTTCAAAGCTTACACGTGCATATAATTGATAAAATGCTAAGACAAATGATCGTGACTGTCTATGGTTTATTTTAATTTGCTCTCGACTAGCGCAAAGGAGTATAGTTTGAAAAAACCTTCTATTTGTCAAAACGTTTGTCAGTCAAAAGTTTTTTGGCCTTTCGTGCACTGGCATCACCCGACTTAGCAGCTTTCTCAATTTCTTCAACTGTTGCACCGAGCCATTGGCCAGGAAACTCTTGTCTGATACTTCCCTTCTTTTTCTCACCTATGATTTGTTCAGCTGTTTTTGCCAAGATCAGACCAGCAGCTAGTCCACCAAATAATGTAGCGAGAACTTCCCAACCAAGAGGAATTGCCATTGCTGCCATTGGAAAAGTGTTGATGATTGTAATAATGAAATGCTTATTCGTTGGCTCTTTTTATATTCTATAATCTCCCGGTAAGGGTACAAATAAACTTACTCACACCTTTATTTTGTTGGAAGAAAAATATTTTTATCTATGAATCATCAAACAAATCTCATTCAGGTATTTTAAGTGTAGTTGTAGAGATGTAATAAGATGGTCGTTTTCATATAAACATCGACCCCCGACAAGATAAAAGCTGATTTAACTCACCCAAATTTAACTTTAAATGGAAAAAACCAGAAATCGTTTTTTTCAACCATGGGTTTCACTGTATATGGACAAAAATAAGGAAGATTGTACTATGCGGCATAATGATATTTGTGCAATATATTATTAAGACAATAAATATTTTCATGCGATGTATTTCTGTTAGGATACTTGAAGTACATGGAGACAAATATAGTGCAAAACGCTGTTTACGATCAAAACAATCTATGATGACCAAAAATAAAGCATTTTAAAGCGTTATTGTACTTATTCTTTTGTCACGCTGATTATTTAAGAAAGAAATCATCGATGTTCCCGTTTTATTCGAATCGATTCATGCTGCATCACTATGCCGAGGACATAATTCTATTGAAATTTGATTAGTTGTAAAAATGTTCCATTTTTCCATACTAGATTGTAGTAAAGATCGTCTTTAGTACTATTAAAGTAAAATTCGACTGGTCAGGAGTTTGTTTTGGAGAAAATTAAAAGTGCGCATTATTCGATGTGTGAACAATGGCATAATGTGACGACTTTATCAGGATTCTAACTGAGTTGAACATCATAAACTCATTTTTGAGAGGGAAAAACGCAATTTTAGCTAGTAATTCAAAACTCAGTTGAATTAAGAATAGCTGCTACACTTACAGTTTGATTATACGAAAACAATCTAAACCAGCTTTCTTCGCGTTTGTCAATTACTACCATATAAACGATTGTGTGCAGAAATCCTTTATCTTTAAATGTTTCATAATGAAATGAACACGATGCCTTCGCAATTAGTATCTTAGTTTAAAATTTTGATGGTAACTATAAAATTTAAGAATCTTGTGCAAACGATGAAATATGCGGATGATAATATCAGCTTTGATAGTTCGATAAAATTCCTTGAAATCATATCTACTGGCAAGATGGCATTGATCCTCCGTATTGATGAAAAGTTTTTTATGATTGTGACCAGATAATAATGTAGGTAAGATATACGTAATAGTTAAAAAAGTTTTAAAATTTTCTGAAATCTACAGGGCAAGGAAAAAATCTCTTAATAGAATCCAAGGGACCGGCTTTTTTCTGATTCGACAGTAACCTGTTTTGATGAAATTCTCAGCAGAATCGGTTTCGAACCAGTCTCGTCGGAGTCTGTTATAAAATTATCCCGATGCGATGTTCTCTGGCTCGTTAATTCGAAAATTGCGGAATCATTTCGATCGAATCAGACTTTATTAACCAAACGATATACGATTAATCTATTAAATCTGGTATACAACATAAAAACAGCAACAAAAATAGTGAATATCTGCGTGTTCTAGGAACCTTCTTCTCATTCGAAAGTTCCCAATTAATTCAACAATTACGAATTCCTTGTAATTTTTTAAGAATACAAGCGGCAATCAGCAGATGCCAAGCTGAATTATCATTCGTTAACCAGTTCATAAACGTATTGAATCCTTCTCTTGAAAACAATTGTTTAGCTAAGCTAGCCAATCCATTCTGTACTTTGTCCGAATTGTCTGATATAAATTTAATTAAAGGTACAAGATATTCCGGTGTAGCTGCACAAAAATAATAAATTCCACCAACTAAAACGCCACTACCGAACAATGTCATCACCGTTTTTGTCAGTGTTGTAGCATAATGATATGGAAATATTCCTAGCCAATTTTCATTTTCCTGAATAATTAGCACAACATGAGCCGTACTGTAAATATTTCCTTCATCATAGAATGTTTCATAATTGAACTTAACACCTTTAGAAAAACATTGGATTTTATTCTGAAGTTGGCTTGGTAAAGCACCAAATTCAGGAATGTCATTTAACTTGTCGTATATTCGGATTTTGATTTCAGTTGCTATTTTTAACCAAACATGTTTAAAATCTTCTCGGTCATAAAGAAGTTTAAAATCTTCCATCGAATGTTCTCAGTTGATATCACAATCTAAAATGAATCAATCAGTAAGTTTATGCTATATTACCTCATCAAAATGTTTCCATATTGATGATTATGCCTCGTCAGCATGATGTTACAACGTTGGAATTTCCAACTATGAGTAACTCGATTTCACTCGACATCTTTCATGCAGTCTGATTTGACGCCAGTGTTTCTTTTTTCCTGGACAAACTGGGATTTTTTTCTCCAACGGAAAAAACCTACATGCGTTCTCTCGCTCGCTTTCAGTACATTATACACTAGGAGATAATCTATTTGTCATTGCACATTTCGAACGGTAGAGAAGAAATATGAATACCAACGAGACAGTACTTGCAAATCAAACAGAATTAGAACAAATTTGGACACGAGTTGCAACTGATATTAAAATCCGTAAATTTGAAAACTTACCTGACATTCCCGAATTTCATGATTTACCAAGTGAATTGCAAAATCAACTCAAAAACGAAGTGTCAAATTTAACAAATGATTACAAAATTTTTCATAATGAGCAAAAGTTGACTAATCACCATGCAATACTATTTTACACAGACAAAGATAAATATCTGGCCATATATGAAGAGAAAATACCATCAGCAGCTCTACGAACATCGCTGGCTGCTTTAGGATTTTCCATGGTATTTATTTTTATCTGGCATCAACTTTTCAAAATTTTCGACGAGACTCAAATGCAACAATTACCATTAGCCAATAACGATCTAAATGGTCTCGCAACAGGCTATGACTTGAGTCATTTATTATCATTGATATTGAGCTTTGTACCAACGGTAGTTGGATATTCTCATATACGAACATGGTTTTCAACTCGAGATTCAGCTTATAATAAACTAATCGAAGGCTGTATGCTGAAGAAATTGGATGGGATCTCAACTTCTTAACTATGAGGACAAATTTTTCTTTCAACTGTCTTCGAATATTTTCTGATTATGGTTAAACCTTTATGATAAAATAAACTGTGAATTTTTCTGCAGTCAAGATTACAAATGCACATATTGAAGAGGAGCACTTTCTAGCTGTAAGATTACTGCAGTCTGATCTGGATTTTTACTACCAAGTTTGACCACTATGGTGACGAGAACGAGAGAAAAACAATGAATGCTGCCATCTATGATGATTCATATGGTTTTTTTTCCAAGGGTAGAGAACAGAATAAATATATATATATGATTTTTGTCAGTTAAAAGTTTTTATCGACAATGACTACTTCTGAATTAACAAATCTGCGAGGTTATTTTGATCAACAAGACCTTCAAAAAACTTGGATGAACATTGCCACCGATATCAAAATTCGAAAATACGATCAATTAGACAATATACCTGAATTTCGTCAACTACCCAATGATTTTCAAAATCAAATCCGATCTGAAACGATTCCATTGAATGGCGATTATAAATTCTTCGACAATCAGCAATATCTCGATCGTTTCTATGCAATGTTAGCGATAAAACAAAAGGAGAAGTATCTTGCTTTCTATCAAGAAAAGAAACCCTCAGTCAATACCCAGATATTACTGACTGGTATTGGCATTGGAAGTTTATGTTTTATTTAGCACATTTTCAAATATCTTGAAGATACACACAAATTGACAACAAATCAAAATTTAAACCAAATGACAACAGTTAACCGTCTTGTATCGTATACATCGAAACATTATTTCACGATGATTTTAACTGTTTTATCACCAATCGCGGCGTATTTTCTCACTCGAAAATGGATTTTTGATAGCGATATACGACATCAACAGCTTGTGCATGCCTGCATTCTGAAAAAATTAGAGAGTATTGCAAAGACTGGTTAATCTGAAAAAAAGTTTTTCTATTGTATTGTATTGTATTGTATTGTATTTGATGTGTGATTCAATAAAATATTGATTATTATCTAACCCTGAACAGCTAGATCGTCTTTTGTTTTTGAACACTCGTTCACGTTCAATAAAATCGCATAGGATTGTCGTATTTATTTGATTTATCTCTTAAAATACACATCAATAACCACGAACACTTTGCATCTTTTTTAGGATGCAAGCTGCCACTAGCATTCTCCAATCGGAATGTTCATTCATGAGCCACTTCCGGAAAGCAAAATACGTTGCTGTCGAAAACAGCGTACCAGCAGCCGATACAATCGCGTCTTGAAGCTTTTGGTAATGTTTTGAAATATAGTTAGTGACAGTGAATAAATGTTGCGGTGCCGCAGTCCAAGAGTAGTAGATACCACCGATACAAACAGTAAGTCCTAAGAATGATGATGCCCCTTTGTTCAGAGTGGTAGCATAGTCATAGTGATACATTCCCATCCAGTTTTCGTTGCTTTTTTCATCGAGTACTACCACATATGCTCTATTGAAGAAAGTTCCTTCATCAACAACGGTTTCATAGTTGAACTTTTCGTTAATTGCAGCTGCACAGACTTTATTCTGTAAATTCGATGGTAAACTTTGAATTTCAGACAGATCCTTCAGGTTTTGATACTTCCTAATTTTGATGTCACCTGCCACTTGAAGCCAGACTTCTGCAAAATCGTCTCTCTCGTATAATTTTTGTAATTCATCCATTTTGTATTTGAGGTAGAGCTAGCCAAATGTTTAAAAAGTATTATCTTCGATCGAATTATAGAATCAAAGAAAGAGCAAACTACGCAAGGCGTGTTCATCATAAATGTTCCACAAGCGGTGTATTTCTGTTGATACTCTGCAGTTCACACGAGTCATTCAGGAACTTCCCAACATATTTCATTTGTGGGTGCTTATATTCTTTCTGATTCGTTGGATTTTTCCGACTTCTCGTCGCTGTATGCATTATTTCTTGTCTTCATACACTGAAGAATGGAAGAGAATGTAAAGCGAGATTTTGTCCTGTCATTCTATGTATAAACGTGGTTTTTTACCCAGTGAAAAGGAAAGATTTCCGTCATTCTTTTACGAATTTTCTCTAGGAATTAGTCATATTGTTTGCGTATGTATTTAGCAATTTCAAACTAAACGAGTAAGATGGACAACAACGAAAAAAATCCAAGTGATCCAATACTTCCTTCCAGTCAAGAAGATTGCGAACAGATTTGGCTTTCAATTGCAACTGACATTCAAATACGAAAATTCGAAAATTTAGACGATATACCTGAATTTCATCAATTGTCTGATGAATTACAGAAGACACTCAAAAGTGAACTTACAACATTGAATAATCAACACAAAATGTTCTATGATGAACAAGAACTGAAGAATTTCCATGTAATATTATATGTCAAAGACAAAGAAAATTATCTTGCAATATATGAAGAACAAACTCAATCGCAACAGATACGAGCAATAGTTAAAAGGATGAGATTGGCGGAACTTTACCAATGCCTTTTGAATTCTATTCACAAAGATCCTGACCAAGATCAAACATCAAATAATGATCACCAGGAACAATCTCAACCGATAGAAAAAAACAACTCGAATAGTACTGGATTATCACGTTGGCGCAACTTCTTGTCCCGTGTGCCAAATACGAACGTACAAGACTATATGCCGTCATTTCTTCAACAGTCTACTTCAACTTCCGAATTACGACGTAATGAATTGATTGAAACTTGTATGGTGCGTAAACTAGAAAGCATTTTGAATGCGAAGTGAATAAAGCTTGTTATGCTATGATCTTGTTCTATTCTTGGAGTTTTGCTTTCAAAAGAAATAAAATTGTTTGCATAAGAAATCTAGTATCAATATTTGCATTCCCGGGTGATATTGAGAAGGAACTTTCTCACAATGACTTTCAAAAACGCTTTTTAAACCGTTGATTCCTGGCGACGTATGTATAGGTTCAAATAAAGCTATTGAAGGCAGATGCCCATAACATATTCGCTTGACTGTACGGAGAATCAGATGAACAAAATCGTTTGTTTGTCTACGTATTCGTGTCAAGTTCCTAAGTCGAATGTGTAAACAAGGGTAGCTTTGGAATCTCGAATACTATAAAAGAATGAATACTTCGTATGAAACTGCACAGTCGATTCATCCTACCATTGAAAGGCACCAAAAACACCTCTATCTACGACAGTCGTGGTTCAACTTCATTTTACTGATGATAAGCATAATTACTAATACCAACAAAGGTGTAAGTCAACCTAAATAAGTATGCCTGAAAAGCTATGCAAGTTTTCATTTGAAAAGTTCTTTTTGATTTATTTTCTTGATAGATTCTAAACATGAACATTTATTTATAGTGTAAATACTAATAGAACACAAAAGTTATACTGAATAAGAACATATAACATCATAAAAAGAAGTAAATGTCACTAATCTACAATTTATTTGAGATTCAAGAAATGGCAGCAGGAGGATCAACTGATGTTGGTACATAAGCAATTGACTGCGAATTTTCATGAACTAATCGTGTTCGACGTTCACGTATGTCAGTCAGCAGTTTACGAATATCATTTTCAAGTTCACCACGGCCTCGATCGAGATTCACTAAATAAGAAAACAAGTAGAATTGAGCATTCAGATTTCTAGTGAAATAAATTTACGCGCAGACGAGGTTGATGTATCACCAGCCACTGAACCGTTTGGTGTATTAATACATCGCACTTTTGTTGGTCGATTCATCATTCCAATAACTTCTACAATTACCGACTATCGTGTATAAGTAAAAACAAACTATTGATATAAATTCTCACCTGATGTTTGATACGATTCTGTATTCGGTTCATCGATTGCTGTGGTTATTTTTGCCTTCGATGATACTGGTCTTTCAATATCTATGATAGGAGGTTTGTTACTACTCATCACTTGCATTAATTGATTGGTGTTTTGACTGTTTAAAGCATTCTGAACATAACAAGACAATGATTATATCGATACATAATCTTTGTTCTACCTTTTGTTGATACATATCATTCAGTTGCTTTTTTACTTCTAATTCTTTTGCTTTAGCTTCACGGAGTTGTTTCCAAACCTAAATTTTGCGAAATCAAACCGTTCAGTTGTTTTTTTTAATAATTTAGTTTACGTCAGTCATATCATCCTTTGCATCTTCATCCTTCATTTCAAATCGTAATGCAATATTCCCATCATCCATGGATATCTCATTAGGAAAATGATGTGTATGCTAGAAAGAAATCAAACATTTATAGAACCAAAGAAAAGTTTCATTAAACCTTAGCATCTGCGATAATTTTTCGTGTTGTAGGTCGTAGACTTTGATCATCAGCTAAATCGTCCAAATCGAAAGGAGCACCATTTGATGGTTTCGTTGTTTGTAAACGAAGCATTTGCTAGAACGACAAAACCGAATTGTTTCGTGACTATTTGCGTCAGAGATGAGTTTTACGTTTTCTAAGATTTTTGTTTGAGTTTCCAATTCAAGCGCTTTGAGTTCGGCAGATTTGATTCCTGATTCTAAAACATCTTTTCGTTCTCCAGCCTAAATAAAAGATGTATTATATGAGCATAAAAAGAGACAATTTGACGTACTTTCTTGCGAATTTCGTCATCCAATCGATGTAATTCAGCTTCTTTGAGTAAATGTTGTTGATGAAGCATTTTGCGACGTGCAACATCGAGCATTTGCATTTCACGAACTTTGATTTCTTGATTGAGCATTTGCAGTCTACTCGAAGAAAATGAAAATAAATTAATTGGAATGAGAAAACGAACTTCGATTTTTGTTCCTTGACGCGATTATCTTCTTCTAATAATAATCGACGTCGTTTTTCTTCGGCTTCAATTAATAATTGCTAGAAGAGAAGATTTCGTGGAAAATAACTAATAAGAAAGTTATGGCAAACCTGTTGACGAAGCCATGATTCTTCTTCATGTCGACGCTGCTGTCGTTCACGAAACATTTCAACATTTAATTCACTAGATAAACACAACAATCGTATCTTAAATCAATTCTTTTGACTTTTACCGTTGACGAATATAATTCATCTCTTCTTCACGTAATTTTTCTTTTTCTTGTATTTGATAATCAACAATGAATTTCGGATATTTATTAAAAACAGGATATTGTCCGCGTGTCAATGGTTGAAATGCTTCGATCATACGCTTTGGATCAATATCTGCTGGTGTGACTTCACTAAGCCGATAGGCTTCAGTGAGAATCGTTTGTACTAGTATTGGATTGCGATGATGAAAAAAATATTTAAAGTCATCCAATTCAGTCACTCGTAACAGTGCACTTCGATTATTGATACAATACGATACAACAATAAAGAGAATAAATGATGGATGATTACTGAATATATGATCAAATAAACACAACCATTCGTCACGATTGAAGATTTCCGAAAAGAATGTTTCCAATAGTGACCATGCATAGATCTGTTCAAAATGAATTCTTAATTAGATCGCAGGTTGATATTAGTACTTACCTGTGACGTTACTTTGTAACGTACGAAATGTGTCAGTAAAGTCCGATCATGATGTGTTAAAAGGTTTTCAACCATTCCTTTACAAAGAAACAGAGACGTATTGAGAGACTCAAGTCTGATGTCGTACCTAAGATATTCACAGGTGGATTTGGAAAGTACATAAACCATAATTGACACCAGTTGGAAATAACTGTTGCAACAACTTCAAAACAAATTAATTGATTATTTTCAAATAATTTTATAAATGGAAATGCTAATAATGGTAAAAAGTCGGTTTCGCCAAAGATCGATGACCAGTGAGATAATGCCGATAACACACTATTATGAAAAAAAAAATGAGATCAAGAAGAGAAGAAAAATGCTCCTCCGGAGAATACCGTTGCATAATTCGTAATAGTTTTCGACTTTTAAGTGGATATTGATCTTGTAATTTAGCAAAAGATGAATGACCACCTTTTTCAACAAGGGCAGCATAAGCTGCATGATTTTCAGGTAAACGAAGAAGACATCGCCAGATGAATGCTCTTCAAAATAAAGATTTCATACGGAGATGGGAACTCCTTTTTCCTTTCTTACCGATATTTCGATGGATATTCGCCATAGAATCTCAATAATTTATAGAGTTTTTTGAAATTCAATCCTTCCGGTAGGTCTCGAAACTAAATATTGGAGAAAGTTTCCTTCCTAATCAAATCTGTATTTCATTAAATCTTACTGCCGATTGATCAAGTGTTGTTGACGACACGCTTGTTTTATCTGATATTCTCGTTGCATAATGTTGTCTCAATTGTAACCGATCTGATGCTGAATGACGACGCTTTTTAAGCGCTAATTTCTTTCCTGTGACTGTACTCGCACTTGACGTTATTCCCGAACGAAAACTTCGTGCAGTCGTTGATCCCTTCGAACATGTGATTTGACTATTTGTGTCATTGTTAAAATCGTCATTGGAACGTAATGCTCGAACGATAGGCGACGGTGCACGATTTAATTCTTTCCATGTTGATGCTAAATCATAGATTTGTAATTGACCTGATTGAAGTGTACATGCACAAAATTTTCCACTCGACGCAAGAAGAAAATGGTGAATGGGATCAGTTTCTTGTCCAATTTGAAATAGATCACGGCATGTCTCGATGTCAGCGAAACGAACAATACCATCTTGACAAAGCATTGCAATAACCTAAAAATAAGATCGACAATCGTAGAAGTCATTAACTATGACGGAATTCGTACTTTATGCGAACCACCATCGAAACTTTCACTAACGAAAGACATTTCTTTGATTTCTTTAATAGCTTTTGGTAGTTCAATTATTTTAACTAGTTTATGTGTTTCTAAATTCCATATCTGTAGATAAGTCGACTTTCCACCACACACCAGTATTCCACCATCACTAAACCAAGAGACTAAGCTATAAATAGAATATTGTTACAATTGGCTGACTTTGTAACCGCAAATGCTCGATAAAATGGTGGATTCTTCTCAGGCACAACTAATTGATATTTGAATTCGAGATTTTTTGCATCCCAAACAAGGATTGAGTCATCACGAAAACATGTTAAAATATAGTTTGATACCGGACAAAAGAAAGCCTTAAAAATATTTCATAGAGAATACAAAATCAAAGGAAGTAGTGCTTACACGGTATAGACAAACATCATTTTTATTTGTAATTGTTAATTTACGTTTACGTTCGAATGTTTTCAATTCCCATAAGAATGCAATCTCAGCAGACGTTGTTATACAAAAATCGCCATTGCTATCAACTGAAATTTCCTTCACTGGCGTTGTATGGCCTTTTAACCATGCAACAAATTCTTTCTTATCTGAAACAAATTTAATATACAGAAAACAACCATCTGAAGAAATAATCGCTTACCAGCATCGAAGCATTTCACGGTAAAATCGGGCATAGCGAGCAAAAATTCTGATGGATTTCGTAGATTAAATGCAACTGCTGTACAGCTTGTACCTGTTCGATGAACAAGTTCGAATCTAAGCAAGAACGATTATGCCAAATGTCAAGGGCCAACTCAATTATGTCCATACTTATTTCGGATCAGATCGAAAACATAGACATTTCCACGTTGATCAACTCCTAACAATCGTTCGCCAAAACGATCAAAACCTGCTTGAAGAAAATGGACTGTTTTCAATGGAACATCGGCAACATTATATATCGAATGTAGAACAGTCACTAGTAAACTAGAATCATCGAAATAGTATTTTCAAACGGATAAAAATCGAATATATACCCATGTTTGCCAGCTCCTTTTCGATGCCAAATCTGGCCGCCCTCTTTACCATGTAATTCAAGCGTATTGTGCATTATCTAGAAGAAGATGCAGTGATTTGAATTAGAAAACAATCGATCTTCGATGTAAAATGTACAAAAGACATATGCAATCATTTCTTTTCGATTGGCTTTAAATCTCCATAGGAGAGTCTATTGTTATGACGTTAGTGACCACTTTCACTGGAGAGCTGTTATGAAACTACTGGCGCTATCTTTTGACGACGCTGTCGTACCAACTGAATGTGTCGCCGTAAAGCGTGGAATGAGAACATCATAGCTTGTCACTCGCATATGAACTGCATATGTGTACTTCATTATGTGTTTTTTGTGTCTATAATCAACTATGGAACGAACGATGTATTTCACCTGAGAAATTTATTTCATTAGTGCCTCTCGCTGTCTGACTACAGTTCATAAAATATACGCCATGATCCTCTAGCCTAAATCATTTTTTGTATATTTATCCATTGTAAATTACCCTCGTTTAAATCTCAAACCGAATGAAAGAAAATAAATCTTTAATTGACGTGAAGAATGTTTCAAATAAAAGTATATCAATGCTCAACACATAAGGCATCCGGAAATAAAGAGAATAAATGTCCGTATGAGCAAATGCCATGGCGAAGATGGATCAGAATAGACCTCGGTCAGATCAACAAGAGCGGTTGCCATTGTTAACACAAAGTTTGCTGTTGCTATCATAAGATATTCTGGTATACGATTCCTGTAAGTTCAGTTTATCACTCCAATTGATCAAAAAAGAAATCATCGAAGGCATAGGTTGTTTTCTATATTTTTGCAAGAAGGAGATCATTCTTTCCTACTGATTGAAAAGATGACTTCTTTTGGAAGTGTTTGACTAACAAAAGTCTTTTGCTAGAGTAGATTTTTAATTGTTTCCAAGTACAAGTGTGAAATGAGAATATTCGTTCTCTTCGCTTTCTTATCCGCTGCTGTGTGTTCAATATATTAATTCTACATTCGCTGTATGTATAGAAAAGATCAAGTTTGAAACAAGATGAATTTCTTAAAGATCGATTGATTTGATGCCAAACTATCATTTGATATATTCAGTTTTATTTCGTTTTACGTCATACCAGAGTCCATAGATACGTCGATCGTTATGGAATTCATGTCTCATACATATGAACTGCTTGCGGTTGTGTCTTTGGCGCCACCTAACGCTTATTCGAAGTCGTAGACTGTGGCATCAATATGATCATTGCGTTGCGAAGTAGAATGTGTGTTCATATTGGAATCTTGTGATTTGTTTACAGATTTCTCGATCAAATGTAGTATAATTCTACTATTTCGCACTTTTAAATGTCGACGGAACATTATCAGTCATGGGCGTCCTCTAAAATTTTATTAATTGATTTCATAATGGAATACCTATTCTCAGACATGATGTTTTTCTATCCATATGTCATATCAACGTATCAATCGTAATATATGACAAACTTCGTTCATTATTGATTTGTATCATAATTTCACCGTATAATCGTAGTCTAGACATGCGAATAAGATGATTCAATAAATAGCAAGTTCAATAGATCAAAGTTCACCAGTCCAGTAGAGAAAATAACGAGCATTGGTTGTTGCTTGTAAACAATCACTTTTTATGGAATTGATTCTCTTTTAGATAATCATTTCTTTTGAGTATGTTTTCGTAATAGTCATTCAATCAAACAATTTTGATGGAATGAGATTCATCAAGTTTAACAATCGACTTTTGTCGATCTCGACTGCCGGTACGTATTACTCTGACTGAATAATTCGTAGTCAAAAGCGAATTCTTTCATATTTCAGGACGAAAAACTCTCCCGACAATAACTGCATATTCAAATTCTTCAATCTACTATCGACGTTCATTATTGAATAACTCAAATTATGTCTTGGCAGTATCATCACAGCATATTTACCTTTTTCATACATCTTCGTTACACTACGACGATCGATCAAAAGTAGAAAGAACGGTTAATTTGTTAAAGAAAGGTACCGGTGATAAGGTCAAAACTGTACAAACTGCATCGACAGAAGTTACGACGCTAGCCATTCAGTCGGATGCTTCCTTAGTACCAACAACGACTCCTGTCGCGACAATTGTCAAACGCAAATCTCTCTGGCAACGAATTGTGCACGAATTAAAACATTATTATAATGGTTTTAAATTATTGTTTATTGAAACCAAAATTGCTTTTCGTCTTCTTCGACAAGTTCTCAATGGACATACATTAACTCGACGAGAACGCAAACAAGTATCGTAATTCGCTTAACTGTTTCCTTCTTTCTTTTCTATTCTTTGAGATTGTAGTTTACTCGCACTGCTTCTGATCTATTTCGACTTGTTCCTTTTTCTGTATTTATCATCGTTCCATTTATGGAATTTACATTACCAATCTTTTTAAAACTTTTCCCAAACATGCTACCAAGTACATTTAAAGAAGCCGATAAAGAAGTAAAAGATAAATTTTTCTTTCCTTCAATCGAATGATAATGAAGATCTGTTTTCTTTTAGAAAGAGAAGTTGAAAAAACAAATGGTACTGAAGTTCGGTGTGGCAAAGTTTTTACAAGATACATTAGAATCCACAGCATTAACAGCAAAGAGAAAACGCTCTGATGATGCATTACCAGCACAATTTATTGAATTCATGAATAAGGTAAGCTAGATTGTAAATGAGCAGCTTGAGAGAAAAATCTACTAATACAAATTGTGGTTTAGGTTCGTTCCACTGGTGTCCAACCGTCCACAGAAGAAATCATGAAATTTTCTTCTTTATTCGAAAATAAATCAACTTTAGACAATCTTGATCGTCCACAAATCGTTGCCGTATGTAAACTTCTCGGTATCTCAACTATTGGCCCGGATTATTATCTTCGCTTTACGCTTCACTTGAAATTACGTCATTTAGCAGCTGATGACAAATTAATTCAAGCCGAGGGTGTTGACAATTTGACTGTCGAGGAATTACAAGCTGCATGTCGCGAACGTGGCATGCGTTCACTTGGTGTGAGTGTCGAACGATTACGTTCCCAATTGCAACAATGGCTTGATTTACATCTTAATCAACGTATTCCGACGACGATTCTTTTACTGTCACGCGCACTCTATCTACCAGAAAATATTTCTCAAGAAAAGGTTCTCAAAGCCGCAATTCAATCACTTCCCAAAGCAGTCGACAATGTAACCGCTGTTAAACTAGCGCAAGTTAGTGGTGAACGTATGGATAACACTCAACGCATTGAATACATCAAACGTGAAGATGAAGCAATCCGAAAAGAGCAAGCAGACAAAGCGCGAACAAAAGTTTTGACCGAAGCTGAACTATTGAAGAAAAAACTAGCCGAACAAGTTGTTATCCCAACAACACCATTGGATGTTCCCAAAGAAGAAATTCTCGTTGATACTGCACCAGTACTTATTGATATGAAACCAGTTGAGAAAAAAGATGAACAAAATATTGATGTTCGACCATTTGAAACTGCTCTTGGACAATTAGTCAAGGAAAAAACAAAAGAAGTATTTAGTACTGTTGAAGGTATCCGAGGCCTGAAAGTAAGTGAACAGAAAATGAAGTTAGTTTTTCTCGTGGATGGAAAGTTTTCTAGGCGGATGTGAAAGATTATAAAGAAGATGTTAAACAACTTGAGGTGTTGACAGCAACAAAGCAATTGAAACATTTAGGTGAAACACGTTCAGCTAAAGCGCTTTCAAAACGCATTGACAAGCTTATCGGTGATCTCGATCAGATTGTGCAAACACTTGACAAAAGACAAGATATTCTAAAAGCTGATATCAAGGTTTGTGTTTTTTCTCTCTCTCTCCCTGTACGGATGCCTAACGAAAACAACATGTTGCTTTTTTGAACACAGTCTGAAGAAGATGTACTCAAAGATTCAGCATTACTAAAAAATGATCAAATTCAACAAACAAAAGATTTTCTTACCGAGAGAAGGTTTGCACATTTACGAATAAGTGATCTTTTTCGAGGACCAATTTTCTTTTGGACAGAAACATGCTTGTTTCCACTCAAGAATTCGTTAATACAATTCGTCAAATTCAAAAGGCTTCCAACGAGTCCAACGATGCTCAAGTCTGGGACATTATCAATCAGTTCGATCACAATAAAGATGGTTTTATCGAAGCTGATGAAATCTTAAAAGTAAAGTGACCAAGATTTGAGATTCAAACGAAGTTTTGCTATTTTTAGGCATTGGAATTAATCGGTAATGAAAAAGTTCAAATATCGAAAACGCATTTGCAAGAAATCATTGGTCTCGTTCGCAAAGAACACATTGTTGAAAAGAAAGTAAAAATCGATGCAATGATTCAACAACAGGCAGTAATCAACTCGGATAACACGGTTCCAATGACTAAAAGCGTTTGAATTGTTTCTCTTTTCGTTTGCTCGGTGTCTTTGTCTTCTTCTAGTTGCAAAAAACCACATTCATTTACTTATTGTAGCACTTTTATTTATTTTTCCGCTCATTTTTAGATGAATTTTAGTGAATTGTTTAAAGTCACATCTCGGCAATGCTCATTCTCTCCAGATGGTGAATATCTCGCATGTGTCAATCAATATCGTTTAGTAATACGCTCGTCAACAACATTAGAAATCATCAATTTGTTCGCTTGTGTCGATACAATCGATACAATCGAATGGTCCTATGATTCACGTTTAATCTTAGCTGGTCTGATCAAACGAAATGCTGTTCAAGTCTTTTCTCTCGACAATCCTGAATGGAAATGTAAAATTGATGAAGGTTCAGCTGGCCTTTGTAATGTGCATTGGGCACCTGATTCTCGGCATATCCTAACAACAGCACAATTTCATTTACGTATTACAGTTTGGTCGTTAGCGTCGAAAAACGTCTCCTATATTAAATATCCAAAGAAACTCTCGCCAAAATCTTATGTGTTTAGCTTAACAAAACCGTATATGGCGCTGGTAGAACGTCGAAATGATAGTACCGACCATATTTCGATCTTTGATTATTCAGCGAATTGGTCAATGATCGCACATTTTCAACCAAGTGAGTTAGAAGATCTGCAGGGAATCGAGTGGTCACCGATTGCTGATGTTTTATGTCTGTGGGAAAATTCGTATGAATATAAAATCGTTTTTTATACACTTGATGGGCAATTATTAAATGTATATAAAGCAGAGAATGATCGATTATCGTTAGGCGTGCGCTGTGCTCGTTGGTCGCCAACCGGACAAGTTATTGCCGTGGGAGACTATGAAGAACGTATAACAATATTCAGTTATTTAACTTATAAAAAAATTCAATCATCATTTGAACATCCACAAAAATTATCATCTGGAAAAGGCTATACAATCCTCAAAGAAGAAGAATATAATTTAGATGAACAGGAGAAAAACGAACACAGGTAGATTGCTTTCTTCGATCGATCATCAAATGACCAACTACACATTTATCTGATGTTTTAGTCAGCGAAAACCATACTCTTCGGCTGCTTATTCATCTGCAGCTGTCTTGCAACCAGAACCTAAAAATGCTGTTGAATCAAAGTATATCATCTATAATGGTACTCTACAGATCGCACCGATAAAGCCAGATCTTGATCGAGCTAATCCTCGCTTAGGTGTTTCATCCATTGAATATTCTTGTTCAGGTCGATATTTATCCACAATCAATGACACAATGCCAAATCTTCTATTTATATTTGACTTTAAGCCAACACTCCACTTAGCTTTTGTTCTCATCCAAACTCAACCGATTCGCTGTGTTAAATGGGAGCCTAAACGTGATCATTTAGCGTTATGCACACATAATAATCGTGTTTATGTCTGGTCACCACAAGGTGCATCTTGTATAAATCTTCCAGATGAATCATCAAAACACAATATTGATGAAATCAAATGGAATAATTTAGCATCTTCACCAACGGTTGCTTTGATTGGACAAGATTCGATGTGTGTCGGATTTATTGATACTTAATGCGTGTTTGTGTTCAGATAGATTCTCTTTTTCTTTCTTTCTTTCTTAACATTTTATGAATGATTTTTTGCGTCCAATAATAATGCCATTGATGTTCTCATATAGAATAATGCTTTAAATCGTGTTTTTTTTAGATATGAAAAACGATCAGCAACCGCAGAACGAAATAGAGGACCAGGATTACGATTTGAACTTTTACGATCTACTTGAAGGTATCACCGATAGAATCGACGCAATTTCTCAACGAAGTGAGAAATTCTGAATGGAAATGAGTATCACGACGAGTGAAAAATTGCCTTTTCTAGTTGAAGAACATAAGCAAGACTCGCGACAACGATGGCAACGAACCAAAGGGGAAGTTGATGAGCAAAAGCGTTTACTGAAAATTCAACTTGAAAAGCGCGTTCAAATACTCTCCGAGAATTTGAAGAAGCCAGATTTTATTCGTACAAGAGACAAGATTACATTTACAGTCGGTGTCGCTAACACTTGTTTTTCTCCATTGATTGGTACATCATACCCAAATATTCTTTTTCACATCATTCATTTGACATTCTTTTCATTTTAGCTGGACAATGGCCACACCTATTACCAATTGTTTATACAATTCAAGCACTTTTCTTGATCACCCTTCGATTTTTTATCTATAAACATAAACATTGGCATTATTTTAGTAAGATGTGTATCATTTTCCTTGTCTTTTGTTTTATATTCCTTTTAATGTTTAGTTTATGATCTATGTTACTATGCTAATTTATTAACACTGATCTATATATGGATTTTACCGACATCAGAAATACTTTTCTCTGTTTGCTACACATTAGCACATGGGCCATTAGCTGTGGCGATTATTCTATGGAGAAACTCGTTGGTTTTTCACAGTAAGTTTCTAATCTGTGTTAAACATTCTCCAAATCTTTTTCGAATACAGGTTTCGATAAAGTAACAAGTATTTTCATTCATATGTAAGTCGATTCTTGTCTTCACGGCTTATTAAAGCTAATCTTCTGCTTTAGGTACCCACCATTGACAATGTTTACACTTCGTTGGCTTGTACCGATTGAACATCAAATCAAGCACTATCCAGCTATTATTAACGTTGGCAGTACGCTTCCAGTGGGTCGAACCATTCTCTACACGATTCTGTTCTATTCGGTTTGGCAAGCATTGTATTTCATATTTATTGTGTATGGTCGGCGAGAAAAAGTTCAAAGTGGCTCCCGAGTGACATCTTACACATGGTTATTGAACGATAAGAAAGGTTTTGTCGCTCGTCTCGTGGACAAAGTTGGCTTTGCAGAATCTGATAATGAAATTAACATCTACAAGGTTCTCTTCTATTTCCTTCTACAGTTTGCGTACATGTTAATTTCGATTTTACCTGTTTGTCTATGGTATTACCAATATAAGTAAGTTTACACATGATTAATGACGATATAAGAAAATGAAACTGTTTGCTTAGGTATATCAATGCGATATTTCTATGTTCTGTGTTTGCTGTAAGCGTTTATAATGGCGCTTCATTTTATATTGGTAAGATTTATTTGAACTACTCGTCGTTGCTTGTAATTTCATGTGTTCCAGAGGTGTTCTCGCGTCAATATATCAAAAGTCTTGAACTCTTACAAGGATGGGAAAATCCCGGTGCAGATAAATCATCGTCTTCAACGCATCAGTCATCGAAAACCGAGTCACATAAAATTGATGAACAAAACAAAAAAACCTCGTAGATGTATCTATCAATCAATTTAGTCTAGCAATTTATTTTTATCCCAGAGTCGTATATATAACTTTATTCTAATCTGAACAAAATAAATAGTTATTTGAGAAGTGAAGAAACGTTTATACGATGTTTGAATATCTCTGAATCACATATATATGTAAAGAAAAAGATAGAGAAATTTTCGTTTATCAGTGTTCTTATTTTGTCATGTGAATAAGATCGTATGACACGAAAACTTTCACTTCACATTCTCTTTCGATATGTTTTCAAATTCTATTTTAACCGTGTTTTTGCTTATCAGAACCAAGTTTAAACAGGACAGATAGACGTCCGATGATAACAAAAAGAACAGGAATTCATTGTCCTCAAATTCATTAATTATTAGAAGAAAAAGAGGTAAGATTCATTGATTGGAATACTCCTGCCTCTCTCCTTCCTAAAATGAATTCTTCCTCATCTCCTATCTGAATAGTTGAATGCATTGTATCAATAACGAATTAGGCAGTAGAACTCGTATGGAGAGAAGAATATGAATAAGCACACACCCATTTGTGGGTCATTTTTACTATTTATGAAAAAAACTAGACAAAGAATATTCAACTCTTGTAGGTTTTGACAGTTTAACACGCGTTCAATGTATCACTCGCATTTAAGTTCAGTAGTGAAAAGTTCGTCTGCATCGAATGACGCTATTCTTAAAGATGCAGTTGATTCAATTCGTCTCACTACTAAACGCCCATATCGCATATCCGCACCAACAATCGCTTGGCAGTCGGGAACAGCAGTAGGCTCAACAGCAGATATTGATCTAGATGCATTGGATGCCGAATTCGAGCGATTATCGTTTGATTTTAAAGGTCAATTAGCTGAATTACGAAAAAATCCTGATAATTTAACTCTACGTCACACGCTTACAACTACTAAAGAAGCTTTGATACGTATCAAAACATGGTCATCGCTATTGAGTACATCTGACGGTTTAGCTTTAGTACGAAAAAATATGGAACAACAACGTAAACAGGAAATCCTCCGACGGAAATATGAAATAGATGAAATACTTAAAATCTCGAAAGTACAAGCAGCCGCTGATCTGTGTTTTCTCATTGATTGTACAGGTAGTATGAGAAAATATATTGATGCTACAAGAAATCAAATTCGTCAACTGACAGACGCTATCGTTCAACTGTTTTCTATTAAACCTCATATTGCATTCATCGGCTATCGGGATATTGGCGATAGTACGGAAAGATTAGATTTTACCGATGATGAAAACATTTTTCAAGAATTTTTAAATAATGTGCAAGCCATCGGGGGTGATGATACGTGTGAAGATGTGTTTGGTAAGTTTTTTTATGATGAAAAACCAATCCAATACAGTGTGATCTTCCTTATTATTATTCAGGTGGATTAGAAGCAGTCGAACAACTTTCCTGGTCGAATCCCAATCGTATTTTAATCCATATATGTGATGCTCCTTGTCATGGACGAGAGTATCATGAATTTGAAGGCACAGCCAATGATAACTATCTTCAAGGTGATCCTAAACATCGAGACTTATCCAAATTACTATTCGCTATCAAGCGCTTAGGTATTACGTACTGTAAAATTTCCATTAATGATACAACGAAGAAAATGTTCGATGAGTTTTCTTTCATCTTTGGATCAATAGCGGAGATCCATGTTGACAATCCTACTTGTCTAATAAGACGGGTCATTGAAAAAACAAGTGCAATCATTCAAAGTAACATTAAATCTACCATATCTTCATATCAGAATACGAATAAACCAATTAAGTCGTATACAATTGTTAGTCATGAGCCTCATTGGGATCTTATTGAAACACACGATGTGAACATTACAGAAGTCATTCCTCCGAGCGAAATTGAAGATCTATTTCTTCCATTGGGTGTTAGTCAAACTCAAGGTCAAATGAAAATAGCACAACATCCATTTGCCAAAGGATCACTTCGATTTGCATTCTACGGTCAGTTCTTGAGCGAGGATTCTTCGTTTGTTGATGTAGTTTTCAAAGAACTTGCCAATACTGATTCGAGAGCCAATACATTAGGTGTCTATCGAGAACATTTGGAAATTCAAGCGATTGCTCAGTTCTTAGCTGAATTATTCAACAATGAACAGCAGCGTCTTTTCCGAAATTTCATTCCTGTTCTTTATGCCGATGCTGATCTTGTCCAACAGAAACAAAATCCAACGAAAATCTATCAAGTGGAACGACGTATGCACCAAGAATGGAGAAAATGGAATAACAATAGTGGAGGCGTATCTCTTAGCGAGTACTCAACACTTTTACAAGCATTTTCGCACTGGACATATCATGTCACGTCCGGTCGTTTGATGGTTGTTGATCTACAGGGTGTCAAGGTTGATCGAGCATACTTGTTAACAGATCCGGCGTTGCATTGTGATGATTTATTACGTTTTCGAGAAACACGAACTAATCTGGGTAAGAAAGGTATGCATCAATTTTTTCATACTCATGTCTGCAGTGATATTTGTTCGAAATTAAATTTACCAATATCACAATCATCGTCAAGTATAAGTTTATTATACCGATCTGACTCACTTTTATGCAATGCTGAAACAGAAACAATGGACGAAGCGAATTTAGAAATAACGGCAAATAAAGATTTTGAAACAATTGATCGAGATCAATTGGAAACTGTGGAAAATTTTGAATTATGTTGAAAATTTTATCTGATAAAATTGTCTCCTTTGTAAACATATATAACTATTTTTATTCTGTCTTATACACAGAAAATAAATATAAACGAATTACCGTCTATCTCTGCTCGTATTATTAATCCTTTCCTATGACTGATGTATCCATAAAATATCACATGTGTTATTCACAATCGAACGTTTCTACGACTTTTATTCGATATATTTCAGATTATCGGCTAAATTAATTTCTCGGAAATGTTAAAACTAAACTATTTCACTCGAGTCTTATCGCATATTTCTTGTCAACATCGATCGCTTTCAACGATTCATTACAAAGTTCAAAATCGAATAGCTTACATCACATTGAATCGACCAGAAGTACTGAATTCAATAAATGACCTTATGCCCAAAGAGTTGTCGACATGTGTAGAGAAAGCCAATCATGACTCATCTGTTCATGTTATTGTCTTAGCTGGCGAGGGCAAAGCTTTTTGTTCAGGATATGATTTAACATACTATGCTCAATTGAAAAATGAAAAAGCTGTGCAAGAAATGCCTTGGGATCCAATGAAAGATTATACATCAATGAAGGAAAACACCGAACATTTCATGTCACTTTTTCGTTCACCGAAACCAACAATCTGTAAAGTTCATGGCGATGCATTAGCAGGCGGAAGCGATATCGCTCTGTGTTGTGATATGATTTTAATGGCGAATGAAGCCCGTATTGGTTACATGCCAGCAAGAGTTTGGGGTTGTCCTACTACAGCCATGTGGATCTATCGGTAAATATTCTGATTTAGAAGAGAATAAGTTGAAATAGTGATTTATAGAGTCGGAGTGGAGAAGGCGAAGCGAATATTGCTGACGGGCGACAAAATAACCGGAGTTGAAGCTGAAAAACTTGGACTGGTATTAAAATCTGTTCCACAGGAGGAATTAAGTGATGAAGTGGAAAAATTAGTTCGTCGTATGACTGCTGTACCTATCAACCAATTGATCATGCAAAAACTATTGATCAATCAAGTTTTAGAAAACATGGGCTTGAGAACAACTCAAATGTTCGCAACGTTATTCGATGGAATCGCACGACATTCACCGGAAGGCATGGCATTTAAACGTCGATCAGAGACTGTCGGATGGAAAACTGCTGTTAAAGAACGAGATTCTGGTACATACGATTGGACAGCTGATAAACCGCTTTTATAAGAGAAGACTTATTTTTATAATGTTTATTTCACAATCTTTCTTCACTTAGAGAAACAAATAAGTATGAATCAAAGTAGATTTCAACAAAATATTTTTGCTAGTTTAAATAATGGAACTATTATCAAAACAGGAACATTCGAATTCGATTTGATTGCTTGTTATAAACGACGATAGTTGAAAATCAGAAGAGTTAGAATAAGAAAGCATATTGTCCAAACAAATGAAACGGCAAATGCTTGTTGGACAATGAGATGTTTAATGCTCCATCCTAGAACAATATCCAATCACTGACATCTCTACAGTCAATATTACCTTTCAGAAGAACACCACGCATTGCTTCAATTGCTTTGGTCATTGGTAACCATGTGGTTATCGTTCGCAACCACATTGGTTGTCCTTCCAATGGCCAAATAATTCCTGTTAATAACAAATACTATGAATACATGATTTAGATTAAAAATAATCTTTTTACCACTAAGAAGTAAGACAGGATAGAAAGCAGCCATCGTAACTTGGTGAGTGTTGATTTCTGTTGTGAAAATCGTCGATATAATCAATCCTTACATACACAAACAACTATTTCATCTATATCATGTCCATTCATTTTTACACCTTACCAAATGTCATGCCACACAATCCTTGTATCGCGCAGAGAAGTATGGTACAAATAAGACTACCTTTTAATGGAAGCTAAGAAAAGAGATTTTTCTTTGAGTGATATAGGAAAAGTCTATCTAACCTCGAAAATCACTAACGCAGTAAATAAAACAATTACTATCTGAATGATAAGGATCATCAAATGGATAATTAGTTGACTTAAAACAATTTCATCGGATCTGACACCTAAAACACCAGAAAACTCCAATTGATGTTGGAGAAAGATGAGATAATGACCTGTTATCCATACGCGATCTTGCGTACCATCACTTTGCTCAAGGACAAGTGAAAGAGCAGTAAGGCCGACATTCATGAAGAAGATTACACTATAAAAAATTCAATTGGCTTTGTTGATTTTTGAAACAATCGAACTTACGAAAGAACAATACCAGGAACCATGAAATGTGTAAAAGTAAATTCAAAATCTAACTGATCGTTGGCAGATCGTCCTAACTTGAACAAAAAGTCTCATTTCAGTTCGTTTTTTCTCTTCAAAGAATAACTAACATACTTTCAGTAACGCGTGCTTCGAATCCGATGAACTCCAAAATCCCAATTTAAAATCCATCGACGTATTTTTCAAGACCCGAATAATTTCCTCAGCAATTGCGTAGATCATTTGTCGATCTAAATCATCAATTTAAAAATCTAAAACTATAATCAATCGTCTCTTTTACTCGTCTGATCGACATAGATCAAAACTTGAGCATCTGAATATTCATTCTCGTCAGCAAATGAACTAGAATATAGTAAAATCAAAGTGTCTTTGGATAATGAATATCATCGTTACCAATGTTCTACTTTTGCTAAAATCTCACGAGTAAAATTAGCACCGATATCAATCACTCCGGACAAATGTCCTTTTTCAAACATTCGTTGAGCATCACTCAAAGATTTATATCCGATCTAAACGTTCAAGAAATGATTCGAACGAAAAACTTGTAAACTCATACCAAATTTATCACATTTTTATCGATTTTTTCCATTATTAATCCACTAGTTGTGCTTGATTGAATTATTTCTCGTGAGACAAATCCAACCGAGATGTTTGTCAATTTTCGGCCAACACATAAACAGAATAATGTTATCTGGAGAATAGGAACAAGAAAATGTATGATCAACATCCTAAATTCATCAGATACGTAAATAGAGAGAGTAGTAGATTGAATAATCCATACGCTGGATTGCGTTGAAATTTCAGTAAATCTTTGATGAGCAGTGCATAAAAAGAGCGACCAAACGATGGACGCGCACAAGAACGTATTGCAGCACAGCATCGTCGGTTTCCTACAAAAAGGAAGTATGATATCTCAATAAGAGGATATATTCCAACAACATACTGGATGATGATGATGATGATGATACGAATGGTTGACAAATCTTTACAAAAGAATAAACCAAACTTCTCTTTTCATGTACTTCTAATAGAACTTTACTTTATTCATGATAGTTAAGGGATTTTTGAGATGTACTTTGTCTCGACTACGATTTTGTATATGTAATAGATGTCTTTCTTCACATAATTCTAGAAACACACCTTCGAGGTTCTAGAATAGAATACACTTTCATTGAAAGTATCATTCGAATCTTTCGACTAACTTGTTGGTTATGTTTGATTAATAATTTATCTGGACGATCTGTTTCTAAGAGTTGCCCATGCCGCATAAAAGACACCTGACATAAATTCACAGAAAATATCACAGGAAAAATCTCTATGTAATGTTTACTATGTTTGCTTGTCGAGCTTCTTCGATATAATGCGTGGTTACGATCGCAGTTCGATTTCCATTCATTGTAATTTCAGTTAAATGCTGCCAGATTCTGTGCAGTGAAACGGATAAGCATAAATTCCATTGAATATTCATCTTACTTTCTTCTCAGTAATGGATCGACACCAACAGTTGGCTCGTCTAAATCATAAACAAATTTCCTTTATCGTCGAAGATAGAGAAGTGCAGTGTTCGTACCTAAAATAAGTAAGTTGGGTTCATGGATCAGAGCAAGTGCGAATGAAACTCGTCTCTGTTGTCCTCCACTTAATTTCCGAATAAGTTTGCTCTTATTTGGCAATTCCAACAAATGAATTAAAAATTGACATCGCTGTTGAAGCTTTTCTGTTGGCATATTCGCTAATCGGCCATAGAAAAATAGCTCTTCCTCAATCGTATTCGTTGTATGTAATGCTGTTTCCTGTGGCATAAATCCAACCAGCCGACCGAATGCGTGTGAAAACTTATCATAGATTGAAATTGTACCTACAGTTCCATCGTGATTGCTTGTGGGATGTAAACGGCCGACTAATGTGCGCATCAAAGTTGTCTTTCCGCACCCGCTCGGTCCGAGTAAAGCAAAACTAGATGAAATGTTAAGATAAAGTACACATGTACAAAGTCCAGTCTTACATGCCACCCGATCCGATAGAAAGATTAATCGACCTTAAGACATCTTTATTTCCTAAGTGAACGGTTACGTCTGTTAATTGTATAGCTGATGAATTAGATGAAAGAGGCTCTGAATCTACCATATTTTAGAAGAGTATTTCACACCAGGTGACTGTAATGAATATATTTTATCATCATTTACATAGGTAATAACAACCAACAAACAATCTTAAACGAAGAAAGAAAGAGAAGAAAGATATGTGAGCTATGTTGTTTTTTGTGCTATGCAATATAGGTGAAAACCGATATTTTCGTTTTGATAGAAGTACCTGCTACTGTTTGTATTTAACGTATGCTGTGCTTTTCTCTTTTTATTATACTAACAAGTTTAATATACAATTCATACAGATAGAAAATTAACAAAGAGAAAGAGATTTCGATTATAGATCTTCATCACTGAAGCTTTCACCAATAACGTCATCACACTAGAAGAGAAATAAATGGAGATTTGGACGACAATGAAGAAATAAATGGAAGTTTACCATTGGATCGAGATCACCCATGGCTCCAGTATCGAATCGTCCACCGTCTAAACTGGAATCATCATTCATCTCACGTTCAAGCCGTTCGAAATGAGTTGTTCTAAATAGAAATCATTCAATTCAAAATTTAGCAATTATTTGAATACGTACGGATAATTACGCACAACTTGCTGTAACATTTCTTCACTACCACCTGATTTCATCAAGTTCTCTATCAACAATTGCCGTATACGTGGGTCACTATGCATTTGAACATGCTCTTTCAATCTAAACACATCATGATCCAAAATATCTAGGCATTGAGAAAAGGACTGCTCGTACAATTCTATACTCTTTTGTTGTTGTTTCAACTGTCCGTAAACATCAACAAGAGAGATCACTGCATCTGTGTATTTTGGATTGAAAGCCAGCGCTTTTTCTAAATAAACTCGAGCTTTATCCAACGATGAAGCTTCTTTTGCAAGAACTTGTCCACATAATGTAAATGCTCGTGCATTTTCCTTGAGATTTGTACGAACAGCATTGGTTATAAACATATCTAAATCAAATATTCGATTCTTTAGTTATTTTAATCTATGTTTTTTCATACTCGCGTCGTTCAATCGATTTGTTGCTAAATAACCATCTACTACACCTTTATATCCTTCGAAACAATAAGGCACTAATCGAACTGCATCTTTGTAATGACTCAGCGAATCTGAGTAACGTTTTAACTTGTACAAAGCTAAACCTTTCAACAGTAAGGCTTGAATCTTTGTATTATCTAACGCGAAGGCTTTTTGAGCAAGATAGACTGTCCGCGATGGTTTATGATTTTTCTTTAAACAGTAATATCCCATTGCAATCCATGTTTCAGGATTATTATCACCCAATGACATCAAATGATTGACTAATCTAAATAAAAGACATGAATACGTCTCTAGTTCCAAACACAAATAGGTCGTTTTCTACTTTTCCAATGAATTGTCTTTGCATTCATTGTAAACAAGAAATGCAAGTATATCCATATGTTTTAATAATAAAGGGTCGATTTGTTGTGCGCGTTGTAAACTGTGTAATGCTTGACTATAATCTCCATTTAAATATTGCGTATAACCTAATTGTGATAGCACATAGGTAGACTGAGGCAAATACTGAGCATCGATTTGTTGGTAGAGCCGTGATGCTTCGGAAAAATCTCGGCTGGCTGAGCAGGCATCTGCTTGGAGCAGTGTGCGAAACCATGGCTGACGTACTAACGGAGAAACTGTTACCGGTGTTGGTTGTTGAGCTTGATTTTCATGGTGAATCGATGCAGCTGATGGATGTGTATGAAGAAGATCGCTTAATTTACATCCAAGAGATAACAAAGCGATATACGCAGATAGTGCATTGGGATTTTGTTTTAAACATTCTCGATAGGCACTAGTGGCTTCTTGAGTTGACGTGCCGACTTTTTGATAACATTGCCCAAGCGCTAAGTGAACTTTTGCTGAACGTTGATGGAATGCAATCGATTCAAGCTAAAGATAGCGGTTTGCTTAGGTGTTGAAACACTTTTTTGTCAACTTACAGCGGCAAGCGCGTCTTTTAAACGATTCAATTTCAGTAAACACGCATGTTGACGATATTTACTTTCTACAATCCAGTCGGGTTCATTCTAAAGACGAGTTTTCTCTGAAAACAAACTAATAGTACCATTGTAACTTACGGCATTCTTATCAGTTCGTTCGATTTGTTTGTAACTATGCAAAAGTTTTTTGTAGTAAGATTCCGCTAGATGATACTCATGTAAAAACCAAGTTGAATCAGCTAGACATCGATAAACAGTCAAACGTTGCTCGTTATCCAGATAATCTTTTCCGCTTTCATCAAGTATTAAAATGAATTCTGCCTAAAAAAGGGACAAGATTGCACACAAAAGAATACATTTAAATAAGAGAATTACCATTGTTTTACAGTCGTCATACAATTCAGCATTTCGCAGTGTTTCGAGTTGTTCGACGGAACTCATGATGAAATGAACTCTGAAAAATGAGTTGACTCTCTTAGTAATCGACATAGACATACAAAAGTTTATTTCCAATTTTCACTCGGTCATTTCATGACTATAGGTTGAAGAAAAGAACAAAAGAAAACAATTAAAAACATCACTGAACAGAAATAAAATTGGTGTAGGAAAGTGGAATTATTAAAATGAAAAGACATATCTGAGACACGCTTCAAGAGATTCGATACTTAATCGAATTACATGATTCCACGCACGAATGAACCATTGATAAAGAACAGTGGATGGGAATACATGGGTGAAGAGATAACCAAGCACAAGACCAAACATAAATATGATTAATAAAAAGAAGATTTTTGATAGGAATGAATGATTAGGTAGAGAATCTTCTTCTGTTAACAACGATTGTTCAGGAGAATCTTTTCGAGGAGAATCGATTGGTTGATTCTCTGGAATAGTTGAAGTTGTAGAGAAAGTGCGAGACCACAGTTTTGTATGATCTTGATCGAATAAAGTCGTTGTTGTTTTGGATTGAATAAATAAGCGTGACGTTCGGGGTGCAGAAAATGGATTTATCTGACGTTTAGAGTGATGACACGACCAACAAGAGTTCTTATTTACTGAAGAAGATTCCAATGAATGAATGAACGAAAAAGAAAACGGATTCATGAGATGCCCTTACAATTATTTTCATCTAAGCTACATTTGTCTAACCGATCGGCTAGTGAATTGATACTATCAGATGGAATGTTCACAAAACGATTATCGAATGGTGATTGTTTTGAAAATAGAACTGGATTCGTCAGAAATAGGTTCTTAGTAGGTTGCGAAAAACCAATTGGCTTCGTTCGTAATCTTGCCGTCGGTGGTTCATATCGATTGATTGCTAAGGTGTTCAACGCTAAAATCGATCGTTTCTCATTCGCATATCTTCGTCGCAATGGATTATGATCATAGTCGAAATCACAATCTGACAATAAACTTTGGTGTGAATTTTCATCATCATCTGATCGAATACTCCAGTTTAATTTACATGTCATCTTAAATCATGATCTGAAAAAGGAAGATGACACGTGACAACAAAAACACATTTTAGTAAACACAAAAAGAGAAAAGATCAATCATCATGTGTAACACTAATGATAGTAATAAAGGAAAACAAAAGTTCACTTTTGTGCTGTTGTCTGAGCATGCCTCTTATTCTCCATACGTTGATAGATACGCGTTAATTGTTGTTTAGCTTCACCGTTGGGTAATGATTGTAATTCATAATATTGGGGCGCAATAGACAATAACCATTCAGGTTTAATGTCAGTTACTGTCCGAATGTAGTTTTTAGTCGTCAAAACAAATTCATTGTATAGAACCCATTCAGGTTTATGATCAAGAACAGTTGACGGGTGTAATTGAACCACTTGACTATCTTTTATTGTTAAATAATGACCAGTTTTTTCCAGATGTGCAATTTGCATGAAGAATCCACTAACTAAGGCTTTACGGATATTTAAATAATAATCCGGCGATGTAAATTCTGTTGATGTACGTCGAAGGTTGAAGCTAAAATAATAAAATTTGAGAATGGCTTCATTGAAATGTTTGTTACTCACCGATCCATGATACGTCCAAGTTGTGTTCGAACGTTGTCTGCTGATTTTAATGAACGGTAGTTCACAAAGTTTTCGTAACACCAATGATTATCCTCATGATTCTGTTTGAATGCGTGATAAACATTCAACATGGTTAAATGATCGCCATCGATATGGGCGAAACGTGCTTTCGCTTCATCCGCTTGTTTGCGCACATCATTTGGTCGGACAAAACATTGAGGAACGGACAACATTGCTGTTAAGGACAGGATTTCATTTGAACATGAATAATCGCATGAAGCAATAACCATCTTCGCTAGCTGAGGATCAAGTGGAAATTCAGCCATCATTGAACCTAAGTCCGTTAGATCACCTTCATCGTCGATAGCAGATACATAGTTTAGCAATTCTAATGCACGCATCAATGTTTCCGGTGCAGGTGGATCCATGAAATCAAAATGAACCAGATCATCGATACCTAATTTTTTTAATTGTAATACAACACTACCTAAGTTTGATCGAAGAATTTCTGGATAGGTATTTTCGTGCATTTCGGACTTGTATGCTTTTTCTAAACGAAACATTTGAATGGAATTAGAAAATGTGGAATCGAAGAATTTTACCTGTATATAAACGAAAACATTTGCCGGGACGAGTACGACCGGCACGCCCAGCACGCTGTTGTGCACTAGCTTTGGATATGGGTGTGACGAGAAGCGATTCTACACGAATACGTGGATTGTATACTTTTTGTTTCGAGAAGCCGGGATCAATGACAAAGACGACACCATCGATGGTTAAAGATGTTTCAGCAATATTTGTTGAGACGACAACTTTGCGGCCAATGGCACCGTTCGGTTTGTTAGGTGGCGCTGGTTCGAAAATTCGCTGTTGCAAATTCGGTGGTAATGTTGAATATAATGGAATACATTTCAATTCACCAGCGTCTGCTCCTAAATTTTCCACCTCACGTTGTAAACGTTTACAGGCATCTTCAATTTCTTCTTGACCAGTAAGAAAAAGTAGAATATCACCTAAGCAAAACATAGCAAATAAATATCATCGTCTTCATTACACTTTTAATATCGTTACCTTCTTGCTCTTCGCTCATGTGTATCTGTACGGTCGTACGAATTGCTGCTTCTAAGTAATCACGTTCTGGTTCCGGTGTATAGAAGATTTCCACAGGAAATGTTCGACCAGGAATGGTTAACAGAGGTGCTTTATCAAAATAATCTTGAAATTTGCCAGCATCAAGTGTGGCAGACATAACTAAATGAAAACAAGCGTTATTAATCGACAAAACTGAACACTTTCTCTCTTCTTAATCATACCAATAATTTTCAGATCGGATCGTTGTTTTGCCACTTCTTTCAGAAGACCCATGAGAATATCTGTTGCTAATGTACGTTCATGCGCCTCATCCAGTAAGACACATGCGTAAGATTCGAGTAACGGATCTGACATTGCTTCTCGTAATAACATACCGTCAGTCATATATTTCAAGACGGTGCTTGGTGATGAACAATCTTCGAAACGAATGGAATAACCAACTTGTTGGCCAAGTAGAACATCCATTTCGTTTGCGACACGCTGGGCAACTGACATGGCAGCGACACGACGCGGTTGCGTACAGGCAACACCACGACGTTTCTGTCCGGCAACAGCAGGCAATCCAACAGCGAAGTCGACACACCATTGAGGAATTTGTGTCGTTTTGCCGGATCCAGTCTCACCAACTAAAACTGTAACTTGATTTTTTTCAAGTGTCGTCATGAAGGCATCTTTATAATCCCAAACGGGTAATTGTCTTCGTTTTTTGAATAATTCACGATACTGTACTGAGTAAGGTTGATTAGTAAATGGATTGATATTTGGATCCGATTGATTCATGTTGTTGAAGTCTCTTGATTTTTTAATAGAATTGAAATCAACAGGTTCAGAATCGTCAAAGCGGCGTTTTCTTGGTCTTGTTTGGTCGGTTGATGAAGACGAAGAGCTACCTACGTCTAGACGTTGTTTACGAGAAGTCATTTAGATCAAATTTTCAAATGTGTTAACAATACCAAGTTTCATCAACTAATGAAATAGTACACAATGGCTGCAATTCCTTGCTTAATCGTTGTTTATTATATGAATCAGATTTTGCAATTCTTTATGTTATTGCATTTTTTCACCATTGATATTTTTCGAGAGTAGATGTCACTCGATGTCTGAACTGCAAACGTGGAGAACGATGAATTGAATTTTGAGATACAAATTTTTAGACGGACAAGTTCAGCATTACATACAATTAGTGTTCATAGAGAATCTTTTTCTCGACCAGACTGTTAACATGTACCCTCGGACTGGACTGGACACATGTTTCTTTCATGAACATGTTCGTTAAATATACGCATAACGGTTCACATATTTTCAGATTTGACTATAGATCATGTCAGATAACATTCGTTTAAAGATTTTAAATACAATCGAACATTTGTGCACATTATGTGTCGAGCAAATGTATCGTCTACCATCTTCACATCCATCATTGACCATCAATGATCAACATTATCAATGGAATGATAAAATAGACGGGAAAGCTCGCCGAGATTTCACACAATTCATCTATGTTTTGTCGACCGTTCATCGTCTTGTTCGTACACAAACACGTATGAATATGCGAGAGTTATTTTACACTCAGGTGAATCTTTTTCGTCATCAACGTGTCAGTGATAGTATCGTGGAACAATTAGTCCGGCATTTATGTGTTGATCGACGTCAGTTAGGATTTGTCACGACAGCAAAAGGTTTTTGTGCTGGTTAGTTAATCATCAGTGAATTGAGAAATGTTCAACAGTCAATCTTTTGTTTTAGGTAATGTACAATTTCGAAATTTACATAGTCAAGAACTGACAGATTGTACTCAACTATCTCATGGACAATTAATAGTTGATGATGATATTGAAATTATTGAAACCGAACATCTCGTTACATTCATACTTGTCGTTGAGAAGGATACCGTTTTCCAGGTAAACTATATTCATAGTTTCAATACGATTACAAAATCCTTTTCTTTCGTAGCATTTGCTTAACGATGGATTTTTAACTCGATACCGTGGTGCATGTCTCATAACAGGCCGTGGTCAACCTGATCATGCTACTCGATCATTTCTTTTACAATTATCTCAAACCTATCATGATACTCCTATTTATATCTTAACTGATTGCGATATATTTGGCGTGTTGATTGCATGTACCTACCGAATGGCTTTCGCTGAACATCACCGCAATCGTCTGCGTTGGTTAGGCGTATGGCCAGAAGAATTGCTTTCATTATCCTCGTTGCATATATCTCAAATGTTGCCGATAACTGATGAACGTGAGCATCGAATGATTGAGCGGTTTATTGAACGAACCGATGTTCATCAGGAATGGCGTCGACAAGTTTCATTCTTCGTACAGCATAAACGTAAAATGGAGATCGAAGCTATTTATGAAAACGGCACGAAAAGTTTAATTGACGATTATCTACATGGTAAACTTATGGGACATCGGTGATTGGAACGCTTTTCAACATCAGGTTTTTCTTTTTGTTTTGTGATTATTCTTCGTTAGCATACTGAAAAGGTGATATGAGACTTGTTGCTATCGAAGATACGAATATCATTCGTTTTTTACTCTCATTTGCTTACTGATAGAAGTACATAATGTATTCTCAGTTTTGCTCAATAAAAAACCTGTATCGAACATAGAAAAACAAGTATCTGGCGTATTGTAATTTATTTTATTATTGAATAGAAAAATAGTGTATGATAACAAGTGCTTGTTTGATCAAGATTGAAAATAATAAATTGAAGAAATAAATTCCACTGATGATGTCAAGAGAATGTAGTTTAGGCCGATAATACCTAAAGAAGAGAGAAGAAAAATGAAATGGCTGATCATTAGCGACATCTATATCAGATTGCAAAACAATGATGAATCAATATGAGAAATAAAGTAAATAATATCTCCGAAAAAATATCTTTTACGAATTGTTCTTTAAAAATTGATGTTTCGCTTCACTAGAGGGGTTATTTTTCGCTACAATCAATTCGTAGGAAGCAAATGTGGCTTGTAGTGACGTCGAAAAAGTGTGACATTTATGTTTTTTTCTCACTTATTGATGTTTAACGTAAGTTTCGAATTTTAATTAATCGATGTCATTCCATCTCACCTGTCGTCGTAGTCGAAGGAGATTTTGCAGTCGAGTCGTTCGTCGCTAAGAAAGAAAAATCATTCAAGTTTAGTTGTCTTTGTCAGTCGATGAAGTCATTTGTTTTTTTAACTTACCTTAAGTCCACCATTGCCATTGAGACATGGAGAAAATTTTGGAAACGCTGCGCAAAGTGAGATTTTAAAACTTTGGCAACTAGCATCAGTTTTTGGACGTTTCGAACATTCTTCATAGCGAACTTTCAATGCGCTCAAGAGATTACGGCATTTATCTTCACTTTGATGAGTTACACAATAATCACCACGTAATTTCAATTCATTAGGATCACTTGGAATCTATTCATGCATAAAAGTTAGAGACGAGAGAAAGAGACCGATGTCAGGAATTACCTGGTACCAGTTAGGATCATTAGTTCCTGACGGCGCCTTTGTTGTTACTATTACCTATAAGGACAAGTTTCATTAGGACTGTGATATATTGTATAGAGTTTTAGCCAACCTGACCACCTCCACCGGATGTGTAACAGAATAGTTCTGCTGGCCAAATGTAGCAATATTTACTTCGAACATCTCCACAAGCTGACACTTGTGTTACCATATCGTTACATTTTCGAAGTAGATCTTCCATTTGCAGCTTGATTCGTACACAATCACCTGCGTTTGGTGTGTTGGCGCATGTATTCTGCAAAACACTCAAAGGATCCGTTCGCTAGTATTTGAAAAAGAAAACAAACAAATCTTTTATCACCAATTATTTCGTTATAAACTCACTCTCGAATGAAACTTTCGTCCATCAACTTGATTGACTGATAATAGTATAAGAGAGAATATTGCAACTGTCGTAAACATTTTCTTGTCGATATTGACTGTCACTTGCTCTTTTTTCAAGTATATAAATAAGAGACCGATTACGTTCCTTCCAGTCAAGCAATTTTCTCTCTCTTTCGTTCTTTTTTTTCACTTCGATTTCTTTTTCGTTCACAGCAAACACTTTAGATTTGTGTACGAAGTGGGCGGTATGACGCGAGCGTTACTATTACGAATTTCTCTTCGCTTTTTTACTTCTCACGCTCTGTCAATAATGAAGTGAAACATGTAAGGAAGAAATAGTAGTCTTTAAAAAAGAAACGAAGAAGTTTTTGTTCGATCGTCTTTGATTTGCTGTTTCTGTCTTTAGATATGAGCTAAGAGAGACTGTTTTTTCATAAAATAATCAATCAAGATGTTTTGGGAATGTCATATTGTTGCATCATCAATTGATAAACTACTTGATCAACCATCTGAATCTTTGAAACTACAAGATTTTCTGGATGAAAACGATTTAATTCAAGAATGTCTAACACAAAATAAACGCTTAATCGATTATCTTGTTCAAGAAGATGTGATGAAGGAATTAATTGATCATTTAATCCAATGTCCAACCGATGGAAACTTTCGTAATGCACATGTCGTTAGTGAATTATTGTCGGGTGATTTTCAACGTATTCAAGATGCTTTGCTTGATAAAAAACATTTTGATCACTTGTATTCGTTTCTACTTTCGAATGATGGATCTTCGTTGAATCCAATTCTAGCTTCGTATTTTTCACGAATTTTAATGACGTTGACCATCCGAAGATCGAACCAGTTGCTCGACTATTTCAAAACTCGTCAATCCTTTCGAGAGGATTTCTTAAGACATTTAGATTCTACGTCCATTACCGATGTATTGTATCGCTTCATCGCTGATATTGGCGACCAACAATCCGAAGCTATCAAATGGTATGAAGATATCAATTTAGTCGATGGTCTTATTCAACAGTTGATCCAAACCGATTCTTCCTATGTCCAAATGAACATTGTTAATCTACTTAGCGAATTTTTACGTTTAGCGTTCGATTCGCACAGCGGAATGGAAAATGATAATCAAGGAAATGTAAGTGCAACACTATCGTCGACCACAGCAGATCGGCTATTCGATGGTAAAAACGAAAACGACGAAGGTTTGTCAATGTTTTAGAAATCAATGTTAAGAACGATGTCGAAGAGAAATCCGTTGTTTTGTCTTTATAGGAAACGAATCAGAGAATCGATCAACAAATGCGGAAAGAAACGAAACACTCACACCGTTAAGACTTGCTCAACATATTCTATCTAAATCGAACTTAGAACAACTACTAGATTCACTTCCGAAGAAGTCGTCCCTTGTATCGAGCGGATGCGACTTTCTAACGACTGTTCTCGATTTACTCGGCCGGTATTTACCTGCACCATCATGTATTTCGATATCTTTGCAAGAACAAACGGATCTAAAAGATGAAAATGAACGAATGCAGGTCAACGACGAAGGAGATACTTCGCCCATGACAAAATTCTATGGGAAATTAGATCCGAATGTTCTCAAATGTCCAACGAATTCCACAAAAGATCCTTTAATTCAAATATATCTCGTCTTACTCGATGTGCTACCTTCACGTTTACCGCCATTGATAGCGCTACTTTCCAATCCTTGTGCGCCATTAGTACCACCATCATCATCGTCATCACCATCTCATGATAGTTCACAAACAGTTAAATATCAATTTATTAGCGAACCACTAGGTTTGTAACATTCTCGTTTATTTTTTGCTTTAAGTAATTTTTGTTCGTTTAGGATCAATGCGACTGAATTTGATAAAGTTTTTCTCCAGATTAATGCATACGATATCGAATGACTATACCGGTGATCATATCTACCAGACATTAAATTCCAATAACTTGTTAAATCGTCTCAATGATCTTTTTCATAATCATATTTATAATAATTTCCTCCATACGCAAGTCTATCTAATTGTTCGTCTTCTTTTTCAAATCAGCTCACAGGCAGTGAAGGAATCGAACGATATTTGGACACGTACACCATTGCGAAACGAAAGTCAATCCTCCAAAACAGGTGAATCCATCAACAATTGACATGTTTTCCTCACTTGATTTATTTTAGAGCTTCCTGATCTGTCTTCATTAATTTATACTAATCGTTATTCTTATAAATTATTTCAATCGCTGTTAAGTCCATCCGAGGTCAATCTGATCGAACGTTTACTTGATCAGTATGAGTTAAACGTTGCTTCGAGCAAGTCGATATTGACTAGTACATCGTCCGACGATGCCATATCATCCTCGTTGCTGCATACTCGTTTTGTCTCACCAAATTCAGGTCATATTGCTCAGATACTTCGCTGTTTGCGTGAATATGCATCTACATTTAATAATTATTCATCATTTTTCAAAACTGATGATCAACAGCAAATCGATGAGAATACGAACATGCTGGAAATACGTTGGCAAACAGCTTTAGATTATTTGAATGAAGATGAAAAGAAATGGTCGGCTATGCACCCCAGTGAACACGATGCTCCAAGTAATTTTCGTATGAATTCAGCTGCAAATATTTTGACACATATCAAGAATGCAATCAATATGAATGAGAGTAGTGAATCAAATCTACGGCGACATGTTTTCCATATGAGATCGTTTGGTAGTAGTGGAGCACCGTATGTTGATGATGATGATGATGAAGAAGTAAGATCCAATGCAGTACTGTTTACTTGATGATAATACGACTGTGTTTATGTAGGATGATGTGGAGCGATTCGATATTGACGATGAAGCTATGAATAATGAGCAAGTATCAACTGAACGAAAAGTAGCTGATATGAAAAAAGTAACTTTGCTCGAATCGATTACTTTCATACATATCTGCGTTTCAAATTAGATATCGTTTGATTCACAATTTCCACCCGTCTTTGACGAACAATCACTTTGGCATCAACAAGATAATGAAGATATGACAAGTGCACACGATGATAATGAACATTACAGTCGTAAGGCTGCAACATCGGCACCTACTTTACCAAATTTATCTGAGAATTATCGAACGCAACAAAACACATCAGGCTCCTCAACTGAATCGAATTTCGAGCAGCTCTGTTCTTTGCGAGCTAATGATCATGGCAGTGGACCTGTTATGTTTCCATTTCAATCATCATCGTCAACAGCCAAAACTATTCGAGATGAAGCTGAAGAAGGAGATGATGAATTTTAATACTTTATCAAAACTAAACGTACACAATTCATACGCTGCTGTCTACCGTCCTTACTGGTTCGAGTTAGTTTTTTTTCACGACGTCTGTCTATCGGACATTTTGCATTTTGTTTTTTTCTGATTGTGTCCGCGCTTGGATATAATATCATCTGTGTCGTATGCATATATATTTTTTTCTATCTTCTCAAAGATGTGTATAGTCTCTTGAATTAAGATGTGGATGTATGTCTTTGTTTTGTCTGTTCGTCACGATGTTTGTATACAAAAAATGATCATTTTTGTTGGTTTTTAGGCCAGTGTACTGCGAATAAAAGGGAAAAACAAAACGCAATTTCTCCGTCAAGTAAAGCGTGTCGGAGACAGCAACTAGACTATGAAGTTTTTTGAACGATTTTATTTCAGGAATGTATGATCAGATATCGAATTTCACAATGGGAAACTTAATTGTTGCCAGATTGTCCGGCATTGCCAAAAATCGTTTTCAGATAGGCTTCCGTAGGATAAGGAACGCGCGCATCGATCCATGCTTTATCGACATTCGACAAAGAAGTATCGACATTCCATTTTAATCCTGCCGCCGGTTGTTGACTAGCTTGGGGAGTGTAAACAATAGTTGAGCCAGATTGAAATGCCCAACGTGTTGCACCAATTGAGCCAATCATAAGTGAATCGATCGCAGATGCATTTGTGGCAGCACCGTTCAGTGCGTTTGGTGTTACATATCCGACAGCGTAACCATCAGCGCCGGGAGGAACAGGGTAACGTACACAAGCAGTTTTACCGCCGATAACAAGGGTGCGAAGTAGACGATAATTACTAGCAGCACCAACTTGAAGTGCTGAATTCGTACTTCCGAAAACAACGGTGTTCTCATATTGAATATCAGAGTATGCAGCGTTACCAGAGAATTGAAATGTATCAGTATGTGCTACCGAACCAAGTTCGCGATACGATGGAGCGAAATAACATCCTTGAAAGCGCACACCGCTAACAGGACCTTTTGTAGCTGTACGGAACGCAGCCGTGTCGGCATTATTATCTGCATCGTATTTAAGGAAGGCATTTGGAGTAACTATGTTTATATATTCAATGTCCCATGAAGGCGTATTTTCAATTGTTTGACCACCGAAGGTTGACAAAGGTGCCAAATTGAATACTGAACTTTCTGTGCAGTCTTGAGCAAGAAAACCTGCTTTATTACCGTATGCGTCACCACCAATAAATTTGAAGCCACCGAATGCAACTCCATAACATGATTGAATTTTGACGCTACCGTTAAACATGCATGAACCCCATCCATTCAATGGGGTAATGAGAATCTTACGAGTGCGACCTGTTTTACCAACATTTTTGATGAACGGTGTTGCTCGAGAGCCAGCACCCAAACCAACTACAGTACCAGGCAGAACAAAGACTACTACACCACGATTGACTTGCTCATCAGTAAAACTATTTGCCGCGTCTTCAATCGCTTTAGCATCGAATGGAACAACTTTTTTATGACTTGGGCCAAAGAGAAGTGCTTCAGCAATCGTTGGTGTTCGTGTAGGATAGTACTGAGCACTGGGACCATAGACAACAGCCGAATTAGCGGCTGCGAAGAGCACGCAAAAGATCGATCCAACGAGAATCATACTCAGTAATATGTTGATATTTTTGCAGGAGAGTATTTATAATCGGTCGACATGCTCTTTTATATATCGAAAATAAAGTCAATTGCGTAGGATATAATCAATTTTAGGCGTACCGAAGTGGTGGGATTAGACGTGATTTACAGTCTTTACTTTTAAGCGATATTCAATATTTAGTACCTTGGATAAAAAAAAGGTGCTTATCTCATTTTGTTCTCTTCATACTATTCAACGGTATACTCTATGTACCGATAAAAGAAATACAACCACGCATGTGGCATTTTCACCACCTGTCTATTTCGCGTTTATTCATTCACTTCTCTCTATTCAAAAGACAAAAATAAGCAATCATACTGCTAATACAGTAAAATCTACATTTATAAATCGTACTGAATAGCCGTTTCGATTTACTTTTGCTGTATTAGTGAAGAGTTGTGATTGTAACACTTATCTTTTATTTTCTTTCAAAACAAACAAAAAAATAACAACACGAGTTATTTTTTCACGCTTTTCTTCTTGTTTGTGGTTTGCTTGTTAATTTTTTTTTCTGTTTGAGATTTCTCTTCAACATTGGTTTTCTTCGCCGGCGTTGTTGTTGTTGATGATGATGCTGTTGGGGCGGAAGACTTATTTTCTTTATCTTTCTTCAATGCATTCAATGGAATAAAATCCGTCAATTCGTATTTAATTCCCGCTGCATTTAATTTTTCTTGTTGTTTCAATAATTTTCTCGCCCGTCGTTGGGTACTCTTCGCTAGTTGTTCATCCGATTTCAATCGATTATATAACGCTCGTTTTTGTTTTGGCGTTTTAACCGTAAATATTCGTTTCCAGTTTTCGAATAACTTCTCCGTGTCGATTTTCGATCGATCCATAACACGTGATTTAATTAGCGAACGAAACATTAAATACCCGTTCATTGTTTCCGATGCGATACGTGCAACGTCTTCATCTTCAAATTCGATGTACGCATAACCACGACTGCCGCCCGTCTTCTTCGAACGAACTAATTTCAAGCGTGTTACAGCGCCGAATTGAGAGAAATATGAGTAAAGTTCACGTTCGAAGAACCCGTATGGTAAACCAGATAAACGAATGAGACCAGGCTGAATAGTAATTAATTTATTTCGCTTCATTTCGGACTTCTTTATCTTTCGTTTGCCACTACCAGCAACAGATGGTAATGAAAGAGTTTGTTCTTCGTCGTCTTGTTGTTCATCGTCGGTGCTAGAATCCTCAGCATCGATAAGACGATCATCATCATCATCGATTATATTTGCCATTGTTTGTTATCTGAAAACGACAAAACATGAATGTATTCGAATTTGTATGTATTTTTTGTTTGCACGATTAAAAATAAATATTTAGGATAAATAAATAAATAAATAAATAAACAAATAAAATAAATCATTACGTCACCAAAAATCTAGACTGTTACGGGAACGAAAGAAAATATTTTATCACAGGAATAAACGAAGGAATGAGGTTATTTTTTGCTTATTTGTTGAGCCATACGAAAATTCTCAGCTTGAGTTAATTCAATATCGAGTTTGGAAATTGTATTCATTAGATTATCACGTTCGCCTCGTAAAACAGCGATTTCTTTCTTTTGTGCACTCAACTCTGACCGAAGTCGTTCGTTTTCCAGTCGAATTGCTTCAGCTTGGTTTAACTTCTCTTGAACATCATCATTAACATTTGTTGAATCCGGTGAGTCTAAAATGAAAAGAAATGATCTCTTGATTGCGAAAGGCACACTGCAGAATTTTCGAACTTTGGCCCATCAATGTTTGAATCATCACTTCGCCATCGATTCGTCTGAGAACATGCATACGGTCGATATGAACTTTCATCGGCGGCTTGATTTCAACAACAGCGTCGGTTGTCGAAAATTCATGAGCTAACTGAAAATAAGAATCTTCAGTTAGAAAAGGTAAAGATGGTTTTTTGTTGGGACGTACCGTCAGTGCTAATTGTACGTTCTTCAAATAAATATCAATAGGAACAAATTTTCTTTCGTGATCTTTGCGAAAACGCTTCTCTTCGTTTGTATGAATTTCTTCGAGATTTTCGATGATAACGTCTAGAGCATGAGTAGCAAAGCCAAGAACACGATCTTCAATTTTAACGGTAACTATCGGTGGTGATTCACCCTTGGGAAAGTCGATGCGGACGTTCACCGGTGAAACATTTGCTTCATTTAGCTCATCTATTAGCATAGAATATTTGATGAATTGATTGGATAAAATAAACAAACGTGAAACTTACCAGGACGTTCATTATCGAATAGTTTCGGTTTAATTGCATCGAATTTCAATGAACGAAACTCATCAATACGTAGATGCTTCACATTGCAAGCAATATACATTGACTTCTCCACTGTTTCTTCGTCTTCAGTCACACAAACTTTGATTTGGTTGACTTTAATGAATACTCCATTTACCTAAATATCAAACAAATAATTGCTTTATTAGAAAAGAAAGCAAAGTGAAACGCACCGATTCCAATGCATTCGTTCCGATAACAACACCGCTTCCATTCGGTTTTCCAGTTAAACTAAGACTATCATCATCGAGTTCAATTCGTGCTGGTTTTTCTTGTTGTTGTGATTGTTCTAGTTCATTCGTCAATAAACTCGGATCGAGATCCACATCCAAATCTTCACCCATTTGATCCCATTGAGCCGCTGAATCGTCACCACTGTCATTCATATTTGTTAATGATGCTTGAGATGAATTACGCGAACCTCGCGATGCAGTGTCTAATCCACGTTGAATATTTTCTTCGATTTTTGTCTTCTTTTGCGTCAAAAGATTAAAACCTTTGTTTAAATTTTCCGTTGGATTAGCATTGTTGATCAAAGTACCATCGATGCTAACCTTCGATGGTGAAGGTGGTTCGATTTTTGCTGTACTAGCGACGATTGGTGCTGATGTTGTGACTAAATCGACGACAACGTTTGCATCGGATGTATCACGCATTGCTGGTTCATGTTCGGCGTCTGGCAACGCAGGTGGAGGCGGTGGCACGGAAAGATTAATCATTGCATCTTCAAGACCATCAATAACAGCGAGAGTAAATGTTGCTGGTGATAGAAAACAAACGGTGAATTTGAAATCATTGGCAGGAATTTGGATGGATGAAGACTTTTCTTTGAGTAAACGACTTTGTTTTTTGTTTCGATCAAGAACATCGAGAAACAGACCAAACTCATCGATTAGGTGCATGAGAAATGTGTATTGTTTTTGAGATAGTTTTAGTACGGATGGTGTTTCGAGAATACTGAGAATACTAGCCCATGGTGATGGCGCTGAATCTCCTGAGAGAAGAAAAATGAAAAGTTTAGAGTGGAAATGAATGTTGTACACCGTTTTTACCATTCTGTTTTTCGTCGAGAACAGCCCAACCTGAGATTGAAAATGTATCTGTCATGTTTTGTTTCGCTAATCGAACAGATTCCGATGGTGAGGCCGGTGTGAAGTCCATGTAAATACTTTCGGCATTGAAGTGCCAAATATCGTATTTTGCAGACTAAATTTCAATCGCAGAGTCATGAGAAAGTTCATTTTCATGGTTTACCTTCTTCAACGAATCTGTTGTCATCGAGTAATATGAATGAAGCGCTCCATTCGCTGTTGGTGGTTCAGGCAGCGTTCGACCATATTTTTTCGTTAATGGATTATTGAACAAATAAGTTTCGTACGGATGTTTTTCAAATAATGGACTGATTCGTGACGAATTCGATCGATTGTTTGATAATGGCCATTGATTCTGTTGAAAAAAGTTCGTATTTTTAAATAAGTCAATATGTTTTTCCAGCTTCGCTCGATTGCTTGATGATCCTGTTCGACAATTCGTAATTAGCACTTTGGAAATATTCATTTCAAGTATTTCCAGTTTTTCCTGTTTAGATACTTCTTTGCGTTCTAACAAATCCGGCTCCGGATTATCTTTATGTTTAGTCTCATTTAACCTATAAGCACCAGCAAATATATCTGAACTAACAACAATCTAAATATAGTCACAAGAAACATGAAACGAGAAATTGAGTATTTGCGTCCTACTCGTGGTAACATAGCATCTAGTTTGATAGCGACATGTTCAAAATCAAAACTTGGACCATCAGTCTTCAACACACCGGAATTATCCTATTGAATGAGAACAGATGATGAAAACATTTCGTTCGGTGGATGTCTCATCATTCTCACAATAGTCATTGATAATGATGAAACAAACGCATCGAGCCAACTCGATGTTGCGAAATCAACGCGCATGACAATGGGCATTATTTGAATATATAAATCACTATTTGGAACTAAAAGACCCAGAAAATAATCATATGCGAATGAAAGTTGATGAAATTTACCAGGAAATGAGTAAGGTAGTGGATAATAATATTCAGTGTGTTGAATATTAATCACACCGAGAAATTCCGGCAATTGGTATTGTGTTCGATCAGACGTGATTAATGGTCGACGACGTTTTGGCTCTTTAGTATTATTCAATGAAACAGGATAGAAGACCAAATCATCAATATTCAAAACAGTACACGATTCGAATAAACGAATACGATTTGTCCGAAGAGCTTTTTCTAATTTCATGGACATTTCATCATTGGCTGAATCACTCTTTGCTGAATTCAATTGATCATTCCATTCTTCTCGTAATTGTTGAATCCATTCCTCGCGATTCAGTGCTAATAATTCACTGTACTTTATCCAATGTTTTTTCGTCGAACCTGCTTCGTGATATGGATAATGATCGATTGATAGATTGGCAATTGTCATCTGCAGTGCACCGCTTTCGGCGATTCGATCGCCTAGAACAGAAAAGACACGCAGTGAAAGATGATTTGAAATAAAGAACGCACGAACAACGAAACAACATTTGACAAAACGAGAATCTTACGCATCATTAATCGAAGATGAGATTCTGAGAAAAGTGAATTATATCAAAAAAAAGATGAAGACCACATTGACTTACTGAGAACATCTGAATCAGCAATAATATGTAAATCTAATCGTTTAACATTGAAGTGTAATGATGTTTCTACCACATCGTAATGTTCGAAAGGATCATTCGATTTCGACTGATTGTTCGCAGAATTTGACAGGTTTACTGGATCATTAAGACCTGTACTTGGCGCTTTCGGTTGGAATGTTGACGGTGTTTGTTGTTGTTCCAATTTCTATCGAACAGAATCGATAACATTATCTCTCAATACAAATCAGAGTAAACATACCATCAATTTATCTCCTGCTTTCTGTTTTCTTTGTTCTGATGCACGTTTCATTAATTGTGTAATTTCCTTATAAGTATTCAGAGCTGATTTCAATTGCGCATCGTTTACCACCGATAAAAGATCATCGAAATGAACCATCACTCTCGATGTTACCATTGTACTATCTAAATATGCGAACAAAAGCGTTGCATGCAGGACTTTTCCTCGTCAATTACCTTGAAGATTCTTTTTCATGGATATTCTTATTCGACATGCATTGGCGATCAAACGTATCGCCGCAGCTGCCGTATTGCTGTCATTCGCTGATGCTTCAATACGTGCATTTTGCCAAGAAATTTCCTTGAAAACGAGAACAATTAGAAGAGAACTTCTCAAGGAGATTTGAATATTACTTTAAAAAGAAGAATATGATCTTTAGCAGAATTGCGAAGACGAGTGAAATTCAACGAATCAGCTCGTTTTCCATATGGTGTTACGCTGTAAATATCGAGAGTTGGTAGCTGAAACGAGAAGGAAATCACGCATTGATCGGAGAGAAAGATGGTGTTAGATTTTCAAATTACAAATATCGAGGCTTTGAAGCCTTGAGCTTTAATGGCAAATGTTAAATTGGAGATTGTTAATGAAATCCCATCAATCACACGATTAGTAAAACCGTATTTCCCCAACAAACTAGATCGGTTATGGGGAGAATGAAATCAAGAAAGCGAGTTTTTGTATCTTACGGATCATTGGTATTTGTTGGATCGGTTGTTTTCTGTAAATCACGAAGTTGTTCACATGTTTCAATTTCGATGGTCACATCATCCAATGTCTAAAAGAAGTTGTCGAAACGAAAATTCAATTGCCAAGTTATTTCCTTCTTACTAATTGGATCGGTGATGTTTTCAGACTTGTCCAAGGAATCTGAAAGTATTTCGTATGAAGAAAAACAAACAGATAGGATTAAAATACTTTTATGAAAACTCGACCACACGTTGCTTTTTGAATTTTCAACCATGTCGGTAGTTCAATAACATCTTCTAGAGCTTGCTCATCTAAATCAATCGATGAGAGTTCACCTTCCCCTTTCAGTGCACTTAAATGGATCTGATTCGTTGAAAGATTTTTCACAAATCTAGACAAATAAACGGAAAACTTCATTGAAAAAATACACCTGTATTTTTACTTTGATAATCGCTTAATAATCTGATTTTTAATTAACGAAGCCATTCTGCCTGTGTCAAGTAGTACAACACAATGATAAGAAATAAAAAATAGTTGCACTAATTTCTAGAAGTAGAAGTATCTCTCACGATCAAATCATCACGTTTACTCATAGATGTCACTCGCATGCATCATATTTTGAGAAGAAACGAGAAGATTTATTTTTAATTAATTAGAAAAAGATTTCATCGTTCTTTCGGTTTATTGAAAGTACCTTGTACTTCTCCGGCTAGAGCCGTTGTATTGGTGATTAATGCGTCTTGAGGATGCATCCATTTTTGCTCGACGTATTCTTTCATGTGCGTTTGTTCTCGTTCATCTGGCCGACCAAAGCCACGCTCAAGTAATTCAACCAATTTTCCAAGCAAACGGTTCGTTTCTGCGAAGTTCTTCTCCATAACATACGCGAGGCTTTTCTCTAGTGAACAATATGGTGTGTCAAGTTCATAGGATGAGCCATAAATAATATTAATATAAGATGTTAAGGCTTGTTCAAGATTGTATTTTGACTTTTGACATGTCGAAAGGGATTTACATCGAAGTGTAATCCACTCCGTTAATTTATATGGTGTATGATGAACAGCGTACTGTTGGGAGGTGTCAAACGAACAATTGAGGTTACTATCTCTTCCGCGGAGATTCCAACCAATACGAATATATTTCATGTTTAGTAACGATAAACTACAATTAAGGTATTTACACTGTATTGCAATATTTCGAAGAATATATGGTTCAATATGTCGAGAATCGAGATGAAGTTGGAAACTGTATTCATAATCATTTGTGGTTGTATTGTAGATACATTCGTTTGTAGTTTCATTGTTATAGTTGAGTTGAATTTCATCCGTGTAAAAGTATTGACATGGATATCGTCGATATTGAAACACATGATGGTCATAATCGAACAATCGAAGGGTCAGAATGTAAGACAATGCACGATCATTTGACCATTCGAGACCTTTCAATGGATCGTACGATAATTTATAACTTGGATAAAAATCACTAGCGAATGATTTCGATGCAAGATGAAAAAGAACGAAGATTAAGATAATCAATTTCATTGTCATTCACAAAGCAGATAGTTTCTTTGTGCGTTGTTTCGTCTTATAAACAGATATATATTTATACACATATCATTTTTTATAAATATTAGATTAACTGACAACAGATGACAGTTTTTACTAATGCTTTTGTGTCTATTTTATCCTTGCATTTGACGTAAATTCATTTCTATTATACAAATGGCTACCATCTCGTTAGTTTGACAGAGACAATTGAAGTATTACATTTCTTGTTCGCTCCATATCTGTTTTGTCGCAGTCAATTCGGAGTTTACTTTACGGGCTTCCAATTGCGGCATATGAGATAAAGATATTGCTAGAAAGTTCAAAGCAATGCAAAGGAAAAAACATTCGCAGTAAGGAGTCGAACAAACACGAAAGCCTAGCACGAGATTAACCAATAAAATCAACGCTATTATAGGAAGCAGCCAATGATGCTTCTCAATTCATTCTGAATCTGTATGTTTGCTCTATTAAGGTGTATTCTTATGAAGGTTATGATTCATTCAACATAACTGTCTTTCAGCACACATGGCTTTTTTCAACATTTCACACTGATTAAAAAAAGACTTCAGCGACTACTTCAGTTCTTCATTCCCATATCTCATTGTTCTAACATGAGTGGTAATACTGGTTCTTCACAAAAAATTTACGTCTGGTTGGATGGAAATCAAAGCGAATCTTTTGAATGTACTGCCATTCGACGAGAGGTGGAGAAGAATAATGGACAATTTAAACTTTGTGACAATGCATCCAATTGTGAAGTATATTTAAGGGGTCTATCACCGAGTGATCATGTTATCTTCATTGTTAGTGGCGCTCTCGGGTCAGAATTGGTACCTAAAATCCACGAATTACCTCAAATTATCGATATATATCTATACTGTCGCAATAAAGATTTCCATAGTCAATGGGCGAAAAACTTTGCTAAAGTATGTCTAATAACTGAATCTTTCTTTCACTAGAAAATAAACTAACTTATCTAACTATTTCGTTTCCTATGTTTAGGTGAAGGGCGTTTCCTCAGAGTTCAGTGATCTCCACAAAAACTGTCGATATGTTAAAGTTCTGCCAACATTGATTGACTCGTCAAATAACGCAACAACAACAAACGAATAAGTCATAGTTATAGTTCCAGCTAGATCGGTACTGTGCATAGAACACTGATGAAAATGTAAGCTAATAACAGTTCGATTTAACTATCGAATGAAAATGTTTTTTTCTTTTAGGAATTCATTTCTCTGTAGTTAAATACCAAAGAAAATAAAAAAACATCAATTCGATATCTGCTCATTTCATCTCCATCTTCGTTCTTTTTTCGAATTTCAAAATCAGAACCAAACAGAAATCAATAGTTCGTCAGAAAGCGAGATACTCAAGATTCGACTTTTCTCTAAGCATCACTAAAACACCAGCATACAGATCGACTTCATAGTTCATTCGTGCTTCGAAAATAAATGCCAAAATGAACAAATACTACCATTCGTCGACTCTGAAATAATTTGACAGTTGTTTTCATCGAGATCTCTGTTTATTTCTTTGATAACGATAGAACTTGACGAGATCAATAGATCAATCATAGAAGAATAAATGTTTCATAGCATTTGTAGTCCATCTGATTCTATCGCCACCGGATATGTAGAGGAGTGAAGAAAACAACGATCTGTTTGAAAACTGAACGCAATCGACAAGCAGATCGAAATCGATTGACCGAGCACCTGCAGCGCTCGAACATATATATCATTTGGTTAACGAGCGAACAAAATGACATACAGCTGTTTTACTGCAACAAACATACGACCAGCTGTGAACATAAAACGGAAGCGTTAAACTATTTATGATCATTTTCCACACATTCACAGCAATGAACCTCAAAGAGTAAATCAATTTGCCATCACTATTATCAGTTTTCCTTCTCTGTGAACAACACTTCATTATCTCGAAGGTAAAAACGATAGATGAAAGTTAAAGTATATGAATGTATATTCTTAGGTCAAGCTTTTTTTTTCTCTATAAAATTACGCAGATAACAACAAGAGACAAAAAATATATGTATAAGTAGAACAATTTTTTCTTTGTTTATCGTGTGTTTTCCCTTTTCGTCATACAAGCAAGAAAACAAAAAAAAGTGAACATTTCTTCCTCTAGTCTAATATAAAAATAACAATTCATAAAAACAGTCTCATCAATCTTCACTACCATTCAAAGAGCAGGAGAAACGAAAAAGAAAAGGAAAACAATGAATTTCAACATAACACAAGTCAAAGCAATATTAGAGAAATACTCTTCAGAGAGTAACGAGAATGTACATATAGGAGAAGAAAGAGGAAAGAGAAAAATCTTTGTTTTGTTTATCATACCAATTCATCAATATGATGTAGAATAAAAGAGAAAGAAAAAAAATTCTATGATTGAGGAGGTGAACCTGTGTAGCGAAGATCATAGCGAATATTTGTCGAACGATATTGAACAGGTTGAGAAGAAAATGAAAGACATGAACGAAATGTTGAGATACGTGTTCGTCGTCCGCCACCAGTTCTCTCATTTGTACCTGTAAATTTATCATATTGTTTCGTTTCCAAACGATATCGCCGATATTCTTCGTGAAAATCACTATCGACCATCGTTCGATATTGATTCGGGAAGCAAAATTCCTAAAACACGAGTCGAAATTTCTCTTTTCGTTCCAAAATTACAATTGAATCTTACTTTCGAGTGTTCATAGAATGCTTTGTAACCACCATCGAGGAGGTAAATTTCTGGATAGTGCAATTCCGGATATGATCGTTCATGAATAGTGCGATCTTCCGATCGAAAATATCTTAAACTGAATGAAGAAACATGAAAATTTGTTTGCTGATTCGACAAAACATGTTTCCTTACAGTGATGGTGCACGTTCCGATGAGAATTCACAATGAAAAACAATGATATTTCTTTTCGATGGATCTTTCAATTGAATTGGATTGCGAAAAAATTCATTATAGACTTGCGTACGTGTAAAAAGATTCTTCGCTGATTGGATATGTCCACCCTCATATTCATATGGGTACCGACAGTCAACAACGTACAAATTTTCAATTTCTGATGAATACATATTATTCAAAACATTCACCATCTAAACGAGATCAACGTTTGATGATGAAAAGAGTGTGGTTTTGAATGATATTACTGTTTCAGGACTAATACAAGCGAGATCAGGATGTTTACGACTCTTGCAACGTGGTAAACAGTATGTATTGGAACGATCACCAATTAATTCACGATTGGATGCGAGTTCAACTGATGCTTTGATTTGTTCTTCGTTGGGTTCAGTCAAGCTTCGAATTAACTAGATGAGAAAGTAATTTGCTTAGTTTGGAACGGAACAATCTTTCGAAGAACATGACTTACTCCAATTCCACGACGTGAACGTTTTACAGCTGATGGACGATTGATAATCAATTCATTTTCTTTATTCGACTCATTAATAACTTTTGTGCGTTTCATCGATCGACAATTTTCACTGTTTTCATCGTCATCATCATCGTCATGAAGACGTTTCTATGATAAAGAAAAACAAGATAGACGGATTTCTCATTAAATTGCTCTTCATACATTCAGATTGGAATTTTCTTCAGCTGTAATAACCGTTAACACTGGCATATTTCTTTCGTTTTCAGATAGACAAAGTGGAAGTGGTCGTAAGCGTCGTTGTCGATTTCCACTGAGACAATTTTCATCTCGATCTGGTGTCACTGTTGAGAGAGTTTTGTCGAAGAGAGTTATCAACTGTTCGGAATGCGAATCCTAAGAAAGATGACACTGTTCGTTCTCGAATATTTTCTTCTCTATACAAAACAAACCGAAGTAGATTGAGATCGTGTCTGCATTGGATGACGAGATGAACTATTCCTATGTATAGAGATACAGTTTTGGATTCTTTTCAGTAGAAAAGCAATTTACTCTTTTGGAGTTAATTCATTTGGACGAATCTTTTTGCTTTTATTTTCTTTAATTAGCGTTTGTCGTTTATTGCTACGCAGTGATGTAGGACGTGCAACTTGTTTAAATCCGTAATGTTCCAATTTTGAACGTGTTGGTCTGCTTGTGACAATATCTGTTGATCCAGATCGAATTGACAAGCTAGAAAGACAAAGATTGATTTCTTCTCTGAACTTTCTTTAACAGTTTTCTTCTGTTGACAGAAGGCAAATAACAACTGGAAATCGGCTTAGCTCACCGCTGTTATATACAATAAGATTATCATTTTGTTGTCTATCTGCTAATAGCAGGGTGGCACCGATCCATTCGCGAAAGAAAAAAAAACGATTCGTCTGATGAAAGTTGACACTAGTCGATAATTACATCAGGAGAAGAAATCGTTTGAAAGAGAGAGAATAGCAAAAAATGTCAACGGTCGGACGAACACCTTCTACACTTGAGTGCCATCGAATTGTCAGTCATAAATCAAGTCGAACGATTCTTTCACGAGCCATAGGGAGGATTGTTTAATATGCAGACAATCCACTTCACTGCTTTGACATCAAAAGTAAAACGAAAAATAAAGAGAACACTTACTGTTCATCTTGATATTCTTGCCGGAGGTTATCTATTATTGAAAACCGAAGGCGAAATGACAGAAACAAATGGTTTATCTCTTTTTACCTGAAGATATCAATTGTGGACTATTATCTACGTCTTCATCGCTTGACGAATAGACCAGCTTGCGTCGAGGTGTTCGTCTAAAAAACATTTCTCATGGTTAATCAAGTAGAAAACAGAAGCATTTCTAACGGTTTTCTTTTTCATTCATTCGTTCCTATTTGTTCAACTGATAAACAATATAAATATGAATTCGTTTGAACGAGCGCTTCAGTTTCTCCTCACGGTTGGTATCTATTCAAAGGCAATAGGCGCATTCTTACCTGATCAAGAAACTCCAACTACTAGCTGAAGTACTCATGTGAAGCCAATGGTCAAGATCGGATAACGTATTCATAGGACTGACATGTTCTTCGAAGATGTTTTCTCTTTTCCGATTGATGAAGCGAAATGTTTGTTGAACCGAACAAACTTTTTTTTATATAAATGAATGTTCAATAGGGAAGAGAGGAGAGGAGAGAAGAGGAAGAGAGAAGAACATCGAAAATTTTTTCCTGTTCGCTTCTCTCGGGAAAGAAAAGTTCGTTAAAGATGAAGAGAAAAAAACGAACGAACGTTAGATGTGAATTTCAATGTTGTTTTCATTTGCACTTGTCTGAGTGCTATTAACACAATCTAACGCTTTTTCCGATATGCGTACATGTCGAAAATCAAAGAGAAGGATAAGATGACCTATTTGTCGATTGGAAATGTCTTCAAGATAAGCATTCCTGAAAATATTTTCTAATTATATCATGTCAACTTCATATGAAATAGACGATGAAAAATTGATGTGTGAAAGACGAAGAGAAAAAGTGATGAAATGAACAACAGATGGAAAATATTTACCTGTCACCAAAAGTAGCTCGTAAAGTGTACATTGAAGAAGAAAAAACGATTAATTGGTGATAATGAACATTTTTGTGTTTGCAAGAGGCAGTAAGACCAATGTAAGAATTTAACAAGAAAACTGTTCTTCTTGTTCACATAGACATGTCCGACTGACTGATTTGAATATACAGCTGTTACATGGCCGATGTGTTTTTCTCTCTCTCACACACACATTCAAAAGATAAACAACATGTTTTCGTTTTCATTCTTTTCCTTTCGCGAAATCTGATTTCGAAAATGGTGATTTAATCGATAGTTTAGTGATCAACACATATACAAAGAAAGATTCAAGTGTCACCGAACCGGCATGCCTATCAGGCTTGTTTTATCACAATATGAACCGTCGATCTTCTTTTCTCACATACGACTGTGAAAATGAATGATCTTTCGCTTTCTACCCTTCTATTCAGCTTGTTGTTATATTAGTTTTTCCAAACAAGTAATCGCTTTTGACAAATACTTTCCACTGTGATATTTCTTTGAAGTTTCGATTCGAAAAACAAAACATACTGTTGGATTAAAAACGTAAAGGAAAGCAGTTATTCATTAGACATGCATAAGCGAATATGAATTAAATCGATAAATTGTCTACGACTAATTTCATGTCGAGTGAAAGCTAAATGAATAACAATTGATCGATTTCTTATGTAACTAATTCACACGGTAGAGCGATGTGCACACGAGTCCAATTATGTTGTTCCCTATTCAATTTCGCACTTCAACGTTTTGTCTTCTTGTTTACTTATTTCATGTCACTAGAGAATACGTGTGAGATTTAGATGCTCTTCTCAGTCATGTAACCAATATAATCTTGTCTTCTTTGAGAAAACATTCACCACACTTGTTTGTTTTGTGAATTTGACGAACAAGAATTATGACAAGTGTTTCTTTCTCAGGTGGAAATATGTATGACATATCGATTGCTTGAGAAAAATCAATTATACTGCTGATAGGTTTAACAATACAGTCGTTGCATTCATTCAATGAAACGAACAGCAAGGATTATATTGGAAATCAAAGTGAGCAATGTATGTTCTTCTGATTGATTTATTTCTAGATCGGAAATCGAGACAAAATATGTTCTTTTTTGAACAAAAATCAATAGCATCAACAGTTCCAACAGCTAATCTGTATGATGAGAGAATAAGATGCCGCATGGCCATATATTTAATTGTTATTGGATTGACAACATGAAATGGGAGAAGTATAATTAAAGTAGATATGAAAATGTATATGGCATATCTAGCTGTGCAAAATAAGCTGTTAGGAAATTGGACTTTTTCAATATCTGTGTGAACGGTTAGTGCCATTTCGTGAAAAAAAAAGACGTTTTATAGACCATATCTAAATGGTTTCATATTTTCATAGCGGAACAAATAGGTAAAGCGATTAATTAGAGGGAAATTTGGTAAAGATTATTATAAGCGAGATACACATAATCAGAGCTTTCAATAAGAAATTCCAGAGACTATACACAAAAGTAAAAAAGTTCTTGTTCACACTAAAGAGATTTAAAAAATGCAACACTTTTGTTTTTTGTCACCTACGAAGAATGTCTCAGATGTGATACCTGCCGCTTCAGCTTGTACTGTAAATAAATTGGTAAGGCATAATCTATGTAAATTTTGAGGTCGAAATTAGAATGTTATCCATGTTTGAAAGAAACGAGTTGCCTCTATGAAAGCAGAATTCGGATATATTCTTCTCGAACTTTTATCTACACTATTGACCACATATGAACTCAAAGCGAAGACAATACTTTGAATAATTTTTTTTTTAGATGAATGTAAGAACATTGGAACTTCGTTTAAAGGTCTGAGTGGAGAAGTGAACAGTAATTTCTTGTTTTTCTTTAATACATAGATATTTGTTATTGGTACAGTAGTGTCCATCGGAAAGAGTGACAAGATCGAATGGGAACTCTTTTAGTAATATTTGAGTTTGAAAGCGATGTGTCTGCTCCACATAAGATAAAATCTTCTTATTACATTAATGTTGCAATAGAGTCATTTTTTCCAATTGCGATTGGACTCGTCGGATCAGTCGTTACCAGAAACGGATCAGATATTTAAGTGGCATTAGCTTGCTATACGACAGGCATCGTCACATAAAAGAAAAGAATTCAATTCAACTGCAAAATTCTTTTTTTTTTATCACAAAAATCTCAATATATATATACATACACATGAATATCGATCTAAATCTCAAGATTTTGTACATAACATTAGGAACTCATGTTCTTGTATCGGGATGCTTGGAATACTTCCACCTTGGAGTATAGCATCAAAAACTTCTTCTAATTCTTCGAAGATCTTTCTACAAATATACATTCGATCAATACAATTTTGAAGGAATGATAACTATGAAACTTGTTTTAATTGTCTATTCTTAAAAACTCTTGAATTTTTCGACCTTATACNTATCGTCTCATTTATTATGAGTTTGTTAGTTTTCTATTTCTATCGACTCGAACGAATAATAAAAAATAATTTTTTTCTGAAGGATACGCCACCACAAGCTCTACACTAACTGTGTGTACAAACTCAGAAAAAAGAACCAAAAGTGGCTGCAATATATTTATATTCATCCGATTATGACGGGACATCGGAGTTTCGCATAGGCACTTAAAAACTTCCACGAGAAAATTGTTCGAATCAGAGAATAAAGGTTCTCTTATGAGTTTTTTTGTACAACTCTCCTTGCTCTATCATTTAAAAGAAAAATCCGAATTTGATCATTTTCTCAACTCAGGATACCAGCCAATTAACATATGTCGCAAAACTATTGGTACACCCGGTACATGAATGTATGAGATGATACTAAATATAATTTGTTCGTCTGAAAATATTTCTAATAGTTATCATTTTTCATTTTACGTCACGAATTACAGGTTATCTGTATGTATTATACTCTAAAAATAAATATCCCTACTATGTTGCAACAGTGAGTACCAAAATACTGACGTCAGAAGTATGATTGTTTGATACTATGTCTCTGACGTCTAAATCATTCCTTATCATTGGAAGTATAAAACAATATCGAAACGCAGCTAAAGATAATAAAAGTTTAAAATGTTAGTCACCATTTTCTTGCTCTTTGCTTTAGCATTATGTGACGTTTCTTCTCTGAAATGTTACAAATGTGATGAAACTCATGTGAACTTCTGGATTAATGCTAAGACGCTTCCATCTTTTCCAACAAACTGTTCATCAGTCGAAGCCGAGAAACAATGTACAGCAGTTGTTCGATGGTTTACATTACCCAATGGAAAAGAAAGTTACGTTGACTATTTAGATAACTTCTATCCATATTTTTTACCGAAAGATTCATCACGTTTCTTTGTTTTTGTCGCTATCGAACGTGAACTCCGAACGGCATCAACTCGGGCACTAGTCTACAGTTGCACGACAGATAACTGCAATAATGAAACAAGCCTTCAACGAGCATTAAGCTCATTAACTCTCAAGGAAAATTTTGCACCACTGGATGTTTTATTCAGTAATAACACTAAAAAGTTTACTCAGCAAAGTTCATGCATCGAATTTTCCAATTCAACTCACATTGAATGTCCATCATCGGCTTCTCCTTTATCTTTATGTCCAGCTTGCGTGCTCTTGGAAGTAGATGGACCATCACGAGAACTCTGTGCTCGCTGTCCAAATGAAAGCACAACAACAGACGTTGACTCTGTTGAGCGTCGAGTATTCTTCTTTCCCGGAAATAAAACACGATTAGGTGATCAAAGTACACTTGTGTGTCGGACAAAAGGCTGCAATGCATTGGATAATGCGGAAAAAATTCATCAACTGAGCACAATAGAGTTCGATTTCAAAGAATTCTTTCCCTAATTTTTGTTCAATGAACTTAGTTTTTCTATAAACATGCTCATTACAAATATAATTTCCTTTTTAAGCATTTATGTTTTAATAATTTTCAGCTGCTGATCAATTTTGACGAGAAACAACGGTGATCTATTAAAATAACTTTCTCTTACAATTTTTCTGTTGCGTAAATAAGATGATAAGACTGACAATATGATTTCCTTGTTAGCGTTTGTGATGAATCACGTAACGCTGTAGTTTTCATGGATGAGACATATTTAGTAAAAACGTTTTTACCTAACACATCTTTTGTTCGTGCAAGCTCCGTCGTGCTAGCTTCACACCGATAAGTAACACCCCTACTCATCAGTCCAGCCAATCTTGATTTAATATAGTGACTACATCTAGAATAAAGATTATAACACATGCTGCTACCAATCTTACATTTTGGTTACTTGAACAAAGTTTTCCCACCGTATTAATACATTTCAAATGATTGATTCAAAAAAAAACAGTACGATACCTACATTACTAACACTGCAATCTGGAAGATGTTGGTGTCTCTTCTTTTAACCTTCGCTGACATCCACACCCTCAACGAAAAACTTGAATTCTAATTTATTATCGAATTCAAACTGGACTGTGATATTGAGAAAATAATATATTGTAGAATATATCATAAAAGTCGTATTGGCCTTTTAGAGATTATCGTGTAAGTGCGGTGAGAGATACGTCACCTTGAGAGAGTAATAAATCGATAGAAATCTTCATATTTCACTCTTTCATTATATCTATTTCGACACCAATATTCATTCAATTCATAATTCCATTCAATCTTATTTATCTTTGTCGTTTTTTTCCATAGCTGTTAACAGTAAATTTGAAAATCAAACTATTAGTTTTTCAATAAGCTATTGTATGTTCGATATCAGTATCATTCAAAAGCAACAAAAACACAGAGATGTTGACTGAAGAACAAATAATCCGGAAATGTAACATGTGAATCAATATATATGGATGATGAGAACGTTGAAAACATCCAGATATATAACAGAAGTAACTGATTATTATTAAATCAGTATTAAATATCGTGCGTACTTAATGTAACAAGGATTTTCTTCCTAGATTATATCCACCATTGAATGCAGTATGCGATAGACGTGCCACACTCCCGCATCGTAGTCAGAAGAAGCTTTCTAACAATGATTTTCAAAGATATTTGTTATATTCTTTGATTCAGGCTTAACGAAAACTCAGAAAACCGATCTATATCTCGGCCCTTACTCGCATCTTTTTGAATTTCTTATCCTCGTGTGGCAAATGAGCTACAAATATAAGTAGATCCGAGTAATATCTAATTAAGATCGTTGCCAACCATCATCATTATTGTATAGTAAAGATCGGATGATGTTGAAATATCAAGGATATGATTTTTTTTACATGACTTTTCATAAAAATAAATATCAAATTCGTAATCAGCGTTAAAAACTGCGCTGGTTATAAAACAGTCCAAAATTTCAGAAGTCTGAACACATACATTCCAATTCTCAACGATGCATTTTACGTGTATACTCATTGTACAAAATAATCAGTCGATTTAAACGTAGACTCACGCATGAACAATGGTTTTTATGTTATTTATCTTAACTTTCTCAAGGAAGGTTTGTAAGCGGTTTTTGATACGAAAACTCTCGCAACATTTAATCGTGTACTTAGAGTAATACCGGCACATGAAATCACATGAGAATGTAAGCTAACGGATACTGAATTGATACAGAAGACAACGTGCAAAGTGTACTTGTATTCACAGTCTTCGTTAAGAAAGATAACTATGATTGCAAAACCACTTTATTTTCGAAAATTCACTATTCTTTGCCAACAAACTTGCAAAAATAATAAGAAGACTACTCCACAATTGTGCTCAAGTGTTTTCATTCTCACCCTCAAGATGACTTAGAATCATTTCTATAATGATAATAATATAGCATTCATATTGAAGCAAATAACATCGTAGTATTATTTAATCCAAATTGATGGAAACTTCTTTCACAAACAAAGAAAATTTTCTGCGTTCTGAATGTTTCTATCCTTCGTGAGACATATGAACTTTGCTAACCAATTATGCTATGTTTTCCCTGTTCTTTGTAGTCTGTATTTTTGAAAGCAGAAGGTATTTCTTCACAACTCATTAATACGTATATTGAGAAATACATTGATCTCTTCCTTTGACTTTGGTCATGGTATCCTCATCGAAAAGCATATCAATGAACGAAATTCCCATGATAACAGCTTTTACTTTTCTTGAAAGAGCAAATCAAAAGGATGATGATCGTCCTGTGAACGTATACAAGCGCTTTTGTGTTGTAAATTTCTTGTTGATAAATAAAAATGAAAAAATAAGAAGTAAAACATTACGGTTCTGTATGCTTTGTTAGATGATCAGATTTTATACTTATGTTAAAGTAAACAGCAAATACGCGTACTAAAGCAGATTATGACTACAAGATACTGCTACTGTAGAATAGGACGATCAGAGCAAATACTACGTTTGTTAGAATAACTAAATTCATTTGCGCTGGATCTAAGACAACAAAATCTAGTGTCTTATCAGAATTGTAATTACCAGCAACAAAATATTTCGGAACACTGAGCACTCCTGTTGAAATGTGAGAAGCGCAGAGAATTTTCTATTTCCAGTACCAAACCATATACCTGTGTGATGTGTGTATTCATTAGTAATAATGATGTCGACTTGATTATCATTATTAATATTATTTACAACAACGGAATTCAGATAACTAAACGTTCCTCTTGAGTACGTTGTTTGCGTTCGAAAAGTGTCATTGCTATTTCAGATAGAGACGTTGAAGTTATTATTTTTTTTTGTTGGCTGATAACGACCAAATCTACCTGATGATCATAATCAAAATCATTGACATTAAATGAATGCGAGACATTAAAGTATCCAAAATCATTGTTAAGTAATACTTTTGCGCTATTTCCAGTATTACTGAGTGTATCAATATCTAATTGATGGCCATTATTGAAATCATTTGTGAGAACGTAAGATGATCTCTTGAAAGTACCAGCTACAATCTTAACTGACAAATGAAAAATACTGTTACCATCTCGAGCCATGAATGGATGATGAGTAAAGTCAGTTGTATATTTAATTTCCTGAAGGTAGCTTTTATTGCCATTATCTAGCAGAGTTCCGATCGTTTCCGACTGGTAGTTGACAACAGCTACATCGATTTGCTGATTATAACTAAAATTTGCGTCAACAATTGGAACAAGACTATTGGAATCTCCTAGAAAATAGTTCACTTACATCGAGACAATTTCATTGTTATACCAATATAATATATCTCGATGTTATGACGTTTTTTGATAAATTACTGTAGTACTAAATGGGAATGATTGTCACTATTAAGATCATTGACAGCAATGAAATCTAATGAAGCGTCAGAACGACAATTATACGGTATCAAACATTGGAATGGTAGGAAATAGGAAACATATTTGATTCTAGTCGTCAGTCAGTATAACAACATGTTTTACTAACATCGGTGTTTACTGATCTGATAGGGTAAATGTCGTTTGTTAGAATAGCTGTTTGATTTGATATCGTCGATGTGGTATACATCGAATATGTGTGACATTGTTGAGTCTTCCATATGTGTTCGTTGATTCAAATGAATAAGTATAGCAGTTGTGATAGCAATGACAAAGATATATCCACGCAAGAACTAGTGTAGCGGCGAATCAATAGAGTGAAAGCATAGAGCGAATTGAAATGCTAAATATATGCATATGAACATGATGCAGGTGAACATTGATCAAAATATGCGGAGAAATTCATTTTTATTAACCAGTTTTAAGGGAGAGATCATTAACACGATTCAAGATATTTATATCCAACAAGAGTCGAGTATGATCTGTATTAACATCATAGAAACGCTTCACTCAATAAACATAACATTTCCATTCGTTTTAGCAGGATCGCCAAAGACAAACCAAGGATCTATAAACTGATAATTTGATTCATATGCTGAAATGATGGCGTTGCCATGATCGATTGAACGAAGAACAAACGTTAACGACTCAAATTTGTTGGCGCTTCGTATTGACTTCGATTAATCAATGACATTATATGTATGGAGAGCATATGTGAAGGAAGGAGTTCAGGAGAAACAAAAACCTATGCAAGAGATTCAAAATGTGAAGAAATGAAATGACGATAATCACTAGCCGGATAAACAGAAAGACCTGGTACAAGATTTTGCGTGAGGTTTATTCACCATTGATGGGATACAAATGACCTTTGTACATACATGTATATATTATATATGTATTATCGATATAATAGTGGACATCAAGAAGAACGATAGGATCAATTCAGAATCTTCTAGAAAGGTTTGATTAAAAAAATTCGTTTTCTATTCTTGAACAGAGTATAGAAAGTGAATATTTCTTATTACATAATTCTCTTTTAAAAATTTAGAATTGACCCATCGAATCAACCACCACCAAAAACGGATCGAATATCTATATGGTATCAACTTGTTGTTCAGCAAATATCACCAAATAGAAGAAGAAAGTTGAATTGATGAGAAATTCACCTTGGATATTGTGTGTTTCGAATATAATTTTGAAAAAAAAACAAGTTTTCATGTCACTAACTGGAAAAGATAATAGACTAGATGGATATATTTTATCTCGACATCTTATCCTGTCATTGAAAGAAAGAATGAGTAAGATCAAAACATACTCTTTGATATTCCAACGGTAGGGATAAAATCAGCAGGTTCGAAGAGAGAGTAAATTTCTCTTGCCTTTAATAATCACTGTTTATTGTAACTGTTTTACTAGCTTCCAATATTCTATTGATCATAGTTGAGAGTAGACATATCTAAAATTGAATCTCCAGTATAAATTTTTTCCCATTCGTGGGATCTATCACATAGACTTCAACTATCAATATGAACTATATTTTTGATCGATAATGAAATGCATGAGCCAATCAAATTCCCAGAAGACATCTTTTGACGTATCGTTCAACAAAATTAGTTTTTATATTTGTATCAGATTATTAAATACACTTATGAATTGCTAATTGAATTGATAATAGATTTACTAGAGATGTTGTTGTGATCAATCATATCTTAGTCTACTTTTCTTATTATAACGCAGTTGAATGAATTAGATACTACCCACTTCGATATTGATTTGCTCAAGAACCATCGGCAGTTCGTATTCTTAATTATTGCTTACTGCAATTTATAATCTGCTCAGATGAACAGTAAGGGCAACAAAGTCATCACTTCCTAAGGTATACATTGTACATGATGGTGGAACATCAACAAGATATGAATGAATGTTTTATAATGAAGTCAAAAGCAATTGAGCAATTAGAAGTGTTCCCCTGTGGAAATATACCACCTGTATTTTACCAGATAAACATTGCTATTTCTGCAGCATCGATAGCGAAGACGAAGCCAATTAGTATATCTATCTGCTGATTCGTAGAGGATGCTTTTCATTTTTCGTGTTTATCTGGCACAATCTGTGTTAATCAAGAAAGGTGAAATATACCAGATCGAATGTACCACGCTTGTTATTTTAGCCTTCTAATCAGCTTTTTTTTTAATGACAAATCTAAGACAGATGTTCAGTGATAAAAAAACTTTTCATCGACATAAAAGAAAATCGTCAACACGTTTTCAACAATATAAGTGAAACTATTTTATCTGATGCTTGACAACTTCTACGCAAGAAAAATCATCGATATACATTTACGTCANAGATATATGTCATAGATCTTATTTGGATTAAGTCCTTTCATCAAGTGTTAAATGTAAACGAAAGCCAACGCCTTGTTTCTCTTTCTTTTCTTCTGATCCCTAACAAGTTCGCTCAGACTTGATTTTCCTCACTCGAAACAAAAAACATCTTGCAGTAAAGAGAGAGAAGAACACACCAGACGATATTTCTCCAACATAGTTTCGACACGGAGGTGTCAATTTTCCGGTGTGTCCGAGCAACATTTGCTTGTTAATACTCCATTTCGAGTGGATGTTTTTCCATATTCACCACACACACTTATGAGATATCTTTTTTTCCTATTGTATTACAATAACGAAAGGAAAATATCCGTTTTTCGACCACAAACGGAAATGGATAGTTTCGATCGAAGAAAATATGTCGATTCGGAATTTCTCATTATGCAATGATTTGTTCTCTTTCTTAAAAATATCTTTCAACGTTAATTTGTCCTTTTCGTTTTGTTTGATATGTTCTGCAAATAGCGGCTGAACACAGCAGTAACCATTAAATATGATTACATGAACATCAAATAAATGAAAAAGGACATTTTTGACTGATGACGATTACATGAACGTTCTGTGTTTTGTCGTTTCCTGGGAATATTCACCTGTCATTTGCTCACAAAGTGAAACCATTTCGTTTTCTTGAAGTTTCACATGAACAATCTCTGTTCTTGTTTTTCTTATCAATTAAAATTAACATTGACTTGTTAACTGAGCAAGCATGAAATGTAGTCGTTTGTTCTCCGAATCATGTTTTTTCTTTTGTTTGAATTCAATGAATGAGTGAACTTCTTCTTTCTCCTCTTGATTTCGTGTCGGCACATTGTTCATAATCGAACCGACTCGATGTATTTTAATCAAATTTTCCATGTCAAGTATTCATCATCTTCTTTTCACGTGCCGTTGTCTATAACGGATGATTTTCCTCTTCATGCTCATTTTTTTTTGTCTGTCATGACATTCGAATGTTGAGGCGGCTTGTTTGAATGACAATTAAATTCTCACCTCGAACAAGAAAAAAGAGCATGAGAAGAAAATTCGATTGTTCAACCTGGATGAGATCATCTTGTCAGTCGTTTTTCATCGTTACTGTTAAAAGTCAAACAGCTTATTATAATAAAATTAGTTTCAACAGCGTTCAAACGTGAAGTAAGAGACTTTGTATTTTTTCACACTCGAAGAAATTGGATCGTTTTTATATTTGCTCACTCATGACTTGTTTACATACTACTGTAGAGGAAAGAGAGAGAGAGAGAGATGATGATTTCCTTCTTTTTTTCATGTTCGGGATCATTGATGAATTTTTTATATACAAACAGATATGACATTATCATCATGTCGATGAACGGCAGGTGACTGAGCGAGCATCGTTTGATTTTTGTTCCGGAGATTTGTCATTTCCTCATTCGAAATAATGACCCATAACGAGAAATCGTTAGAAAGATACACGCACACGTCGAAAACAACGTCTCACTTGCTTCCATTTCAAGTAAGTAAACGATTGAACTGACCGGCAAAAGGATAATCGAGAACACTTATAATAATTATGTCATTAAGTTATTTATATCTAATCCGATCCGACGAGTTGGTTTCTGCGTTTTCCTTTTTTCGCGTGATAGTTTCTCACCGTGTAATTCGAGCATGTGTCCGTCCAAGTTGATGTTTCAGTTCGTTCAGACTTGAGAAAATGTCGCAAAACGAAAAAAATCTCATTAGACTAGATTACTTGAAGTATATCATTTGAAAATCAAGTGTCACCGATCTGTAGGGATTAATGTAAATAGATATACCTGTCTTCGTTCGATGAAACATTAGCTATTTTCATAGTAGGGAAGGACAACATAGCAGGTGCAAGCAACATGATCATTTTCGAGTCGATTTTGCAGATATTTGATAATCAAAACGAAACGTTTTGGATGTGTGAACATTTTTCTTTTTGTTTATCTAGTGAAAAATGTCCAACAATTCGAATGACATCTCATCGTCAAATAGTTGCACACAGATGCGATGAGAGATCGATGGCATGCGTCCGAAATTGAGTTCGAAATCAATGTGTGCATCTTATCATAGAATGTTCATCAACAAATTTCATATTCGACAGTTCATAAGTTGAAAAGAATCTCGCGTGATCAAGGATTCGTTGAAACATATGCTTTTGAAATGATCTTTTTTCATCAAAACGAAACTTTACTCTCCCGAGAGAAAAAGAGAGAGAAACGAGAAGAAAACAATGATATAATTTTCTTGTGTCATTCTCTTCTTCGAACAGTACTGGTGTCCAATGATCATATCTCAATCATTATGCTTGTATTCATTCAGTCAATCAGACTGTCTGTTGTGGTGATTAGCAGGGGAGCTGTAGTTTTGCATGTCCCTGCTAATATCTGGACAGACAGACAGACAGACAGACTGATAATTAGAAAAGAAACAGGGGGTTAAACTATCGCAATATATATATAAAGAGACGTATAGTTAGAAAGAAAAGAATTTTTGTTTATTTTTCTTTCGAACAGAAATATGCGTATATATATATATTGATCTCAACTCATTTCCACTTATTCATTTTTCTCATATTTCAGATAAGAATTCTTCTTTCTGTTTTTGTCTAATCATCATGAATACCAATGATGATCTTCATAATTACGAAGGTTTACTATTATCATCAACTTCATCGAATAAGCGGTCATTGACAAATCATTTTGTTGATTATGTGAAGAAAACGAAATATTTCGTCCCATGTACAATGTTATCCCCATCGAAAACGGCAATCAGCGAAAAGCCAACGTCATCATCGAATCATTCCAAACGAGGTATGAACATTTTCATGGCAAAGTATTGCATTCATCTAATCATTTGTTCCAGGTTCATTATGTATTGCATATTCAATTTCCAATGAAAATCAAACAGATGATTTCACATTAATCTTACACGGTAAGCAAACAACGCATATAGAACTTTTCACCGATAATTAATATCTACATCTATTCAGTATTACGTGCTCGGCAATTAACAAATCTGAGTGATTCACCGAAAATGAATACATTCGTCAAAGTAACTTATCCTCAGCACTATGAACAATGTTCGAAGATCATCCAAGGAACAACTTCTCCAGTTTACGATGAAAAATTTGAGATGTAAGTCAAATCATGGAAGAAACAAGAAATCGAGCTGAATTGTTCATTTTTCAGACCTTTCAATAAAGCCAATCTGTCAAATTCATCGAAACGCCTAACAATATCTGTGTATTATCAATCGATATCAAACAAAAAGTAAGTGAATACAATCTTCAAACGAGCATTATTATGACAAGTTCGAATATTTGTGTGAAAACAGTAATCAAATCATCTTCGCTTGTTTCTCTCTTTCTTTCTTCCACGTGTAAAAGGAGATTCTCTATCTTTTCTCCCTGAACAACACATACGTTCGTCTGACGACTATCTCTCTTTCGAATCAAAGGAAGAAAAACAGATTATATATATCCATCGTTGTTCATTCGTCATTTTTTATTTATATATTATATTTTAGAAGTGACTTAATCGGATGCATGTCATTCAATATGAAGACTCTTCTTAAAACAACCAGTTGCAACAAGGTAAGAAAATCGATTATCTGAAAGTGTGAAACGAGATGTGATATATTCTGTTAGAATAATATTCCAGGGTGTAAAATGACTGATTGTTTTGTTTAGAATTCAATGAAATTTAAGTGGTATTGTTTGTTACCGGAGTCAATTGGAAGACATAAACGAGTGGCATTGAATGTTGACAACTCATCTTCACAAATGAGAAAAACGAATCGAGTTTTATCGAAGAAATCCGAGAATTCTAATGGACTTCTCATCAATGTAAGGCCGAAGTTTGACAAGAAGAGTTATAGTTCTTAAGTTTCACGTGTTTTCAGGTTGATATCCATGATCGCGATGAAATTCGATTTTCATCAGGATTTCCGTGTACGATAAGTGAAGTCAAATCCGCTATTGGTCCTTCATGCACTCGGCCAATGTCTGGTGATGTACTTTTACAAGTAAATGATATCAATGTTTCACGTACACAAGCCAAAGCGGTAAAGAAATTGATCAGGTATGAACGTAACTATTCTTCTGAAGAAAATATCTTATCGATTTGTTGATATCAATAGAAATTTACCGTTACCCATTACTCTTCAATTGTATCGTCGATCCGTTGAATCGAATGCAGTTAAAATCGATAAAATTGTGATGAATTCTATTGATCAACATGAACCGTTGAATCGAAATTTGTTCTCACCAACTCTTCGCAGTATGGATTATCAACAATCTTTATTAATGTCACCAATCAATCGCAAAACTTCCGAGTTACAAAGCGATGGAAGTGAATCAGGTGTTGGTTCAGAAAGTAATCCATATTCCGATGGCGATCAAGAAAATCGATTTGTAAGTTCGCTGTCATCAATACTCATTTCGTAAAATTCACCTCTTCTTTTAGCAATTCATTTCGGAATCGTATGAACGTGATGTGACACACTTGATCGACATTGAAAAAGATTTTATTAATCAAATTGAACTTGGCGTACAGTTATATTCTCGACCATTGAAACACTACTTAATTTCCTCGAACGAACACGCGAAATTATTTCAAAATATCGAAAAGGTAAGTTGAACGATTCTGATTCATAGAACAATTCTCATTATTGATTTGTGTAGATTCTCGCTATTTCAAGATATCAACTAAGTCGTTTACAAATATTATCTGAACGAACAATTGTGGGCTCGATTGGAAAGATTTTTCACGAGAAAACTCAATTAATTTGTGAAGCATTCACCCGTTACATATCGGGCTATGTCGATGCCTGTTCTCAATTGAAACAATTGAGAAAATGCGCTAGTTTCCAACGATTCATCCAAGGAAACCATTCGACACTCACAATTGAACAGTTCCTACAAATACCGTTAAATCACATCGATAATCTCGCCAATCAATTAGATGTTTTATGTTGTTCATGTGAAAATGCAAATGATGCAAATTATCTTCTTCATGTTCTCAAAGGTAAATTGACAAATGTCCTTTTCGAAATACAAAACAATTAACTCCTTCTTGTCAAACAGAACTACGTCAATGTTCATTACACGTCTCATCATCGTCTTCCTCCTCCTCGTCATCAACATCGACGAGTCATAATCATTGCACGACAACAATGTCATTGAACAGTGCCAGTGGAACATCATCATTAATGAACAATACCGAAGATAGTGACATCATTGAATTGCAAAATCGTCTTCAATTCACCAAATCGATTCAAGTAAGAAAATAAAGTCGAAATTTGCTTAGAAATATTCATGTTTTGTTTGTAGCCTGTGGTACTGACAGGACGAAATCGTCATATTATCTTCTCCGGTGTACTTCGATTGCAAAATGAAAATAAAAACTACATTGAAGTAAGTCGAATTGTTGTTGTTTTATCTTCTAATCTAATTTTATTCTTATCTAGACATGGGCTGTCCTTCTAAATGACATGCTTTTATTAACACAACGGAATACCACTGATACTCGCTTGACATTGGTTTGCAATGCGATTTATTTGAATGACATTGTCGACTTTCGATCAAGTGATGAACGTATGTTGTTTCGCGAAGATGTTTTGATTGCATTCTCATCGAATTGTTTCTTTATAGGTCAAGATGCATTGATATTTCTGTCAGATAAACCAACTATGCCATATAAAATCCGTTATCCAAGTAAATGTTTACAATACGCATGGCAAACAATACTTGAACAACGTTTGAAAACTTGGCAACGATCGATTCATGATGAAACATCATCAGCAGATTCCGATCTCGATTGAAACTTCATATAGTCTCCTTTTCATAACTTCTTAGTATCAATCTCTTGTCGTTTTGTACATGTCGATTTTATAGAAAAGCCATGACCTATGTATATACACAGAAGAATTCTTCTTCTTATTTTTCTTGGTGTGTGTTTCGTGTTCAACTGTCTGAATGTTTTATTTGTATAATTGCTCTCTCCTGAGAAATTCTTTTTGTTTTGTTTGACTAACTTCGTTGCTGCGACTTCTATTCTACACCTCCTTTATTCTGTTTATTATTGTAGTAATACGTGTGTGTGCGTGTGAAATGAATGAATGTATATCAGAAAGATTAGCTAGATTAATTTATTATTTTTTGTGATGAAAAACGAATAAAACGAAAGGTTTTCTTTCTCTCCATTGAACCGATTTTTTTAAGTTGACGCAAGCGTCATACTATTGAGCAAATAAAACTTGATTTGGTATATTCATTCTCAGGTTTTTTTAATAAAGAATAGTTGCAAATATATATATATGTATATTAAAGGTGGGGTGAGTTGAACGCATGTCGTAAAAACTGGCGGACGTCGCTGTTACAGAAACGAAACGAGAGACGAAAGACAGAACGAAAGGAAAGGAACATAGGAGATGAGGATAATAGAAAAAAAGAAGGTCGTGATATGTAGCATTGTTATAATGAGTTAGAAAGAAGAGTGAAAAAGAAGAAAGAACGAAAATGAAAGGTGATTAACTATTATCATGAAGTTTAGTTTTTGAATTTGAATTTGAACGCATTTGCCGTTGCTGTGATTGGAGATTTGTGGATGTACTTTGACGCGGACGATAGTCTAATTTATAACCTTCTGAAAATAAGAAGGGTTTTTCGTTTCTGGCAGAGAATTTCGAGTGGAGTTTACCTCTATTGTTATGTGAATAAGTGGAGTCAGATGGAAACTGTTCCGGACAGGCAAATGCAAGATGTCCAACATCGCCACATGTAAAACAGGCTTTGGGTTTCATGTGTGGCTGCTGTTGGGAGTAAGATGACTGCGATTGTCGTTGTTGGGAGTGAAATCCGTTTTGTTGCTGATACTGCATGGAGTCGGATTGGTGATATTGCCTGTGACGATGGTGTGATTGTGAGTGATGATGCTGCTGTTGATGATGGTGGTGATGCCGCGATGATGCAGATAAAGATGTGTTCGCTGTTGATTGCGGTGGAGGAGATGGACGATGGTTTTGTCCGTTTTGTTCAGGCGGTGTATTCCTACCGTTGGTTTGCGTAGTTGAACGAGTATTTGATGCAGACCCCTGTGTAATATTGGATGGTTGAATGAAATTGGCACCTTGCGGATTAGAAAGATTTGTGGGTACAGGTGGCATATTTGAAGCGAATAATCGCATGAAATCAGGTGTTGCTGGCGAATAGCCAGGCGGAATAGTTAGTGGAAATATATATGGTTCGACCGAATTATATAGAAAAGGATGTGCAGCTAATAATGGTATATGGTGTGGAGGTTGTGAAGGGCCGTTGGATGACGTCGGCGGTAAAGGTAACGGTGGTAGAGGAAGACCATTCGTTGCTCCTGATGGTGCACTAGTAGATGCTGTTGTTTTTGACAGTTTTGGACTCGAACTTGACAATAAAGATGGATCTACACCGACTAAGTTAATTAGAATCGGGTCGAATTGATTTCGATCAGAATTTGTAGGAGGTGGTGTACGCGACGACGATGAGGACGAGGAGGATGATGCTTGTGCTGGTGGTGGTTGTTGTTGAACAACAGCCATCAAAGCAGCATCTAATAATGGTGGTGGTGGTGACGATGATGAGGTTGGCGCGGGAGGCGTAGGCACCTGAACAAATGTACACGGTGATCGAGGATTTTTACTGTTACTACTGTTCAGATGGATACTCATTGGTCTAAAGAGAGAAAAAAAATTGTCGGAAATAAGCATCTGCTGTCATTCGACTCATTTCAGTTTACTTTAAATCGTCTAAAGCATCGCATAATAATTGAGCCGTACTAGTATCAAGCCCATCAGCAACAAGATCTGAGGGTGTTAATTTGGCTAACTAAAATAGAAATTTCATCGCATGACGAGACGCAAATTTCCGAGTGAATTTACTTCTTCCATTGAATATCTTCGAAGATAATCTTGATGTTCAGCAAGTATAAATCCGGGTCCAGGCATTCGATCGGTTTGAGTTTCTTCCGAACGAACTTCTAATCCTGTCTGTGTGCCGTTATGCGTTGGAATTATTGAACGAGCTTGTTTCGCTACATCTGTTTGCTGTTTCGATTTACTCGTACCTGAAGACAGTTTTGGTGAACAAAGCGTTTTATTCTCAGATTCATTCTGTTGCTGAACAGGTAATTCACATTCTGAAACGCGCAAAGAAACCTTTTCGACTGAAATTCAACGCATCACTTACGAAGTGGAGTCATTCCATTGGAAAAAGAAGAAGATGATGATAAGGATTCATCAAAACCATTACTGGAGTTATACAAACGTTGCTTGGAATCAACAAGTTTCAAAGATGAATTAAAAAATTTAGCTAAAGTTGATATCGTCGAAATATATGACGAGAAATAGACAAGATGGCTACAAAATCAAATATTCACGTGTTTCTCCCTTCGAAAATAGATCTTCCACTTACGCCATGTATGTCGCGATATTCTTTTTCATTAGTTCAATATCAGATTCAGTGGAAGAGCCAATATCACGTAAATATCCCGAGATATTCATTAAACGTTCTAATCGAACATCATCATGATAAACAATATTAGATAACTAAAATGAGATTCGATTTTTAAGAATTTGTTTTGCTCATGTTTGAACAACATACTTGTAAATGAAATGACCGAATATCATTAGTAGATTTCCATGTTAAAGTAGAATTATTATCCGACCAATCAGCTTTGATTAGAATTCTCATTGGAGTTGAATCTGTATCATAATTAACCACGGCTAATCGTGTTAATAAAGCTGAAAGACCAAAACATTACAAAACTTCCTATTAAATCTACCGGTAAGAAGAGTTTCTTACGTGATGCATGTACACTGAGTGTACTTGAATTTAATAACGCTGACGATGGTAAATGTTGTCGACAGCAGCTTGCTTCATCAATTGGATCGATTATGTCTTCCTCGAGATTGTTGTTGTTATTATTATTGCTACTTTGTAATAATTTCATTTTTCGCTGTCTTTTCTCTAATTCTTTGAGAATTTGCGATATTTGGGTACGCATATCGAAACTGAACGCTGGATGATTTGCAGCGAGACAGAATATGATTAGAATTTCATCCATGGTCCTCTCATCCAAATCATCACGTTCGAGAAGCATATCGACTAATTTGATACTTTCACTCGCTTTCAACCGACGAAATAATCGCACGGCACATGGACGATTTTTCGCCCAGAGAAGAGCTAAAGAAAAACAAAACAAAAGTTGTCAAGAAGCGCAAAAATCTGACGTGATTACCAATATCAACAATTGCATGTGCCCGCGTAAATTGATCCGTTAAATCTAATTTGTCATCTGGTCCAAGATCTGCTTGTGGATTTGTGGAATCACTATTGGTAGTTATTGTGGGTGTCTGTGCTGGTAAGTGATTGGTCTTCTGTTCTGCATGATACAGATATTCATAATCTTTGCGTGCGATTTCTTCTAGACAAGTTCCCAAATAACGCAGTTCTAATGGTTGACACAAATGTAATAAACCATAGAGAAATTCAATCCGTTTCGCTCCACTTAAATGATTAAAATATCGATGGATTTGTTCTTGATTTAACATGAAGAAGTCTGTGATATTGCGATTAAAACTTTAGAGAAAATAATAAAAATAAATTTCGCTCTTCGTTATCTGTTGAAAAATTGAATTACAACATGATCAAATTCGATTGATAACTGACCATCGTATATTCTAAAACACAAAACATTTCGATGAAAATCAGTCCATATAGAATAAGAAAAACAATCACGAGAAAGTACAGAAAGAAAAGGATTCTACCTCGATATCAGCCAGATTTATCCTCTATCTCTCTGCTGTTATTCCCTGTCACACATATCATTCCATCACTAAACTTTACTACGATGGTGAAAACACACATACGAGCGATTCAGCCAATCACGGAATGTCATTCGACAGATGGCATTAGGCGACAAACTGTTGGCAAAGGTTATTATGTCGAAGAATCACGGATAATTGTCAGTCAGTCGGTTTCGATTGTATTGATGGATATGTTTAAAGAAAGGACGTGAGTTGAGTTTAGAAAGATTTGCGATGGGAAAAATATTTCAATGTTTAGAACTTCGTATTTACGACATTTACATTTGGTTGTACATACAACGCAACAACGGTGAGTAAAGAACGGATGATCAGGCGATGCAATTCGACTGTTTTAGAATACGTTTTCCGGTTTATGTTATTCAACAAGAGGATGTTGTGCCATCATTGAAACATGAGAATGTTTCTTCTGAAATTGAAAGTCATGGATCGGCTTCTTGTCGACGAAAGGTACGTTCAGAAGATCTCTTCCTTGAAATGACGAATTGTGAATTTAGAACTATGTCTATGTGTATTATTGCCTTCCAATTTCGTTTGTTATATCATGTTTTATCGTGGCAATTGCATTACTTTCATCACTATTGGTACTGGAGACATCATGTCCAATTTACGATTGCTCGGCAATGAATATTTCAACAATAATGGTATACAATTCAACTGTCACAATCGAAGAACATTGGGAGACATCGTTAGGTTCAAATGAAACATCGTCAAATCCAACACTGACGACAACATCCGAACGAAATCTGTTGTACGGTGCGAAGTGTATCAATCATGAAGACTGTTCTCTATCTCGCAATTTGTTTTGTGAATATGAATATGATTTGAACGAAAAACACTGTTTATGTGAAACAACGTTCTTCTGGAATGAGAATATCCAACAATGTGGTAAAGTTTTCTCTCTCCATATGACTTCGTTAAGTTTATAGTCAATTTTTAGAACGAAAGAAAGGTCGAAACGAAAGTTGGTGATGATTAGATTTTCTGTATGAAAAATTAAATTGTCCATTTAGTTTGCGAATATGATAATGAATGTCGCCTTGATCTGGGTATCACCTGTGATCTTCGTCCTGGTGTTGCTAGTCGCCGTTGTCGTTGTATGGGTGAATATTATTGGTCGAAACTGAGTAATTGTGGTAACTTGAAGATCGAAGATTTCGTTCATTGCACCGATGAAACATATATCTCATCATGTTTGGTGAAAGAAGTTGATAACGGAGTCTTTCATAATGTAAATATTCGACAGATTGAAGGTGATGATCTACAGTTTGATTATTTCATTCTCGATTCGCCGGATATCCAAGAACTCGAACGAATCGAATGTTCTTGGACAGAAAATAAACGTTATTGTTTTGGAATTGATAATGAAATGAATAGATTGTTGATTTTCACTATTAGTAGACATGGAATTCTCTCATTTTATCACATCAATGAGACAGTAATCGGTTTGCCCAACGTATTAACCCAATTTGATGGAACAGTTGTATGTTATGTCGAAACTAATCATTCAAATTTGCTTTCAATTACAATTGATCCAAAGAATAACGACTTCCTGATCGTAGATCAACGAATTGGTAAAATATACGGTGAACGATCATGTTTCATCGCAATCAATCGCACAGCTTATTGTTTTTATCGTGACATCGACCATCGCCTAATGGCAATAGCCATGAATGAAACTTCAACCACAGAAGATGTGCATGTTACTGTACATTCAGGTAAATAACAGTTGCATTGACCACCAAGCCGATTTCATTTGCTGAATAGACGCAAATCTCAAGAGTGGACCATCGTGTGGTTGGATCGGAACAAATATTCTCTTGAAATTATATTGCTTTGCTGTATTTAATGATGAAAAAATCCACCGCATCGAACAGAAGGATAATCTCTGGAGTGATTGGAAGATTATGCCATCGGATAACATCTTCATTCAGCGACCTTTATTCGTCACATCCAAATCATCTAATGATACAAGTACCGCTCAAAGGTATGTCAGACTTTTCTACCGAATAGCATTTTCATTCGAGTTTCTTTCGTTTCCTAGTTGTCATGTCTTAGCTATTGATACCAGCAATGCAGTATATGTTAGCAGTAATACAGATTGTGCTCATCAAGATTCGTTTTCTTCCTGGTCGATCCTTCATACTGACGTTGGGTTATTATCATTCAACGGGACATTTCGTCTACGCGATGGAAGTTTAGGTGTCTATGGAATTGGAATTGATGATTTACCATATTATACAATTATGAATCCTGTTACACATACATTTGAACCGATCAAACTAGCTGTAACAACAGATCGAAAATGGAATTGACATCGATTTCTAGTTTGTGAAATACAAGATGAATAAAAACGATCGAATGTCATGAGAAGGAAATCATTCGCACGTGTGAAATCTTTTCCGTCTTTTTCTTTCTTTTTCTTCGGCATTTATGAAGATTTCTGCGTTTCTTTTTACTTTTTCTCTTGCGTACATTATGATTTTTGATGTCGGCTTGTTCTTCAACAATTCTTTTCTCTTCGCCCGTCTCACCTTTATCGTCGTGTAGAAGAAGACGAAGAATAGCTGCAGTTACAAATTTGTCCTTAACAACGCCATGCATCACGTTGGTTGAAACACATTAAAACTTATCAGTAAATTGAACACGATGAGTACAGTTCAAAGAGATCCTTTTTTCGATGACAATGACACTACTGCGATCGAGCAAGCTCCACCGGTTCCAGCCGCCCGAAGGAGTCTATCGAATGAAGGTCAACCAACGGAAACAATCGAAGATCCAGTGGAAATTCCTCGTCCGCAATCACCAGCTCCACCAGTGGAGCAACCGGTACCTAAACAACTAGAATCAATCAGTGAAGAAGTCTTAGAAACTAAATCACCATCGCGTCATTCGTCATTGTCATCCTCGTCCTCATCAACATCATTATCGATTCCGTTCGAACCCGATGAAGAAAGTGAAGAAAAAGAAACGAAAACGGTTCCACCAGTTCGTTCAACTGCAGATATCGATACTCAAACTGATCAAGTTACAGTTCAAAACGAATCCGTACAAACAGAAACACTTCCAGACGAAACCCTCGCTTCAATCAAAACTCGCAAAGTTGCGATTCTTCCTGAATCAGAAGACCTTGATATACCTTTGGCTAAAGTTCTATTTGATCAGCCAATTTCATCAGCTTTACCAATCATCAGTTTTTGCCATCCATTCTCTATGACGAGTCATGCCACTGACGTTATCCTAGCTATGCCACGACATTTAATGATCATACATAATCAAAATTCGATTAGTGTTCATCCATGGCAACAACCATTCGATTCAACATCGACAATTCTCGAAGTATTCTGGTGTCCATTTCTGTACAAACTACTCGTTACAACCGTCGAAGAAAATACTTTATACATTTATGACTTCATCTCGATTATCGATACAATTCGACTTCGTGGTTATCCATTATCAATTAAACATCAAAGTTATACTTCTCAACGCACAAATTCTACGTATTTATTACCACCATCACTACGTCACGAACCACTACCTGGTGTATGGTCGAAAACGCGGTTTACCAAATCGAATTCCTTAGGAATTTACTATTGTTATATTAGTGAACGACATTATTCGTGTATGTTGACTCGTATCGACCATAACACTAGACAACATGTCAAAGCGATTGACTGTTCAGGTGGAAGTTTAAATAATCACGCACGTGTTTGTGCTATGGGTCTATCAGAAGATCGTGTCGCAGTTGTCTTAACTAATCTTATAATGACAATATATCATGCAGAAACATTATTAGGTTTAAGACAAATCAATCTCTCGCGATGGAGTGTCTATAGTGTTCAAGGTGTTAGTGCAGTGGTCTATTTATGGAAAACGTGGCTTGTATTTGATCCGATTGAAAAGAAAGTTGTTGGTATCGCGAAACGTAAACGACAATTTGCGCGAATGTTACCTGAACCACCGACGAATGCTTGTATAATGGATAATGGCACATTGGCGTTGTGGTTGGGTTATCCAGGTGCGCTTGTTTATCATCGTATCGTCGAATAAAACTGTTGATTTCCATTGTCGTTGTATTAAAAGATTTTTCATGTTAGTCTACGCGTGTTTAACTAATCTGAATAGAGTCTGTCAACGGATGACAATCTTCGAGATGAGACATCGTGTTTATTTTCATGGGAGAAAAAGGAAAAGCAACAAAAGACAGCCCAGCCAACCTTTTCTTTTTCTTTTTCTTTTTCTATCATCACTCCAAATCGACAAAAATCTGTTCGATTATCGAACGGACTTAGTTTGGAATAGCACAGAAAAACAAGCAAACAAACAACAAACTACAGAAAGAAATCAAGAACAAGAACTGATAAAAGGAACTATAAAAACAAAACTTGGAACAGATCAGTTTTGTTATGACAAACGTGATGTTTCAAGGTCATGAGCAGAGACCACTCGGCCCGATGGCATTCGTGGATAGGCATTCTTATAGATATCTGAGCCAAACCAGCTTTCTAACGATGAACGATTCGTCGGAGAATAGCCTTGTTCGATTGAGATTGAATGACCTTGTTGAATTTGCTGTTGAGTTTTCATAATATCCAACTGTTCGTTGATTAAACGAACTAAAACTGGCTTTAACGAATTTTGTTCATCGATACTTAGTGTTCTGATTAGACGAAACATGTCCTCGCGTTCATTCGAACAACCTTGTTCGAGATATTGAAGTAATTCTTGTTGAGCAACATCTGTAAGGAGTAGAATTTATACTTTGTAGTGATGATGATGAAATTTACTTTTGACACCGGGTGAAAGAAGACGAATTAGATTATACATTTCGGTATAACTTGCATTCGATTCTTGATTCCAACTAGCTGACTGAAATTAGTTTTACATGTAGAGAATTTGATCGTTTTATTCCGATTAGTTCATACTTGAGTATCGTTGGATGAGCAAGACTCATTGGATGAAGAGTTTTGTACATTATTTTCGTTAACCATATTCCGTATCAATGAGTTCAATAGTACCGCTTGATTATATATACGTGTGTGTTCAGGATTACTGGAGTTATTGAATGCAGACGTCGAAAATTCTTCTTGTTGTGTTGCTATTTGATAAAAGAAAAAATAGTAATCTTCGGTATAAATCTTCTATGGACGTACGTGATGGTGGTGCAGAATAAAAGTTTTGTTCGTCGTCGTCATCATCGTCATTATCATCTTCAGTATTCGAATTATTGAATGCAGGTATATGAACAGCTGGTGTAGAAGGTGTTTGCATAATCGTTGATCTTGGAATATGATTCGCGAGTAATTGACTGAGTACATTCTGAATGGTGTATCGATTTCAAAAGCCAGTTATATATTTACTTGAGAAAAAAAGATGCTTCACCTGATTTTGGTTAACAATTGATTGAGTGGCCATTGGTATATGAATTGGATGTGCAGCGGACTAATTTACAAAAATTAATAGAAGTCGAGAGATAGAAAAGCTTACTCTTTGATTCGGATTTGTTGAAAATGGCCATGCAAATGTTTTCTGCGAATTTGCAGATTGCTCAGGAGACACTGGCGTGCAAAATACAGATTGGCCTCGATGTGGATGATTTGTACAAGGTGGTGATAAATCATTTTTACTACTAAAAATACTAATTAGTGTTGGATATCTTGAGCATTGATTTGTTTACTGTTGACGTTCGTGAGCTTGGCATAAACGTTGGAGAATAGGAGTTGTATTTTGTGTACGACTTGTTCGATAGTCTGGTAGAAGAGATCTCACTTGATGCGGTTGTGTCTGAAAATGATTGGAATTTTGTCTTTGGTACGACATGGATCGTTGGATTTGCGTTTGTCGATGGTTGTAATCATCGATGGAGATATGTGGCAATGGTGGAATTGATTGAGAAGTTAATAACGGTGTTGGAATAGTTGATGTTTGATGACGTGTTGCAGTAGATGTTAGTGCAGCAACTTGATGTGGCGTCAACGGATCTTTTGGACGACGGTTTTTCACTTTCTACAATTATCGTATTCAAAAATGGAAATGACAAAAAAGATTTGTATTTACTTCAGACACATTTGGACTCGAGACGTCGCGTTTAGATGTTTTGAACAATGTTGATGGTCCATCACCTGCACCGTCTTGCGTACCGTAAGAATCCATTTGGAATTTACCAGCCTTTTCTGCCAACATACGATCGAGATCGATATAGTTTTCCTCGCTAAACAAGTCAAGTCAGAAAATTAAAATTTACTCGCATAGAAGTTACTCGAGAAAACGTCGTTCAACTAAGTGATCAGGAAACATTGTCAGTTCCGGTGGTGGACGCATCGAAAGTAACGTAACCTATAATCGTAAAGCAAAGTAAGTAATTCTCAATCAACGAATTCTATCTTTCACAAACTGTTGTATAACGATATGACATTCGAGCGTAGCTCATCATTGCTTGTTGAGATATGAACGGATCATTCTTCGGCACAGATGCAATTAAATGAGGTGCACTTTGACTTATTCGACAATCGGAGTGATGATCTTCTCGAAGATTACCGAGCAACATTCTTCTGACTTTGAGAATCAGAGATCAGACAGTAGACTAAGAATTCTAAGTAACGTATATCTATAATAACAAAATGCATTCATACGAATGGACACAAAGAATAACACGTGCTTCGATTTTCTATTAGTTTTCTCTTTCGATAGAAAAGGAAAAAGATCCAGGTATTTAATCGAAAACAAATAGTAAACAACGACTAGTCGCATTTTTGAACAGAAATAAACAAACAGAACATAGGACAGTTTTTCGCGCGTAGATTTGTACACTGGTGTCATGGGTAATGTGACTGCGCCAGTAAGAAACGATTGTGGAAGGGTGTACTTTTATTCAAACGAACATATTGCGGTATGTTAAAAACGTTGAAGGGAAAATAGGATTTTTGGTCACTTCATAATTCATGATTGAAAGGAAAATCTATGTGGAGGTTCGTTAGATTCGTTAGACTGGATGTTAGGAACGAACCAATAAAGGATTTGGAAGATTAAAATTAAAAATTAATATGTATAACGACTGAATTTTCGTGTACATAAAGACGATGATGAACATCGAGTAAATATTTATTAATGAATGAAGTTGGAAAGAAACATTTTTAGATTAAGTAGTCTGAAGAACGAGGAAAGTTGATTTTTGTTTCCGTTTGTTGAAGAGTTCTAATCTATTAATATAAATATTTTAATCATGTTTCAAAAAGTGATATTAAATGTTTCCAAACTAAAGTATGTCGGAGGTCTTAATAGAATATAATACTTTAAAGATGACGGTTTATATCGTCTTTTATAATCAAGATGGTTAGATTGTTTATCTATTTGCCAGGCATTCAGCCACTGTGTTAACTATATAAATATCAAACTTATAATGGTACATGAATGGGTCCAGTGGAGTGGAAGACGATGAATGGTATTGAAAGATGGTAGTTTGGTTTCTGAGCGTTTTTTTTTCAAATAGGAAGTTCAGAAAAGAATTATATATCGTACTGGTACAGGAGAACTATGCAGATAAAAGTTTATTTAACTCGAAGTTTTTAAAGAAAAAAGATTAAGAATAAAACTGTATTAAATCACAACATTTCGCTCTCTGGTTTAATCAAAAGTTATTCGAACACAACGTAGGTGTTCATCTAAATTTTTGCAAATAAGACGCCGTCGTCCTTGATTATTAATCCGAACTGGTCGCCACCACGGATGCTTGTATAGTGATGCCAAGGACCGTCATCGATCGATGTCTGGAGAGCATTGTCGCGATCCGCTATCCAAATTCGTGGACCGTTATTATTGACGATCATTCTGTCTCCAGACGACCAATAAGGTATGTTCCAATTAACTTCTACGGATCCCCCCTTGTTCACACGAACTTGTTCGCCATTTCCCCTCTCCACGAGAACGTTTGAACCACGAGTAGATTGATTGTTAATCCAGCGAATTGTTACTGTCATTATGAACCGTATAAATGAATTTATTATGAACCGTATAAATGAATTTATGACAGAATGTTTTTGTTATCTTTTTTTCTCTCTAGATGAAAAAGAAACTATGATTTAAATGCATTAAAACAATAAAGAAGTAATCATAAATTACCGGGTGTACCAATAGTTTTGCGACATTTTTTATTTCGTTGATTTCCTGAGTTGAGAAAATGATAAAATCTGGATTTTTCTTTTAAATGATAGAGCAAGGAGAGTTGTACAAAAAACTCATAAAAGAACCTTTATTCTCTGATTCGAACAATCTGCTCGTGGAAGTTTTTAAGTGCCTATGCGGAACTCTGATGTCCCCGCACGATAAAAGTGTTAGTACATTTTTTAAAGTATTGTATGTATTTTAATATTGAAAAATGATATGTACCTAATTCGTCTTTTACGAGTTGCGCCATGCAAAGCTTTCTCAGACCTATAGCAAGAAATTGCAAATAACAGCTTTCACTGGTCTATCCATTCTCAAAAACAGAAAGTCTACAATTGGTGGTCCTGTTTTTTGCGATATTTTACTTTTATTTTCAATCTATCATAGTTTCTGAAAACGATAGGATATACATTTTATTTGTATAAGATGCGCCATGTAAAGAACTACAAAATAAGTCAAAACAAACTGATCGAAATTTATACATCTGTGTTTTTTTAAACACAAGATGGACAATTGACCTATATCGTCATTTATTATGAGTTTGTTAGTTTTCTATTTCTATCGACTCGAACGAATAATAAAAAATAATTTTTTTTCTGAAGGATACACCATCACAAGCTCTACACTAACTGTGTGTACAAACTCAGAAAAAAGAACCAAAAGTGGCTGCAATATATTTATATTCATCCGATTATGATGGGACATCGGAGTTTCGCATAGGCACTTAATAACTTCCGCGAGAAAATTGTTCGAATCAGAGAATAAAGGTTCTCTTATGAGTTTTTTGTACAACTCTCCTTGTTCTATCATTTAAAAGAAAAATCCGAATTTGATCATTTTCTCAACTCAGGAAATCAACGAAATAAAAAATGTCGCAAAACTATTGGTACACCCGGTAAATAGGACATACTTTGTTTTAAAATGTTTCGATAAATATAATTATCTTCGTTAGTACAAATGAAAATGGAGTTATATGTAAAAAGAACAGTATATATAGTTAGATGATGGATAAAAAACAACGTAATTTTTATATTTTTTCCCACCGCCCATTGTGGATACTGTTAGAGAGTGATACCTTCGTACCTGTCCTCTCTTCTCTGCTTTCTTCCTTTCTTCCCATCGCTTCTCTCCTTTTCCCTTCAATGCACACCTATTTGTATGGAAGGTTATCATTTACCCCGAGTCCGATTACCCCAGATGCATCCCGAATAAAATTCACATTTGGGGTAATTGCTGGTAAAATGTGAAAAGTGGAGATTTTTTTCGGGAGTATTTTCATTTGGAGATTTCTAGATGAAAATTACCAAAGTAAAGCATATTTACAATATTCATTCTGTGCTACTGAAAGTCTATTCCTACATATTTAAAAACTTACAAATGCCTATACTTGATCGAATCTTATCATATCATCTACTCTGCTGTCCCTATCCGCCCTCTATATTGCTTTTGTTATTTTGTATAATGCGGTATCAGTGTAAGATCTGGTGGCCAAACATGGATTTTGTACAAAATTTGCATATATTTGAATGTTCAGTGTTATTCCATGGCTCTTCATCATACATGAGTTGTACGAAGAAACGTTTCTTACTGTATGTTCGTACAATTTTTATGTTGAAGAGTGGACGCTTTAATTCTCGAAAGTTTTCATGGTTATGGTTTCTAAAAGATTGAGTACTACTCCTAGTTCGATTTAAAACTGAACTAGATTTTGATCTGTACTACGACACATATATATATATATATATAAACTTTTATAGACATTGTCGAAAAGAAAACAACAACTATATAGATGTATAGTAAAAGTATTTTATGTTGGCCATTGTGACGGATGTTTGCCGAGAAGATCATCTGGAATGTCAAGTTTGTTAGTCGCGAAGATATTATCGATAAGTTCGATCAAACGGCTTAATTTGCTGGAGTATCCACATCGGCCCATGTACATTCGCAAACAACAATGATATTGTCGACAGATATCAAAATGATTATGAAGATCGGCTACTGTCATGTCATTTGGTTCCGTTACCCAATACGGTAGTAATGGCCATGCTAAATAGTCACTTGAATTCGCTTCTACTTGTCTTATTTGATCAATAAATCCATGATCGATGAAATGTCGAATTTGCTGACTGGATATTCCATTCACACTCGCTAAATATAGATTATCCATCACAAAACAATCCAATGAATGACCTTCTTTCTTCAGCAGCGCCCAGAGTTTTGGTAATAGAACGTGTCCGTTGTCACGACAAGATAAAGTAAGAATAGTTCCGGCTGTGTCCTCTTCATATGAATATGTTAAACCATTGGGCCGATCTCTATGTAGATCGTTCATAGCAGAAGTCAATTCTTGTGTTAGTGGGGATTGCCAAGAATCCCATCGACTGGAATTAACTAACTCTTCTATACCATAGGCAAGCTTTTCGTTCATCATATTAACACTAATGTATATTTGTGCTAAGATACCAACCGGAAAGTTTGCTCCAGGCGTTAATTTTTTACGTAATCTCGGATTTTTTAATAGGAACTCTTTATTAACTAGTCCTATCGTTCCTGTTGTTGTAAACCGTTTTGAATAAACTATAATATCGACTTGAGTGAAAGCCATGGCATCTTGACATCCATCAACAAGCGTGATAATTTGTGGGAATTCTCGTTTTAATTCTGTATGAATATGATCAACGTCGATTCGAGAGCCAAATCGATTTTTTGATGTCAAAAGAATCACAATCGTTGCAGGAACTCGATTCATATTCTTCCGAGAAATGTTTCGACAACGCTGTCGAAGATCCTTCAGAACCCACTCTGTGGTGTGGTCATCCGGTGACGTCATTCTCGCTCCATCGAATCTTATCTCGAAAATTTCTCGAGCGGAATTTACAAACGGAATGTAATCTGAATAACTACTATTGACAAACCATGTATTGTGTCGATCTTTGGCGTAGAAATATTGTAAACATTTCTCGATGATATTCTGTGACGCGGTACAAGGAAATATTTCATAGTTCGGCCAATATTTATCACTTTCCTTGTGTAGAAGATTGTGAAGTGCTAAAGGTAATTTATCTCGATTATCTTTGTATAAAGGCCATAGAAGATCATAGTAGACGCTTATCGATGCAGAAAATTCAGTGACTTTTTTTATGTGAAGTGGACGAGCAGCTCCTCCGAAAAAAATTCGTTCGTGTGCTCGATAGTTCCAATCCCATAAACGTCTGATTTCATTTAATCGATCGTTGATTGTTTTTGTGTGATACTGCTCAACAAAATATTTGACTGTGTCATTTTGCCAGTGAACATAATCCTCTATCGTCTGCTCATAGTTCGTTGGCTTAATCATTGAACGTCTTTTTAATTTAAAGAAACGCTCTAATAATTCTGTTCCATCTTTGACTGTATCAGGCGTATCGGAATACAATTCGATCATATGCCACACGTGATTTACAGTCTAGAAATGTTTAAATAATGTATGTCTATCATAGAGTATTTTTAGAAGGTTTACTGTGGAGGGATCGGACATTCGTTCGTTGATTAGATCATCGCATAAGGTTTTTATTGACTTTAGCATTCCAATTAACTCTCGAAATAAGGAGATATGTTCTTCACTTTGCCATGTTGAACTGCCACGTAGTTTTGAACCAATTCGTCTCAACAAACAATTCAAGTCTGATACAATTTGCATGGTATCCTCCGCTACGATAGTTAAGCGATCTATTTCTTCTGGTTCGCTCATTGCCCAACACTGTGTATCATTTGTATAACAAAAATTTTTACCGATAGTACTTGCTGTAATATCGCTCACTTACATACTGTTTTTCTTCTGGGACGCGAGAGTATAGTACTGCGCTTTTTATAAGGTTCTGAGAGCCGCATGGGAGGAAGTGTGCAATATTCGAGCACACATAAAACACTGATGACTAACAGCAGCCGAATTGAAAAAATCTTGAGTCATTGAAGCCACGACGCTTGAGTTCGCCGTCGCGAAATCATTCCTTACATATGACACATCGTGACATCATTCGACTCTTTTCGCATACAGAGCGCCGCATTTCGTGGAAATTCAATAATATTTGCACTTTTCATATCATGTAAAAAATTTTGAAAGGTTTTTTTTGTTCTGTTAAAACTATTTATAATGATTGTAGAAAAACTGATATGAGGAAAAGACTAATAATATGTTTATAAAATCATAGTTGGACGACCGAATGATGTCATATGAAAATAATCTTCTAAACTACGAAAGACTGCATCTCGTTCGCGTGGAAAATCAAAGATTTGCGAATGATCGTGATTAGGTTCCGCATCTAATCGCATACCGAATTCAGTTGTCACTGGTGATGTCGTACAAGCATTTTGTTGGAGCTTCTTTGATAAAGGCGATTGTCTGAACGATGGAATGTATCGTGGAGTAGATGTATTAGCAATAGGGATCGTTACTGGTCGAAAAGGTGCACTCGATGGTCGAGATAAATATGTGACCGTTTTTTTTGATTGAAGAAAATCATTGATTGGAAAAATTTCTTTCAAATCTTCTTTTGTCGGTAGATCTCGCGGACGTTCATTTTCAGTTAAACGTTTTCGGCAGAACATACATGGACACGATGAGATTGGTAAAGTTGTTTGATCGACTTTCGTTTGAGTGTAGAGATTAGCAGCGTGAACCAGACAAGGTGGAACGTGTGTCGAGGATGTTACCATTGAACAATTACATCGATCGTATACATGGCTGTCGTGCAAACTTTCGGCTTTTTCGAATTGAAGGTGAGTGCGACGATAAGATTCCCAATCGAACGATCGTTCATCTACTTCTTGATAAATTGTTGGTAGTTTGAAACCAAAACGATTATCAACAATCGGAGGGAAGGTCTTACTAGTGGTCATACTGATTGAAAAGATCAATTATCTGGAAAAGCAAGCAAGTCAAAATTAGATTAAGATATAAGGAATATAAAAAATAAAAGTAAAAATAAAAGAGCCTGCGTGTATATATTTCTTGTTGAAACTGAACAAAGACATGTAGATAAGAAAAATGAGAAATAAGATATTGGAGCATGTAAGCTGAATAGTCCTGTCGTTACTTACAAAGCTTGATCATAAAAATAATTACTACGATGATAGGATCGTGACGCTGCCTGATCACACGTTGCATTTCGTCGTGATGGTAACGACGGGAAAGCGGTTCGTTGATTGTTTTTCCCAAATGAGAGTTCATCTCCTAGCGCGAGATTTTCCGGTATTGTAGGTGGTGGAGAGTACGTCGCATTTGTTGGCTCTTTCAAAGTCCATTGTTTTTGTTGATCATACAATTCATTCGAACAGACACGATACGACGGCAGATAACCAAAACGTGAATGTTTTTGTCGATAAAATGTATCTCCCGATTTGGCCGAACCTCGTAGAACATAATGTGGATATCGATCTAATAGTTCTTGGTAAAGAATATAATTTCCCATGGTTTCCGGTCGGTTTGCCTGTTGCTCCTCACGAAATTCGATAACATCACGTGGATCCGAAAGTGGATCAGAAATAAGAAAGTGATGCGTCATGAGATCATCATGCAATTGACATTTTCGTATCACTGTACATCCACAGTCCTTGTAAATCGCATCAATCGAACCATCTTCTGGCCATTGGCGATTTCTATACGAATCCCGATCAATTAACATACCGGCGCCATGGCCCGCAAGTGCGTATTCCACCATAATTTAGTCTAGAATGATGAAGGCACGAACAAAACCTATCCGACAAAAATTTATGTCTAATGAAAACAACTTTCAGATATGTACGTTTTCAGGCAAAAAACAAAGTGAAGTGTATCATACATAAACCATGAAATTTTCTCGATAATCTGATGTCAATTAATTGAAAAAAGAAAAATGCTTGTGTTTCTTTTGTCTGGAATTGGCTTGTGTTTTTCTAAGGCTTCACGAATGTGTACATCCATTAAATAAATCAACAATCGTTTTCGATATTTTTGTGTTTTTTCAAAATGAAAATGTTCCTTGTGCCATTTTTCTCTTAAACATCTAAGCAACCATCTTCTCCATGATTTATCCTTCATTCCCATTCGATACTTCGTTCGACCATTCATCAATAAGTTCTTCTTCTTCATTCATTCTCATATTCGTTTTCTTTTTCTTGTTCACCGTATATCTTCATCTCTATATATTCAATTCGATTAAATCTTATTCGAGTTTGTTTCATCATGGCTCAGCAACTCTACAAACTATTCATTCGTAATTTACCTTGGACAGTATCTTCACACGAATTACGTTCCTATTTTTCTCAATTTGGTTATGTAACGCGAGCTACAGTATTATACAACAATGAAACTGGTCTCAGTCGTGGTTTTGCTTATGTTGACTTCAATAAACGAGATGCATTCGAAGCGGCTATGTCTCAACCACAGCATATTCTCGAGGGACAACGTTTACGTGTCGAAGAAGGCTCATCAGGATCACCCCGTCGTCGTTCTTTCAATCAAACTGATACTTCCTCGAATAAAAAGCTCGAGAAAGTGAATCAACCACCCGAAGAACAGTCCTAGTCTACTAGTCTTTGTTTACCACGAAAAAACCTGTTTCCTGTTAAGTGTTTTTTGATAGTAAAAAGAAATACAAAAAAAAACACCATTGGTGATGTTAGAATAATAGTTTTGTTTGATTTCTAGATATACTTTTCAATTGAAATGCTCTTTATCCTCTTTAACGTTCCAATCAATAGTTGTGATGAAAATGTAAACAATCCTCGTGTTCGATTTGTCATTGGACTTTTCTCTGCTCCAGCCCTATTTTTTTGATAAGGAGAAGAAGCGTATGATGAAGATATTTGATAGCGATAACTATATCTTGAAAAAATATCATTTAATGAACTAAAAAAAAGAAACGAAACGGAGTTTTTTTTTCGTTTCAATTAGGTTTACACGTCGCAGACGATTTGTCTTGTTCATTTTATATTCAGATAAAAACAGAAGCCTATTTACTACAGTCCGTCGTTTTTTTTTGCGTTCCTCCGTTCTCTCTTGTTTTTTTCTTTTCTGCCTGCTGTGACATCGTTTCGTTAGTCAGCGTCTTCGCTGCATTTATTTTTTCTTCAGTTGATCGGCCAACAAAAGCCTAAACACGTACATAAACATATAGATCTATATGCTTTCGAAATTGACTTGAAGTCTTTCGTGGAAATGAGTCATCGAATTCTCTTTATTCACGCGTGATGCATTCCTCGATCGATCAGTACATATTTTATAATACGAATCGAAACACGCCACGTCTTTATTTTTCTCTTCGTTTTCAGATTAAAGCAATGGATGATCCATCTGTGGATACCAACGCAAATACGCCTGCGGGAAATAGTAGTACACCGGCAACAGCCAATGTGTCTTTAGCGGATTTAGATACGTTTGTTGCTTATTTGAAACGGGTTTGTGCGCCAATACTTGATTCATCATTAGAGAATACGAATGATATCGAACGCTTGTTTACTGATCGGGCATCTATTGATTGCATTAAGAAATTTATCAGTGACCCTCAATGTCAAACGTTGTTGGTTTCGAAAACAATCACGTTGAAAGAAGATCCATCGGTAAACGAAGGTGATTCAACGGCGAATGCAAGTGGTGACTCATCTGCGATCAACTCTGCGCCATTAGCGTCAACATCCAACGGAATGTATGCCCTTTCAACCGAGGTTCATTATATGAACCCGAAAATGCTTTCGTTAGTTGTTCTTAAACGCGGCCAATTGATTGAAAGTGATAAAAAATTCCATACACAATTACGAATCATAAATTTAATCGATTCAAGTCCGTATGAAACTCTACATGCGTACATCTCTCATGTTATTGGACCGTACTTCAAATCTTATGTTCGAGAATCTGGCAAAAGTGAACGGTAAATATATGAAAAATTTCCGGAAAGAGACGAGAAATGAAATGTCTTTTTAGGGATGGTGATAAAATGGCACCAACAATGGAAAAGAAAATCACCGAATTAGAAATGGGTTTACTTCATCTACAACAAAATATAGAAATTCCGGAAGTGAATCTCGCTATACATCCAATTGTTAGTCAAGTTGTGCAAAAATGTGGCGAAGAAAATCGTCGACCAAAGGTGGATGATTTCAGTGAATATTTAGATAATACGGATTTTCTTAATTCGCTCCAATCGCATGTCAATCGTTGGGTACGAGAAATTCAACGTGTTACCAAACTTGACCAAGATCCAATGAAAGGTTCAACTCGACAGGAAATCTCCTTTTGGCTCAATCTTGAACGTGCGTTGACACGTATTCAAGAAAAACGAGAATCCGTTGAAGTCCAATTAACATTCGATATCTTAAGAACTGTAAAGCGCTTTCACGCCACAGTTGGTTTTGATAATGATACTGGTCTTAAATCAGCTATGGACACCGTGAAAGACCATTCAGTATTAATGAAAGATTTTCCAATCAATGATCTTCTCTCTGCGAATGAATTAGATAAAATTCGTACAGCATTGACAACCATATTTCAACATTTGAAAAAACTTCGTAATACACGTTATCCAGTTAGTCGTGCAGGACGATTGATGGAAGCTGTTTCACAAGATTTAATGCAGCAAATGTTAAAAGTATTAAACACCTATCGTCTCATGCATATCGGTTACGCTGACTTTGAACGAATTATGAAACAATGTGATGATGTTTTTGCCACGTGGGATGATGAATACGAACGACTATCAACGCAAGTACGTGACGTTCGTCGTACAGTTCGTACCAGTGAGGTTCGAATGGCTTGGCGGGTTTCGTTATCACATAAGAAGTTACAACAACGATTAGATCATATGAAGCGTTTTCGTAAACAACATGAACAACTTCGGTCAGTTATTGATCGAGTTTTACTCCAACCAGTTCCGACATCGCTTCAGAGTCAATTGTCGATGAACGACGAACAAGACAAAGAAAATAACCCAGCGTCAACCAACGGACAAACAAACGACAATCGTCAGGCGATCACTGCCGCGAATGTTTTGAATGATGTCAATGCTATCGACGAAGTGAACATGGCTTATGAAAGTGTCAAGGAAGTCGATGCACTTGATGTGAGCAAAGAAGGACAAGATGCATGGGAGCTCGCAATGAAACGTTACGATGCACGTATTGATCGCGTGGAAGCTCGTATAACATCTTTATTACGTGATCAACTTGGGACAGCAAAGAATGCCAATGAGATGTTTCGAATCTTCTCACGTTTTCACGAGTTATTCGTTCGACCGCACATTGGTGGTGCCATACGCGAATATCAAACTCAATTGATTCAACGTGTCAAAGATGACATCGAATCTTTACATGAAAAGTTCAAACAGCAATACATTCACTCGAAAGCCAATCGAATTAGCCGTTGTAGTGACCTACCACCAACAAGCGGCTCGATCATTTGGGCAAAACAAATTGAAAAACAATTGAATACATATTTAAGACGTGTTGAACATGTTCTCGGACGAAGTTGGGAACAACATGTTGAAGGTCAACGTTTAAAACAAGATGGCGATAATTTTCGTAGTAAACTTAATACGCAACCATTATTCGAAGAATGGACAAAGAATGTTCAGCAGAAAAATCATGGTTTAACAGGCAAAATCTTTGCAACAGAATCAACTCGAACATTGCATGGTTTAGTTACACGATTGAAAGTCAATTTCTCACCGGAGATTATAATGTTGTCCAAAGAAGTGCGAAATATTCGTACGTATCACCGAAATACCTTTTCGAAAATGATATTCACATCGAGATTTTTCTTTAGGTGCATTGGGTTTCCGTGTTCCATTGCCAATTATAAACAAATCTCACCAAGCAAATGTTTTATATCCATTTGCTGTTTCGTTAATCGAAAGTGTTCGAACATATGACAACGCCATTACAAAACTTGCGGATCGTCCATCGTCTCAATTGCTTGTTGCATCACTTAAGCGTGATATTCAATCACACATTAACGAAGGTGCAAATTACGTTTGGGAATCCTACCGTTTAGAACCATTCGTACACAAATTCTCCGAGGCGATTTATACATTTCAAGAACGTGTTGATGAGCTGATTTCAGTTGAAAATTCCATTGATTTAGAATTGAAATCTCTTGATACGTGCGCATATAAACAGCAATCCTTCCAAGATATTCTGGGCAAAATTCAGAAGTCGGTTGATGATTTGTCTCTTCGTTTATATTCGAATTTAGCACAATGGGTCCAACAGTTAGATGAACAGATCGAAAAGAAACTAGCCATTCGACTTCAAAACGCTATTGTTCTCTGGACAAACGCATTAAAACAAGGAAATAACGAAGAAAATCAATTCGATGATCAACATCGTCGACGACGAAGTACATTCGCGGATGAAGACGATCTTTCAACATCAAATAAACCCAACAATGATCTTCCAGCTATTCGAACGTTATTGCATCAGATTCGTACGAGTAATCAACTACTCTACGTTTCACCACCAATGAACGATGCACGCGAACAATTAATCCTCGAATTGTACGAATACGAAGGTACGATCACCAATCAAAAACGTATTCAACATTCGCGTTATCAGCTCGGTATTGAATCCGAATCGGAATACAAGACAACATTTAAGAGTTTACTAAACAAATTACCAATGAATTCGAAACCACTAGAAGATGCTTATGAAACAATCGAATCGCTAGTCACCGCCGCTGATGATTACGTCAATACATGGTTAGATTTTCAATCTCTATGGGATTTACAAACTGATCAACTCTATGCACATCTTGATAAAGATATTTCGAACTGGATGGCTTGTTTGAACGAAATGAAGGATGCACGAAAAACATTTGATACTCAAGAAACATTGAAACACTTCGGACCGATCACAATCGATTATAATAAAGTTCAAACAAAAGTTACGATGAAATACGATTCGTGGCATAAGGAAGTTCTTTCGAAGTTCGGTACGATGCTCTCTCAAGATATGCACGAATTTCATGCACATGTTAGTAAAGCACGAACGGATTTAGAATCTCAATCGTTAGAAGCATCGACAACAGGTGAAGCGGTCGGAGTGATAACTTATGTTCAAGCATTGAAACGTAAAATGAAAAATTGGGAAAAACAAGTGGAAGAATACAAAGATGCACAGAAGATTCTCGAACGGCAACGGTATCAATTCCCATCGAATTGGCTGTATGTTGATAACGTCGAAGGTGAATGGGGTGCTTTTAATGAAATTCTCGGACGGAAAAATTCCTCGATTCAAAATCAAGTGGTTCAACTACGAAATAAAATCACTGCCGAAGATAAAATTGTTGAAACACGTACTAGTGATCTTTTGTCCGAATGGGAGAAAGATAAACCTGTCGCTGGTCATATAAATCCCGAAGAAGCTCTAGCACAATTAGCAACCTACGATGTGAAATTAATGAAATTGAAAGAAGAACGTGACAACATTATCAAAGCTAAAGAAGCTTTAGAAATCAGCGAAAGTTCGTCATCAACCACCCAATCCGCACAAAACCGCGTTCGTGTTCAGGTCGCCCTTGAAGAATTACTAGATCTGAAAGGTGTTTGGAACGAACTTATGTTAATCTGGAAGCAAATCAACGAACTCAAAGAAAAACAATGGATCACAATTCAACCGCGCAAACTTCGTCAATCACTCGAAGAATTGGTTCAACAGTTAACCAATCTTCCTCAACGTTTACGTCAATACGATTCGTATCAACATGTTAAGAATGTTTTACAACAGTTCATCAAAGTAAACATTCTCGTTACGGAATTGAAATCTGAAGCATTGAAAGAACGACATTGGAAACAGTTGATGAAGCGGATGTCGATCATATGGAATGTGAATGATATGACATTAGGGCAAGTTTGGTCGATTGACTTGCAAAGACACGAACCGATCATTCGAGAAATTTTGACAATAGCTCAAGGTGAAAAGGCTTTAGAAGAATTTTTGAAACAAGTTAGCGAAATCTGGAAGACTTATCAATTGGAATTGATTAACTATCAACAAAAATGTAAAGTTATCAAAGGTTGGGATGATCTATTCAATAAAATCAAAGAACATATCAATTCGATCACAGCAATGAAATTATCTCCGTATTTTAAAGAATTCGAAGAAGAAGCCAATGTTTGGGAAGATCGTCTCAATCGTATCAATGCACTCTTTGATGTTTGGATTGATGTTCAACGACGATGGGTTTATCTCGATGGAATCTTTGGCTCAAGTGTTGATATCAAACATCTGTTACCAGTCGAAACCAGTCGATTTCAAAGTGTATCAACTGAATTTCTATCGTTAATGAAACGTGTCAGTAAATCACCGTTGGTTATGGATGTTTTGAACATACAAGGTGTGCAAAAGACCTTAGAACGCTTAGCAGAACTATTAGCTAAGATACAAAAAGCTCTCGGAGAGTATCTCGAACGTGAACGTGCATCGTTTCCACGATTTTACTTCGTTGGTGATGAAGATTTACTTGAAATTATTGGTAATAGTAAAAATATTGGCCGATTACAAAAACATTTCAAGAAAATGTTCGCTGGCGTTCATACATTGTTAATGAATGAAGATAATACAATTGTACTTGGTGTGGTTTCAAAAGAAGGAGAAGAAGTTCACTTTTATTCGCAAATTTCGATTATGGACTCATCGATTAACGAATGGCTGACAAAAGTAGAGAAAGAGATTAGTTTAACTCTCGCAAAATTGCTTTCACGAGCCATTCCGGAATTAATTAAAATTCAAGAGAATCTCGAAGATACAAATGCATTTATCAAATGGCTTGATCAATATCAGGTAGAATAGAAGTGACTTTACAGAGGCGATTTCGTTTATTTTTCATTCAGGCACAATTGGTTGTACTTGCATTTCAAGTTTCTTGGTCGGAGAATGTCGAAAAACTTCTGGAACAAAAATCGAAAAATCCCAATAATGATTTATTACCCAGTGCATTGCAACGAATTGAATCCACGTTGGGAATTTTAGCGAGTATGGTTCTCGCTGATCAACCAACAGTTCGTCGACGAAAGCTTGAACATTTGGTATGTTGAATCATTGTAAACTTTTCCCTTTGGAACTCCTCGAGATTTCAATTAGATCATCGAACATGTTCATAAACGCGATTGTACACGTGCATTGATTGAAAAGAGCATTGGCGATGCCAGAAACTTCGAATGGCTTTCACAAATGCGTCTCTATTTCGATCCGAGCAATACAAACGTTCTTGAACAATTAAAAATTCGCATGGCGAATGCAGAATTTCACTATGGTTTCGAATATCTCGGTAAAATTATTGTCTGAAGAAAACATTTCTACTCTGCTTTCGAAATAGGTATACAAGATCGTCTAGTTCAAACACCATTAACTGATCGATGTTTCTTAACGATGACACAGGCGTTAAATGCTAAATTCGGTGGATCACCATTTGGTCCTGCCGGTACGGCAATCTTTTTTTTATCGAGAGAATGAAGAATATCAGCTTGGGTTATTGTAGGTACGGGTAAAACAGAGTCAGTAAAAGCATTGGGTCATGCTCTTGGTCGGTTCGTACTTGTCTTCAATTGTGATGAGTCTTTTGACTTTCAAGTAAGTAGAAATAGTAATGAAGATCGTTTCGAATGATACTGTACGGCATTTTTAGGCAATGGGACGTCTTTTTACTGGTCTCTGTCAAGTTGGTAAGTGATTGCGATATAATTTGTCATTACTTAACGCTCGATTTTAGGTGCCTGGGGTTGTTTTGATGAATTCAATCGTTTGGAAGAACGAATGTTATCCGCTGTTTCCCAACAAATTCAAACAATTCAAGAAGCATTACGAGAATTGACACATACTGATAACAAAAGTATAATCTGATATTTTTTCTACCAACAACAGCTCATCATTTTTCTTACTTAGCTACACAAAAGATCGAACTCGTTGGCAAATCTGTTTCTGTCAATCCAAACATGGCCATATTCATCACGATGAATCCTGGTTATGCTGGTCGATCAAATCTACCAGACAACTTGAAAATGTTATTCCGTAGTTTAGCTATGACTGTTCCGGATAAAGTTCTGATTGCTCAAGTTATGCTTTATTCACAAGGTTTTCGTCAAGCTGAATTACTCGCATCGAAAATTGTGCCACTATTTACTCTCTGTAGCGAACAATTATCTCAACAATCTCACTACGATTTCGGCTTACGTGCTTTGAAGAATGTTCTTGTGATGGCTGGCAATTTGAAACGCGATCGTATTAAAACTGATGATCAAAAGAATGAAAGCGAGCAAGAAATTGTCATTCAAGCCATTATGGACAGTTTTGTGCCTCGATTAGTCGCTGATGATTTAGTACTATTGAATAGTTTGTTGAATGATGTGTTTCCACGAGCAGCGTATGTTCGACCGGAAATGACACAATTGAAAGAAGAAATCCAGAAAGTTTCCAAGGAAATGTTTTTGGTTTGCGATGAATTATGGATGGAAAAAGTCCTACAGCTCTATCAAATCATTAATCTAAATCACGGTTTGATGTTAGTTGGACCATCGGGTTGCGGTAAGTTAACGAATGAAATGAATAATGATGCGAAATAAAGAATGATTTCTAGGTAAAACAACGGCATGGAGAGTTCTCCTCACAGTTTTGAATCGACTGGAAAATTCCGATGGACAAGCACATGTTATTGATCCCAAAGCGATTTCCAAAGATGATCTGTACGGCTTTCTCGATCAAAATACACGTATGTTCATTAAAAAGAAAATATCCTTCGATCGTATAAATATCTGTTTTTTTTTTCGCAGGTGAATGGACCGATGGTTTATTTACTCATATTCTCCGTAAGATAATCGACAATGTCCGTGGTGAATTAAGTAAACGTCAATGGATCATTTTTGACGGCGACGTCGATCCAGAATGGGTTGAAAATTTAAACTCTGTTCTCGATGATAACAAACTTCTCACATTACCCAATGGTGAACGTCTCAATCTCCCACCGAATGTGCGCGTTATGTTCGAGGTTCAAGATCTCCGATATGCAACTTTAGCCACCGTCTCACGTTGCGGCATGATCTGGTTTAGCGAAGATGTTCTTTCATTATCGATGATATTCGAAAATTATTTTCTTCGTACACAAAATGTTGCAGTTAGTGATGACGATGTTGAACCAACGAGTTTTCTTACCAGTGGAACAACGACAAATGATAATAGTCAAACATCATCAGCAACAATTACTCTACAACGCGCAATTGTTCAAATTCTAAAACCACATTTTCAACATGAGAATAGTCTCGTCATCAAAGCACTAGATTTTGCGCTAACTCAAGAACATATCATGGACTTTACACGTTTACGTCCATTGAATTCCCTATTTTCGATGTTAAATCAAGGTATAAGAAACATTCTGAAATATAATCAAACTCATCCAGATTTTCCCATGTCACAACAACAAATCGAACTTTACATTACACGCTGGTTGATTTATTCACTTCTTTGGTCATTTGTTGGCGATTGTAAATCAAAAATTCGACACGAATTTGGCGAATATGTTCGAGCAATAACAACCATTCAAATGCCACCGAATCAAAATGTGCCATTGATCGATTATGAAGTTACCATGGATGGAGAATTCTCACCGTGGATATCCAAAGTGCCTTCGATCGAAATCGAAACACATCGCGTTGCAGCAACGGATTTAGTTATCCCAACAATCGACACAATAAGACATGAAACTCTATTAAATACTTGGTTAGCTGAACATAAACCGTTAGTTCTATGCGGACCGCCTGGTAGTGGAAAGACAATGACATTATTCAGTGCACTACGTGCTTTACCTGGTATATTAGACGATATCTCAAAAATTCATGTGATTTCTGTGTTTTTTTTTCTCTTATTTAGATTTCGAAGTTGTTGGTTTGAACTTTTCGTCTGCAACTACACCGGAACTAATGCTGAAAACATTCGATCATTACTGTGAATACCGCAAGACGCCGAATGGTCTTGTCTTAGCACCAATACAATTGAATTCTTGGATAATTGTCTTTTGCGATGAAATCAATTTACCTGATGAAGATAAATATGGTACACAACGTGTCATTTCATTCATTCGGCAAATTCTCGAACATGGAGGGTTCTATCGAACATCGGATCAACAATGGGTTAAACTCGAACGTTTACAATTCGTTGGCGCTTGTAATCCGCCAACGGTAAGTAAAATTTGCATAAGTAGATGTGAATTCTGATTTTTCTCTAATTTTTCCAGGATCCAGGCCGAAAACCACTTTCGCATCGATTCCGTAAGTTTTCAACACCAAAAAGAAAGCACGCATTCGATTTGAACAATTCATTTAGTTCGCCATGTCCCGGTAATCTACGTCGATTATCCAGGTGAAACATCACTAAAGCAAATTTACGGCACATTCAATCGTGCTATGCTGCGCATTGTTCCTTCATTGAAACCGTGGGCTGACTCATTAACAAATGCTATGGTAGAATTTTATCTTCTCTCTCAAGTAGGTCAACTAATTTCCTCCAAAGGCTCATTTCGAACATATGTTATTTAGGAGCGCTTCACAGTTGATATGCAACCACATTATATTTATTCTCCACGTGAAATGACACGATGGGTTCGTGGTATTTGCGAAGCGATTCGACCATTGGAAAGTTTAACAGTCGAAGGACTTGTTCGCTTATGGGCACATGAAGCTTTACGTTTATTTCAAGATCGTCTTGTTGGCGACGATGAACGAAAGTGGACTGAGGAACATATCGATTCCACTGCACGCAAACATTTTCCAAATATTGACCATCTCACTGCTCTGCAACGACCAATTTTGTATTCGAATTGGTTATCAAAAGATTATTTACCCATCGATCAAGAAAAACTTCGTGAATATGTTCGTGCTCGTTTGAAAATCTTCTACGAAGAAGAATTAGACGTTCAACTCGTCTTATTCAATGAAGTTCTCGATCATGTTTTACGCATCGATCGTGTCTTTCGTCAACCACAAGGTCACGTCCTATTGATTGGTGTTAGTGGAAGTGGAAAAACCACTTTGTCACGATTTGTCGCCTGGATCAATGGTTTACACGTGTTTCAAATCAAAGTTCACAATAAATACACTTCACAAGATTTCGATGAAGATTTACGAAACGTTCTTCGACGTAGTGGTTGCAAAGGAGAAAAAATTGCGTTTATATTAGATGAATCCAACATGTTAGACTCGTCATTTCTCGAACGTATGAACACACTGTTAGCCAACGGTGAAGTGCCGGGATTGTTTGAGGGTGATGAATATTCAACATTGATGACTCAATGTAAAGAAGGTGCACAACGAGATGGATTAATGTTGAATTCTCCTGAAGAACTGTATAAATGGTTTACAAATGAAGTTATCAAAAATCTCCATGTCGTTTTTACAATGAATCCATCGTCGGAAGGCTTGAAGGATCGAGCTGCCACATCACCAGCCTTGTTCAATCGTTGTGTTCTCAACTGGATGGGTGATTGGTCATTACAAGCACTACATCAAGTCGGAAAAGAGTTTACAAATAGCATTGATCTAGAATCGGCCTCATCGTCGAACAGGTAAATGAAATAAGCAAGCAGAAATATTGTTAATCATAGAATTGTTTGTTTAGTACGCCAAATGATCGTGAAGCGGTGATTGAATCGTTTGTTTATGTCCATCAAACTTTACAACAAGTTAATGTGAAGTTACAAAAGAAAGGTTCACGTACAATGTTCATCACTCCACGACATTTTATTGATTTTATCAATCACTTCGTTAAACTCTACCACGAAAAACGTGCAGGTTTAGAAGACGAACAACTACATTTGAATAAAGGTCTGGAGAAAATCAAAGAGACCATGAAAGATGTCGAAGATCTGCAGAAAAGCTTAGCAATCAAACGTAATGAATTAGAACAGAAAAACACCGCTGCTAATCTTAAACTCAAGGAAATGATCAAAGATCAACAAGAAGCGGAAAAACAAAAGATCACCAGTCAAGAATTACAAACACGTTTACAAGAACAATTGAAAGAAATCGCAATAAACAAACAACAAGTCACCAGTCAATTAGAAAATGTTGAACCAGCTGTTATCGAAGCTCAACAAGCAGTGAAAGGAATCAAACGTCAGCATTTAGTTGAAATACGTAATTTACCAAATCCACCTCCATTGGTTAAATTAGCTTTGGAAGGCATTTGCCTTTTACTCGATCAAGAAACAACTGACTGGAAGACCATTCGTGGTGTGATCATGAAAGATGATTTCATCAATACGATTATTCAATTTAAAACTGAAAATGTACAAGAAGAAAATCGAGAAAAGATGCGCACACGATATATCTCCAATCCGGATTTCACGTATGAAAAAGTCAATCGAGCATCTCAAGCTTGTGGTCCTATGGTGAAATGGGCACGAGCTCAACTTGATTACGCGGATATGCTTCATCAAGTTGAACCATTACGAAACAAACTACAACAACTAGAAGATGATGCGAACGTTAATCGTGTCAAAGCTGATGAATTGATCAAATTAATCGAAAATTTGGAAAAATCCATTACACAATATAAATTAGAGTATGCAGATTTGATTGCTCAAGCTCAAGCAATTAAAACTGATTTGACCAATGTCGAATCGAAAGTCGAACGTTCAGTCGCTTTACTGAAATCTTTATTCGCCGAACAACAACGTTGGGAATTGACAAGTCAATCATTTCTTACCCAAATCTCGACAATGGTGGGTGATGTTTTACTATGCTCAGCATTCATGGCCTATGCTGGCTATTACGATCAAATTACTCGCCAGCAGTTATTCAATACATGGATCCATCAGTTAGATCAAAAGAAGATTAATTTTCATCATCAGTTGGCTCGTGTGGAATATTTATCAAATGCCGATGAACGGCTAAGATGGCAAGCGAATTCTTTACCTGTCGATGATCTATGTACGGAGAATGCTATTATGCTCAAACGTTTCAATCGTTTTCCGTTAATCATCGATCCGAGTGGACAAGCAGCAGAATTTATCATGAATGCATATCAAGATAAGAAGATCACCAAGACAAGTTTTCTCGATGATTCGTTCCGAAAGAATCTCGAGTCAGCACTTCGATTTGGCAATCCACTAGTCGTGCAAGACGTCGAACGCTACGATCCAATATTAAATCCTGTACTCAATCGTGAGGTCCGTCGTACCGGTGGCCGAACACTGATCACGATTGGTGATCAAGATATTGATTTATCGCCTGCATTCATCATCTTTCTCTTTACTCGCGATCCGTCCGTGGAGTTTCCACCCGATATTTGTTCACGTGTAACATTTGTGAACTTCACTGTGACACGGGCGTCATTACAATCTCAATGCTTATCGCAAGTGCTCAAAGTCGAGCGACCTGACGTCGACGAGAAGCGTCGCGATCTATTGAAATTACAAGGTGAATTCCAGCAACGATTGAGACATTTGGAAAAAGACCTCTTGGAATCATTGAACAACGTCAAAGGGCGCATCTTAGATGATGATACCATCATCACACGTTTAGAAACATTGAAACGTGAAGCATTTGATATCACGAAAAAAGTTCAAGAAACCGATCAAATCATGAAAGAAATCGAGAATGTCTCCAAACAATATTACACGTTATCCGTCGCATGTTCGTCTATCTATTTCACCATGGAATCATTAAATCAAGTTCATTTTCTCTACCAATTCTCGTTACAATTCTTCTTCGAAATGTTTAATGCGATCTTTACTAACAATACACATCTAATTAATAAAACTGATTCACTCGAACGCTTACAAATCATCACGTATGACTTATTCCAAATGATTTACACGCGTATTGCATTAGGAATGTTACACGAAGATCGAATTGTCCTCGCACTTATTCTCGCGCGAATCTATTTGAAAACATTGAATAATGAACCCAACTACGATGAAGAATACGATGTTCTGATACGTGGCAGTAGCTCAACGACGAATTCGAAACGAGATCAAGTGACAATCGAAGGTTTAACACAACAACAGACCGATTCAATGACGAAACTATCGAAATTAGCAGCATTCAAGAATCTTCAATCGCAAGTTCTATCGAATCCAGATTTTCCCAAATGGGTCGAAGAGATCAATCCAGAATTGAATGTTCCACATCTATGGTCTGAACTAACGCCATTGACTCCAATTGGAAAAATATTTCATCAGTTGTTAATGATTCAAGTTTTTCGTCCGGATCGATTTCTATCTGCGGCGCGAATTTTTGTTTCGAATGTCTTCAGCGAAGCATTCCTCTCCGCTGCTGATCAAGTTCTCGATCTCGGCCCGATCGTCGAACATGAGATCGTTTCAAATAAACCAATTTTAATGTGTTCAGTGCCTGGTTATGATGCCAGCTCACGTGTAGAAGATCTAGCAACACAAACGAATCAACAATTAATTTCCATAGCTATCGGTTCCGCCGAAGGTTTTAATCAAGCTGAAAACGCCATTGCCTCAAGCGCCCGGCAAGGAAGATGGGTTTTATTAAAAAATGTTCATCTCGCTCCACAATGGTTAATTACGTTAGAGAAACGTCTTCATGCTATGCCTGCGCATAATCAATTCCGACTGTTTTTATCCATGGAAATTCATCCGAAGTTACCATCGAATTTACTCCGAATGGGTCGAATCTTTGTTTACGAACCTGCTCCAGGTATCAAAGCGAATTTATTACGAACGTTTTCAACCATCTCCGCCATGCGTATGAACAAGACTCCAAATGAACGTTCACGTCTCTATTTTCTTCTTGCATGGTTTCATGCTGTTATCCAAGAACGTCTTCGTTATGTTCCACTCGGTTGGTCGAAACATTATGAATTTACTGAAGCTGATCTTAAATGCGCGTTGGATACGATTGACATCTGGATTGATTTAATCGCCATGGGTCGTACAAATCTTCCGATTGATAAGATTCCGTGGGAAGCGTTGCGTACACTTCTCTCTCAATGCATCTACGGTGGTCGTATCGACAATCCGTTTGATCAACGTTTATTAAACGGTTTTCTCTCGAAATTATTCTCGTTAACGTCATTAAACACCGATATGAAATTGATTATTGAAGAACAGGATGAAAAATCGCAACAGCCACTCGTTGTTACTATGCCGGATGGTGTTAAACGCGAACAATTCATCACTTGGATCGAACAAACTCTACGTACATTAATTCAACAACCATCCTGGCTTGGTTTACCAAATAATGCCGAAGTTGTTCTCTTAACAACTCGTGCTCGGGATACTTTAGCTAAATTATTGAAAATGTCATCGGTAGCCACAAACGATGATGAAGATCTGGCTGACAGTATTCTTACCGATCAAACGGATTCCACAAGTCAACGCAAAATATCAGGAGATGGAAGTGACAGTCGACCGACGTGGATGAAACAATTACACGAATCATGTTTAACATGGTTGAAATTGTTACCAACAAAAGTCACAACAATGCGACGAACAGCGGAAAATATCAAAGATCCATTGTTCAGATTCTTTGAACGAGAAGTGAATACAGGTTCGAAATTACTAACAGTTGTTCAATCAGATTTACGAGACATAATCGCCGTCTGTGAAACTAAAAAGAAACAAACAAACTATCATCGTCAGTTGATTAGCGACTTAATCAAAGGTAAAGAAAAACGAAAAGTTCTCCAGTATTCAGATAATATTTTCCTCTAGGTGTTATTCCACAACCATGGAAACGATACACCGTACCGAAAAATCTGACAGTTATTCAATGGATCACAGATTTCAGTGAGCGCGTTAAACAACTTGAATCCATATCAAAATTAGTTGCCGATCAAGGATACAAATCACTAAAAGTAAATTTTCCCCATAAAAAAGCACAGCATATCCGAATTCTGATCTTTTTTAGTCATGTCCGATCTGGCTTGGTGGATTATTTACACCTGAAGCATATGTCACCGCCTCACGTCAATGTGTAGCTCAAACAAATCAATGGTCACTTGAAGAACTTGTTCTCCAAGTTATTGTACAAGATTCCACCGAGCAACAACAATCCCTTCAAGATGAATGTACATTCGCCATTCGTGGCCTTCGTTTACAAGGTGCCAAATGTCGAGCAAATAAACTCTATCTTTCGTCATCAATCTCCACTGAATTGAATTTAACGTTGTTTAAATGGATTCGCGCAACGGAAAAGAAAACACAAACTAACTCAATGATAACATTACCGGTTTATTTGAATCCAACACGTAGCGAATTGTTGTTTACGATTGAATTAGAATCAGCAGATAATTCATTAAATGAATTCGATTTTTATGAACGCGGTGTAGCCGTACTTGCATCAGCACTTGCTTAAAGCAACCAAAATAGACTGTTTACTCTCTACTCCTAGCTTTCGTTTTTCTTTGTTTGTTTTATCTACTAACATACTCGCATTTTTATCCGATTTCTGTCTCTTATCCTTATAGACATTCAAAATAAACGACAAAAAAATGAAGATTTGCATCTATAATCAAATCCACTTTCTTCTAGATGTCAAATGCTGCTCCATCAACAGATTCTCATTCACCATCGCCGAATTCATCAAATCCAACAATATGTGAAAACGAAGTCGAATGTACGAAACCAGCACTTGTCACGTGTCACCATTGCCCAAAGCGATTATGTTTGAAGCACGTCCTGGAACACAATGAAATCAATATCGTTCGAACGTATTCCTTATCGGATGAAATCAATTGTTTAACTCATTTCCTTTCCAAACTCGACTGTCAACAATCGGTTGACAATGCTCGGAAGCATTTAGACACGTGGAAGGAAAATATTCTTGCGGACATCGAGAATACGTATCAACATTATTCGAAAGAAATCGATGAGTTACAAACGGAATTAAATCAAAGGGTGGATATTTTTAAAGATAGTCAAAAATCGAAAATGTCCATCTTACAAACACAATTAGCAGCATTGCAAAAAGTCGGAGAAATCTCTCAGCATGTAACTAACGATTTTCTTTGTTTCTAAATGATTCTTTTGTCTTGTTTAGCAATTGTCACCAATTGAACGCGATTTAAGCCAACTTCGGCAATGTTTAGAATCTGTCCGATGTGAGATCTGTGTTGAAACAACGAATGTCTCTTGTAATGATCTGATCAATGCATATAATGTCTTCTCCTACAATCGCATTTTACCCAATAATACTCTCATGCAATCGTACCGAACAGTATCTGTAGAAAATTGTAAAAAATTCGTATCCAGCAAACAGCACGGCTCGATTTTATGGCTGGATAATCGACGACAGTTACATTATATCGATCAAAAATTTCACGATCAAATTGTCACACGTTTGTTTTAATAGTTCAAGGGTTTTTCGACTTTATCAGTTCGTTTCTAGTACCACCTGTTATGTCTAATCCACCGACGACTGCCTCAGCTCTATTACCATATCATCAGACAGGTATCAAAGATGTTGATATTGTCGATTTGAAATGGTGTTCAGGCGCTGAAGTTTTTCTTATTCTTTTTCAACGTCATTTATTTTCGTTTGAACCCAAAACTCATAAATTCACCCAAATTTCCATCGTCCGACATAAAGATTATCCGTAAGTGAGGCGAATTTTGTTTTTCTTTTCTAAAGCCATTCTCTCTCCATTTTTTGTTCAGTTTCCGTTGTTTAACCTGTGCCAATGATTCATCACTTTACATATCTTACTGTGTCTTCGGAATTTGTATCGAACTATGGAAATATCCAAGTGCTACGAATGTCAATGGAGCTGTACGACGTTGGGATCGGCTGGCTAATGATAAAACGGAATGGGTATCACATATAGATGCGAACAGTTCATCGCAAATTAGTTTGTTGGTTCGAACCGCATCATCAGTTCACACACGTTTCGAAATTCGCGACGAGAATTTAGCTTTACTAAAGCAAATTCCATTAAACGAGGATTTTGTTGATATATTTTACCCGTTTCGATCCAATTATTGGTATATTAAAAGTTCCTCGGGCAAGTATTATGTCTATTCCATGGAAACTTCGCAATGTGAATTATCCTCATTCGAGTATCCATTCGGGTTACAAGAATTCGGTATCAATTCAATGATAATCGGAAGCAGCTCGAACGAATTAACCTTATGTGATGTTTAAACAAACAAAATTACATTTGATTTCTGCATAGTTATATGTGTTTATATACTTTTTGTTTTTATTTATAAAATTAAAGCACAGTAATATGATAGATGGAATCACTATTTTGAAGACATCTCTCACACCGAAACTTAGGAACAGTTTCATATCATAATAAACCAATGACTAAATTTTGCGTGTGAATCATTTGTATTATTGATGACGATGATCAAATATTATGAATCAAGTAGACAGTCCGCTACAATCATAGAAAAACACCTTCAAGAATACGCATTCAAGGCTCTCGTTTCGGCCGTAGGTACACGTTTGTTTCTTATCAATCATCGCTATTTATTCTCCCGTGTCACAACGTTGATTTTTTTCCTATCAAGGACTCTCGTCGTTTCATTCGACTGATGGTGATGTTGATGACACGTGATTGAGTTTTTCGTCTATTTTATACATTCAGCAAAGTTGGTCAGTATTGATAAACGCACAGAGAATAATTTCTTACGATGATTACTCATTCGTCATAGTTGTTTACAAACAAACCAATCCGTCTGAAATCGACACACTTGGGAAGGGCTTTGTGACATGATCCACTAACATAGACCTAATTTTCGCTCAGTTACTCACCTTGACAATATTTTAATGGGCATAGTGACCGACTAAAGAACATAACATATCAGTGAAAAGATCCTCTATTGCCAAAACTGTATCAATATATCATCCATGATGACGCGAAAAAAGCCTAGTGTTAGCAAGTGCATTTTCGGTGATTCGTTCCGTGACAGCGAGCAATAAAAGGGTATTTCTCTTGTTTTTCATCGTTTCGAAAATGATTCATATTACTCATCAATGAAAAATGCAGCGTAGTGCTTTTTTTCCGTTGACGACAGCAGGAAGATAGAAAAAAGAAGGCGCGTCCATATCCGCTCATTTTCTGAACCATACAATTACCCTAAAAGTTCAATACATATTGAACAAAGTCAATGATGATTCAGCTTTTTTTTTTCGCTTTGCATTACACTGACTGATACGATCGTCACTATGAGACAGCATACATATATGCAGTTTTTTTATGGGTACAAATTTCCACTTCGTCGAGCACGAATCGAAATAAGGTAACAACACTCATCCCACGGATTTGATTTTTTTTTCTTTTCCATTCGATTAGTATTGGTATTATTTATCACACTCACACATTTGGATCATTTTTACCTTTTATAAACTAAATCTTACGCGTATTTATAGCGACAGACAACAAAAACATGGGTGTTGTTGGTTCATTACCATCGCCATCGCCGAGTACACAAAGCAACGTAATGCATACCGAGTCGAAACAAATAGTATCGTCAGCAGATGAGTGTTCGTTGTCGAATCCGTCGATCTATGATGTAGAGGCGCCAGCAGATAAAATAATACCAAAGAAACCGTCTCGTCGGAAGAAATCGTCACCTCCTATTACCGTTGTGTACGGGCCTATAAATATAAGAGTTCGTCAATCAGCAGCACCGACACTGGCAACTGGTCGGTGTTCGAAATTTGTCGAACTTGAAGGTGAAGCAGCAATCAAACGTGAAATTCGACGAAAGCGAAACCGTGAAGCAGCGAAAAAGTTAAAAGAAAAACGGTCAATTATAGAGGACAATCTCAAAGCACAAATTAGCGAATATGAAGCGCAAGAGAAAAGTTTACTTTCAACAATAGAGAATCTCAGAGCTTATAAAGAATATCTCGAATATCAATATCAACAGATCACGTCTATGCAGGAGAGTATTTCCCGATCAGCTTTTAAAAAGGTTGGACGTAAACGTATGTATCTCGATCGAAGCGTTCCTATTCATCCGAATACGATGCGAATCAAGGAAGAGTCGCGGCGTTCATCACCACAATGGCAATTGCTTTTCAGCATTTAGAGGCTCTCCGAAAGTAATCGTTTTCTTGTTGTTGTTGTTCATTTTATTTCAGAAAAAAAACAAGTAAACGTGTGTATAGATTGTAATTTGTTAATATATTTCACAGCTTTGTTTCTCTAAACATTAAAACACATCTAATAAAACTTCAAAGCGCTATTTGTTGTCTTTTGAAGCAACTAATCTGACTTCCATATCGATTACACAAAGCCCCAGACGGTTTTGAAGATCTGCTTGCGATAAGAAGATCTATTTCATGAGAAACAACTGATGAATTTAGACAAAATTTGTGAATCCGGCTAAGATTTAGAGATGAGTACAGAGTACTCTTAAAGTATACGGATTTTGATCGATTACCGCTGACGCTATCGTGCTGTACTTTCGCATCACTTAATGTACATGAACGTGTTTCAGTAGATCATCATTTAACTCAATCATTGCTTTTAAACACATTTTCATTTTTTCTCGTGATGAAACAAGAATAAATATACAAACTAATCCAAGAGATGATTGTACCATTAAAAGGAAAATACATATCTACGCGAAAAATATTTGTCCTTCCTTTAATTAGAAAAGAAGTGAATATCTTTCGTTTCATCAATAATCTTGTCAGTCTAACAATCATCTACTATGACTAATTAAAGCATTAATCTATGGTATTTAGTTATTTATTGGTAAGAATGGTATTGATAACGAAGAAATGCGAAGATTATCTTGCGTAAAACATCTGGCAGATGTTGGAATAGAAAAGACTGTGATAAATCTAGCTGAAGAATGAGTGATAGATAGATATGAAAAATGATATCGAAGAAGGAAAATGTCCTCATTTGGTCGGTTTATCATCTACGATTTTGTCGTGGAAAGAATCGAGGTCTATTTGTCCAACATGATTTAGTGTGACAGACAAAAATAAATGGTGAAGTTTATCACGATTGTTTAACTGTTGTCAGGCTTTATTGTTTGTTTACTTAGCAAACAAGAATAATTTCCAACGATGAATAAATTTACATGGAAAACGACCGTTCGGATATCAAAACATCGATTGTCGGTCTCTGTATTTAGTAGGATGCGCTCAATTTTTTTGCATTTTCGCTGTTATCACAACATGTGACAAGTGTTGGAACACAAGTGCGATTAAAGTGAAGAGAAAAAAAGAGAAGGATTTTTTTCTTCTTTCTCTCCGCTGGAAATCATTCTTTCCAAATGCAGTTGATGAAAGTAAACCTTTTGTTTCATTTCTTCATTGCATTGTCTCTAAACTACCATGTTGACAAAAGAAGTGTTTTTGTTGTCGTAGTAGCAAAAGTTGACGATTTTTTTCTAAAAAGAAACGTCTGTCGTTTCTTCATTTGCGACTTCTTTCTCTCTGCCAAAGGATTTGCATACCAACTTGACGAAAGCAAAGGGAAAGTGAATCCGTAGGAAAGCTTTTTCGATTAAGACGCATTATGCCCACACAAACAGCTGAACCAACAGCAACAGAAGATCGAGCTCAAACAGCTCGATCCTCACCCGCTCGAAATCAAAGACAAGAATCCGCGCGACCGCGAGCAACGACGTCTCGAACTCGCTTTTCTAGCGCACGTCATAATAAACTCTACCGTGGGCCGCCAACTCCACCACCCGAAGTTCTCTACGATCGCGAACGAGGTTTTGTTCTCGATTGTAAAGCTGTTTCGCATATATCAAATGATTATTCGACTGCAAATCCTAAATTAGGCTCAGTAATTCCACCCTACAATGGCCAACTCGATCATCATACGGACAATTATTTTCGATTTTTCGGATTAAAAAATACATTACGAAAAACAGGACAAGTAAATATGATATCAACGTTTTATCCTCATTTGGCTTCTTTTTCTTCAGCTGAAAGAACACGAATCCATTCCGGGACGAGTTCATGATCGATTCTTTGCCAACGGGCATGGCTTTCGGTATTTGTCACTTCGGAATAGTTTTGGTTCAGGTCAGTTAAATTTTCGTTCGAGGAGAAAAACAACAATCATCAGTCGATTTCAGGACATTCTATCGATGAAATTCGTGGACACGATCTATTTCTCAGCGATCCAAATCCCATAGTCAATTACAATGGACGATTTGGTATGTGATTCCGCGAAGAATTTTTTAAATTTCCATGCAAGTTGTTCATTTCAGGTTATCGTCGTAACACTCCATCACTTCGTCAACAGCCAACAATCGGCACGCGAACTGTCAGCGGCAAAGGCATTGTTCCACATGGACGTTGTTCGATGGTAGGTTGTGGTCAACCTTATGCCTATCATTGTAAATGTAGCTTTGATCGAGCATGTCGATGTCATAATCAAAAACAAGCTTGTCCATGTATTCACGTACAGAGTTAAACTTATATATAACAAATAAGAACATGACTGAGAATAAATTGATCTACCGTTTGATTTTTGACTTGGACAGGATTTTTCATCGAATTTTGTACGACATTCATTAACACCATTGCAAAGGGCATTCTCGTGCACGCAATAAGAGTCATTACAATCGATCAAATGTTCATCTAGACAAAGTCCATGATTGGTTTTTCGTGATAACTTCGTGAAGAAGAATTTTAATTCATAAGGATTGAAATGATCATCATCGTAATCATTGAATGTCAATATCGGTGGTTGAATAAGTTCAAGATAGATAATATTCGTCGACGAGATATATTCATTAAATTGATAAGATTTCACTGATAACGATGAAGCGTAACAATCATATGTGATAATTTTCTCATTCTAAATAGATTTACAAAATAGATTGAAGAATTTATAAAGAAAAACATTACATCTCGAATTCGGAGGCATGGCAATTTTGGAAGAGATATCATATAATCTTGATCATAATCATCCGAAAGATTCTTCTCGAAGGAATCGAAAACCAAACGAATTTGATCAGTGAGTGATGCTCGTAACTCAATCGTACATTCTTCATAAACTGTATTATAATCAAAATCTAAACGAAACAAATAATCCGAATTCAGCAGATGTATTTTTAGAAAGTTTTTATACCATTGGTTTCGTAAGGATTGTGTCCGTAAATAAAACCCGATGGCCATCTATGGAAACAAACGACATAAACGTCAAACAACGGATTTATTCTTACTCGGTTAAATTGATATACATCGGTCGATTTCGAAATTCATACTGCTCTTTACAATAGGAATGTAAAGTTTGATTGATAATTGTATTGGGTTTCATCACAACTAGAGACAAATCATACATAGCAAGGCAAATGATCAATGGAAAGTCATACAAAACGGAATATATTGATCGGATTTGAGATGGTTAATATAAGTTAAGAAGATGAGAAGAAAACTTATCATTGGATATGTATCGATGCGTTAATAGATTCAATAATGCACTTTTTATTTAGTGTTGATTTGTAAGCATGAGGAAATACATGTGATACTTGATTTTCTCTCTTGATTATATGTGGACGTTCTCATTCTCTCTCTCGTCTTCCGGGCTGCGTATCGAGAAAATCATTCAACAACGTTTTTCCTTCCTCTGACTATAATACTGTTGTTGTCCTTGTGTATATATACGTAATGAGGTGAGGAAGGGGAATGGTAGAAATTGAAACATGACAGTCCAATGTTGATTCTGTTCAGAACAAATAGAAAAACTTTGTTTTAATTTTTTTTTTCTTCGACGCTCGAGCATCGCTTCCAAATTCTATTTCTTATATAATCAGAACGTATTTGAGTAATATGTGTAAGAAAAGTAAACGACAGGTGTTTGCTGATGAAGCGTGACGCTTACGCAGAGAATAATGACCTTGCTAAGCATCCGTCTGCTTCTCCTCTCTTTATCAATAACTAAATAAATCAATGCTAAACCTTGAGCCAAACTGTAAATAAAATTGTCGAATTGAACAAAATCGGCACGAATTCAAATCGCAATCTATTGAATAGCATTTTTCCAAAGAAAACATCCACATCAACATAGTAATTAACAAAAACAAAACACGAAAACTTGTAACGGTCTTGGTTACATTTACATTTTAGTAACATTTCGAGGTTATTTCGTTATTTTTCCTCTTCGTTCTCTCAATACACAATATATCAATACTTACTCGCTCTTTCTTGTTTACATATTAGTATGCATACACAATAGCATCGTCATACATTTGTTCGTCGCATGAGAAACATTGACCAACAATGTTCGATGCTAATCCTAATCGACTATTGTTTGATCCATCCATTGCCGGTATGCCAATGGACTACAGTAGAGGACAAGGAATGTATCCAATGATATCTGAACCAAGGAAACCAAAAGTATCCCCTCTTTCTCGCATACCTAGTTTACATTTACCAGCAATTATCTTATTGGGTTTCTCATGGCTTTTGCAAACCTTGGCAACGTTTCTTCCATATTGGTCGACCTATTCGGGCATTAGCGACTCTCGCGCAGGTAATAATTGATCATAATTACATCAGAATGACTTTTTTTTATTGCAAAAATCCAAGGTCTATGGAGTGCTCGAAATTTTAATTATTATTCAATACAAAATTTTTACTTTCCACAACCAACAGACTTTCCGACGGTGACCAGTTCCATTGGCTTTACTAGTGCTAATACAAAAGGTAGGATGATTGATTGACTGAATGCAAAATGCAGGTATCGACTGTTGCTATTTTAGCATATCTTGTTACTGTACAATTCTTGATGACTTTCAATTTTGTCTTCATGTTGATTGTGTTGGTTTTGTTAATTGTGGATTATATATTTTCTCAACAAACTCGAGAGAGACCTTGGAGTATGTTATTGGCAGATCATAACACATCAGATACAGCTATTAAATATGGTCTTCTCCTTTATATTCTCTACGTGTTTAGTAGGAAGATAGTTTCAGGAGAAAACAAATCCAATCTATTGCTTTTTTATTTAGTTATTTTTGAATTTGCAGCTTGGATTACTTATGTAGGCTCGCGACATGATAATAATTGGCAGATGCATGTCTCATTTGCATTTGCGGTCATTATTAGTGTATTTCTATTCATTGTTTTTGTTATGTACGTTCTGGAATTTCTCAAAAGATTTCAGTAAGACTTCAAACAGAGAAAAAACGTAAGATTATTCGATTGTATATCTAGAAAGAATCGCTTGAAATGGGATTATTGGTACGGACCCTATATCGAATGGGCATTTTTCATATATCTCTCCGCTTTACTATTACTTCTCATCGTGATTTGTTGTCCGGAATGGGCGTATGACAAAATCGATACGCTCTCTATTTTTGCCGAAATCGGTCTTTTCAAACAATGTTATCTCTCATCAATATACAAAAAATCAGCTTCGGTTAATTATTGTACATTATCAAATAGTGGGACAAATCAAGGTGAGTTTGAGTCGAATTTTGTAATTTATCTTGATTTCATTCGATCCCTCAGCTTGGGTTAATGCGACACAAGCATTCATGTTGATGGCTTATATTTTTGGAATGATTATATTAGTGGTATTGGTGGTGTTTCGAAAAGAGTTTCGCCATAATTCTCAAGGTTATGATGCAAAAAAAGTAAATCAACCCACATTTACGTATATTATCGCTGGATCGATACTTTTCTTTTGCTGTAAGAACAAAAAGGATAATTTTATTTGCTTTCGCCACCATAGTTCCTTTGATTTTCTATTCAGTTATTTTTACATTGATTGGTATATCGATCTTCGGTGGAAAAGTATTTCCTAATTCGATCTCAGTCAATTGGGCATACATTTTAGCCGTCTTTTCGATGGTACTTTTTCTCATTACCGGTATTTTGTTCATTCTGGATGCTGTACACAGTAAAAAGCAAACGAAGTATAACAAAACAAATCTAAACACGAGAATATTTTATTTTGACCATTTAATTTTCTAGGCCAGCCGGTCCAAAAGGGAACAAGAGCTTTTTCTTTCCGGCACCGTTGAGTAATCGCGTATTGGCAATGCAACCTCTACTCAAACCTGAACCAGCTTGGTCACCACCTCCAATCATGCCACCAATGCCGCAATCACAAGCCTGGTTACCGCCTTCACCATCATGGCAACCTATGTATCCACCGCCACAACCGAATTATCCCACGGATTATTATCCCAATGTGCCATTAACTCAGGCTACATTAGCAAATTATTATCATATGTTAAATTACCCTTACGGACCTTCATATCCAAATGATCAAGGTTTAATGAATTATTCTCCGGATAATTTTCCGCCGTATCCAAGTTACAGAGATGAAAGTGATACTGAGAATTATTTTACTCACATGATGCGTCGCCATTTCCTTCAACAACAACGCTTAAACTACAATCACGAACGTTTATTGGAAAAATATAGTCGTCTTCAAGGCCCGCGCGTTTCCTCTTTTCGCACATTTGGCTCCAGCGCTTTACCAGGCAGAAACTATGATCATTATCTCGACGGTATGCGCAGTAATAATCGTCACGACACATCTTTAATTGGTCAATCACGAGCACGTATTGGTACATCCGATGATACGTACCGGTGGATGGGTGAAGAATCTTTTGAACCTTTACCTAGAAGTGCACAATCGCACATGCAACATAGTCGAAATGAACTGATGCCGTTTGTACAGGCTGAGAGATTTGAACCAATAAAAATGTACCATCATCCGGTGTTTGGACCCACACCGGGGTACATTCGACCGGTAGTCAAAGCGAGTAGAAAGCATCCGAAAAAGATTAACAGTGATGAAAGTGAATCGTTGGATCATTCTGGTCGTGATAAAAAAACAAAAGCGATTAGCATTAGTGATATTAGAAATGTTGGTGAACTACTGAATCATTCATCCGCACGACATGCCATACAGAAGAAACAGAAACGCAAACGCCGTCACCTGACTAAATCGAAACGTTCAAATAGCTTTGGCGAAGTTTATGATCAATCGTTACATTCCCCATTTGCTAATGATAATCTTCGCGATGAATCGAACGATTACGAAGATTTAACATTTTCGGCATCAGCCGACGAAAGATCCTATGGACTTTTCTCAGTGGATTCGAAACATCGATATGATAAATTGCATTCGAAACCAATTTTCCCAATAATAAGTCAAAGAATGTCACGAACAACTATTACAGGTTATTAAATATTCTTTCTTTTTGCATTTCCATTCAAAATCACGTTAATGACCTATTTGTATAGAATCTAAAAATAACAACTCATCTCGAGTTGTTTCCAAGCCTTCAGAGACTATTTCAAATCCCACGATACTACCATCATTATCTATTCCATTAACACCAAGTGTTTCGCCAATAACACCATCAAAAATCTCATCAAGTCCCACTCCAGGTAATCCTCTATCTAGTCCTTGTGAAAACTAATCATTCATATGAATGCTTCTCCCAAAAAGAATCAGATACATCGATAAATTAACAATATTTTCTGCACCATTGACTATGCTTGAGTTGTTCGCTAATCTATTTTTCTCTCATGGTAAATAATACAATATTTTTCCATGCATGGTAAAACACTAATGGTCTTCTGATATATTTATCTGTTTTTATAGAAGTACAAACGATTTCATTACCACTGAATCTGTCTGAGATGTCAGCACAATCTCGTCCGGGTACTGTATCAAGTTCGACTGTTCCATACCAAACACTCTCAAATATCACCGATAAACCAGTCAAAGCACCATCTCAGCAAACAAACGGTGTTTCTCTAGCTAGCACGACTCGTGTTATTTCAAGTACTAGTGGTATCGATAATGATGATGACGACGACGATGCGACGAAGAATCGTGGGCGAATATAGAAAAAATAACTGAAATTTAGATTAGATTACAATATTGATCATTAGAACTAAATATTAGTTTTAGACGAAAGACAACGACTGATCTTTTGAACGGCTCTACGCGATCGATTTTTTAATGATTGAATTCTTCCTATTGATTATGACGTTCATCGCCTTGTGTATATATTTTTATTAGAAAATAGAAGATTATATACTAAAGATGTAGATTGACATCAAAAGAGACACGCGGAGTTATTTTCTTCTCCCAGATAATTACTCTTGGAGATTTCATCTCGATTATTAGAAGTCCAGTTTAATAAGTCTGACAGAACGTTTTTTATTTATAATTTGCACTCAATAATCTTTTTGAACTCGATGAAAGTCTATTCTTAATACACCAAATCGCATCTCAAACAGCAAATCCAAGAGATAAATCATAACAAAACACGTCATATCTGTCCTTTCTTTCTCATTTATTTCAAAAGGTGCTTCATGACACTGTTTTGATGTTATTCGTCTTTGATTCCTCACATCATTTCATATGTATGCCATCAGCAACTCATCACAAATATGAGAATAATTATTGAGTATAATATGTCATTGTCGACAGTCGAATTATTTGTTTTGAATATCATCTTTCTCGTCCGATGTCTGCCACATAATACGGTTTGTAATAAATATTTAAGTTCCTTGTAACCCCCTCGAGATACGAATCTAGCGTAAGGCAAGCACGAATGTAAAATATCATTTAGATGCGTGATCGCCCACTTTCTGACCGCAAAAATTATGTCCATTGGGTAAGAAATGATTTCTCAGAGAAATGCTCCTAATGTCATAATTAACTACTCTTTTGATGTTTGTCATTGAGTAAAATGGCGGGAGTATCAGTGATAACGTGATCGAGTAAAAATTCTCGATTAACATTGGTAATTTTGACGCTTTCATTCTGAATGAAAAGAACCCGAAGAGAATAGTCAGGTTAAAATATAATTAGAAGAATTTCCTTTAATATTCGTATGAAAAAACGTGATGAAATCTATTTATACGTTGTCTGGCAGCACCCGCTCACTTCCATCTAATCTAATTTCTCTTTCTTCTATTTGTGAGATTGATAGAGATCATCTCTCTTGATCGTAGTTATACTGTTTGGCCGAGATCCTCTAACTACACACTTATATTTTCATTTAATTACAATGCATCTTGAAAATAGAGGTAAATAAAGAGTTTCACTTTAGGCGAAAGCTTTAGTTGGATTAGCGTTGCCACAAATAGACCGTTTTATCCCGAATAATAGCGAACGACAATGAGCTTTTCTACTCGATGGAATACAATTATCATTTTGTCCTTTAATTTCCGTTAGAAATAATTAAAAAAGAAAAGAAAGTTCTTCGCGAAAAAAGAAAAGAGGAGAAAGGCGTGACATCATTTGTGTCAACTCAATTCAATGTGCCTACCATTGAAATGAAAATCACATTCTCGACTTCCATTCAGAGGAAATAACAGCAAGATGACAGATTTCTTCTTCTTCTTATTTTATTACTTTTTCTAATGGCACAGTCATTTGAAAATGGGCACACAGAAAAAGTAATGCATCATGCGATAAAAAGGAAATCTCATGATAGTTTTTATTATACCAGACGCTTGCTAATACTTCGGCCGTGTTCCCTCAAGATGCGATCTAAAGTTGATAAATTACTGTACCTGAAAGGTAATCGAGTGGCAATCTTTGATTCCTTCCTAGTGTCTCTCTACTACATGATTATTTGTCAAGATTGAGTGTAACATTCACCTGTCGTCTATTTTCTTTCGCGGGTAACGACCAAGTCTTCTCCGAGAAAAAAAACAGTTTATTTTATGTCTGATAGTAATGCAAAACAGATGATCATTCATGATAATCCATTCGGTATTCTGGCTGATATTCTTCTTTCGTTGAATTTCTATCAGAGTATTTTTAGGGCTGACATTGCTTGTTCGATTTGCTTCTTTATCTGTCGTTACACATAAATTTGAATTCATCAAGAACAGAAGAACGTCTTCGGAGGAAAATGGCAATCATCTTGATAACATAAGCCTCGAAAAGTTTTCTCGCAACGTGTTCTTTCTCATTTTAAGGATTAATTGTTAATACAGCAAGGTTATTTAAAGTGATTGATGCTCTTGAAAGATTTACACCAGCAATTAACTCTGTTTGACATACGTTATCGACGCCTGATTGAGTTGAGGATGTTTGATGTACATTAAATAAATCAACATGACTTCTACTCAATCACATTATAATTCTTTCTCTCACAATAACGGCATAATCTTGTTTGCATGAGAAAGGCGTAATGGAGAACCAGCTTTTTAAAGAGAACGCTAAAGATTTTCTATGTAGACCATGGGAGAAAACGGAAAAAACAATTCTTTGTTTTAAAACCCAATGCACTTCTACTTGACTAGTTGAAAAATAGAATATGAGCATGTCAATAGTTCATTAAATACTGGAGACAGAAACACAGGAAGAATTTTGACAACTAAACTGACGATCTACTGACTATACTTAGCCATTAAAAGAATGGTTTGTTGCTCTTCCTATATCATATGATCCGGTAATTAAAAGCAATTCACAGAAATAATGAGAGGAATCTTTCTCTTCTATTATTAATTTTATTAATTGGATGCGCACCAGTTGTACTTGAATCACTGCCCATTTTAAACTTAGATTCCATTGTGATATCATCTTTCCAAACGTGATTTCCACTCGAACTTATCAGAATATGACAGAAAAGTGGGATATGAGTAGTCATCTTCTCAAGGAAACATAAAACAGTCATGAGTTCCGCGTTGTAGAAATGCCTTGGAGTGCAATGCAAAGCAAGCTCGGACATCAAGCAGATGAATTACTCACTCACCTGTTATCTACCTCAACAAGGATACTTTGCCGTTGCTTGGTTAATCACGTGGAAATCTCTCAAAATAATTTGTCCCTCCCGTATGGTAATGTATTCCTCTTGAACCTGGCAAACATCTGTTATGAAAAGAGTTATTCTTTCTGCTTCTACATAAAATAATATCATTTCTACTGATGTATATATATATGAATTTAGTTATGAATCATTTATTTATCTTTGCTGGGCTTTGAAGGGAATTAGAATTCCTTCTTGTATTTTCGTATATTAGTTTGCTTGTTGGTTGGCATGCATAAATAATCATATTTATTTGTGATAACAAATGCAGTCTAACACAAACAATATACGCTGGAAAAAAGAATGACTTGTCGAAAGATTCCGCTCGCGCTCTCTCTTCTCGCTCTCTTTTTCTTTCTCTCACTATTTTTTCTTCCTCTTCTATATCCTTTTTGAAGAGAAAACTTCCTTTATGTATATATAAATTGAAACACATCGCAAATACATCTCTTACTCGTCTATCTTTGTTTGGAGATATTCACTTGTTTTCTTTTTGGCCAATGTCAACACCAGTCACCCATAGAATCGATGATAGTACATGTATGTTTCTAACGCTTATTGATTCGATTTGTTCGGATTGATAAAGTAATTACTGTTCTATATGTCAGTTGTATATTTAGACGTGGATATTGATTTATTTACAACGACAATTTCGCCAATAGTTGCCAATGTTTGTCAGAATCAAACGCTCTCATCTTCGGAAGAAATCGAAAATCGAATTAACGTCGTTGTACCATATCTCGTTGTTTTAGGTATAAAATTCATTTGCAAAATAAACATTCTTTATCCTAATGATGCAAATATTTGATTTTAGGAATTATTGGAAACGGTTTATCTATACTGACGTTTTCTCAACGCAAATTGCGAACATTATCCTGCGGTTGTTATTTACTTCTACTTGCTATATCGGATACGATCGCACTATTAATTATCTCGCGACCGTATTTTTTCAAACAACTAAATATCGTTCATCATTTGAATTCGAGCTTTCTCTGCGGATTGCATTTGTTTTTAACTCAAATTTTTGATGAATTAACACCTTGGTTATTAGTTTTTGTCGCGTGTAATCGGCTTGTACTTTCACGGTATCCCCGTAATCATAATTGTTTTCAAACATCACGTTCGGCATTGTGGAGCACATTAGTTTTATTAATCATCATAGTCTTCATCAATATTCATCTATTATTCGGCATTGGAGTCGGCTATTCACCGTCTCAACCTTGTAAATCAGCTTGTGGTCCATTAACAAAATCGCCAACATATTTATTTTTCTATAAGAATGTTAGTCCAATTATTGATCTTTTGCTCAGTTTGATCATCCCATTTTGTATTGTCTTTATTGCCAATATATTCATATTAGCTAATGTTCACCGAGTCAAACGACGTGTCATACGCATTCGACGTCGAAAACGAGCCAGTCGAAATGCTCGTTTAAGTATTGTACTTCTCGCCGATCTGATTACATTTCTCATTGTAAGTTTACCCGTTCTTCTAGTGGAATGTATATATCGTTTTACTCGAACACGTATGCGAGATGAACGGTTCGAGAACTACCTATGGATAGCATGGTTAATCGCAAGTAAAATGATTTATTTGAATTATTCTTTATCCTTTTACTTCTACGTGTTAACATCATCGTATTTTCGCCATCACTTTCTTCTTGCCATCCGGTGTAAGAAACTTCATGCGATACTTTTTCGAAAGCCGATTGGAAAAAAGTCGCATCAGAGCTTTCCGTCAACAGATTATTTTTCTAAACATCGCTCAAGTCACATATCCGGTTCATCGAAGCTGATGAACAAAACACATGAATTCAATTTTCTCTTGCAACCTCATCAGTCGGAAATGTTGACACATGTGTCAACGATGATCAATGATTCCAATTTCATTCACGAAAATCGACGAACATCAGATGGGTTATCTCATGTTTAAGAAAAAAGATGCAGATTTTGTTATTATATTTGAACTTACAATTTTCCCATGTTTTGTAATTGTTTAAACGAAGAAAAAAAAAGAAATCTTTAATAAACATGTGAGTAAAAAGAACAATAGTCGTGATTGATTCGATCTCCCAAGAGAACATCATAGACTCAACATATTTTTTCACTCACATTGTGTTTTCTGACGTGATGTTTTAAAGGTCACTTCAGGCATAATCTTGATCGCACTGTGTAGATATAGCCTGATACAACAGTCTTTTCTAAATAATTGACGTTTCTTTCTTCTCTAGATGAGCCATTGATGCTTTCGAATATCTCATTAGCTTTGTCTAAAATTATTCACTGGAATTTATGTATAGATGTTAAAATGTGATGTACTTTAAACCTCTGTTCCTATTGAGTACTTCGCTTGTTGACATTTTCTATGATTGGAGGGTATGGCAGCCTCGCACTCTATGTTGGCGACAAGAAAAAGAACAAGTGTTTGTTTGAAAAGCTGAATATATTTAGTTTGTGCAAACATAGATATCTGTTCTTTTTTAAGATAACGATCGAGATATAAGTACTCTTGTTCTTTTTTTATTCTTCAGTGTGAACAAATTATTTTCTAATATTACTCGAGACGAAGAGATCATGCAGTGGCAAATTTTCTTTTTCTTTCTTGTTGGTTACTCCTCGGCGCTTAACAATGGTTTAGGAAGAACGCCCCAAATGGGTAAATCGACAGATAATTTCGAACAATTTTCTATCGGAATCGATGTTGTTTTAGGATGGAATAGTTGGAATCATTTCGCATGCGATATAAATGAAAAGTTGATCCAACAAACGGCAGATACCATCGTTGCGACTGGTCTTGCTGCAGCTGGATATCAATACGGTTGGTGCTCTATTCCACTATTGCCATCCGACTAATTTTCGATTTTAGTGAATTTGGATGATTGTTGGCAAGTGAGCCGAGATGCTCAGGGATTCATTCAACCGGATCCGAAAGCTTTTCCAAGTGGAATACCAGCTTTGGTAGATTATGTTCATTCAAAGAAGCTTAAATTTGGACTCTATTCTGGTACTTTCACGATTTCGTTAAGCTATGTTCTCGGAAACAAATAAACCTAAATAATTTAGATGCGGGATTTAAAACATGCGGAGGACGACCAGCTTCATTAGGCTATGAAACAAGAGATGCAAATACTTATGCACACTGGCAAGTTGATTATTTAAAATATGATAATTGCAATACCGATGAAACAATACCAGAAGTTCGATATCCGGTGATGAGAGACGCTTTGAATGCGAGTGGACGATCGATATTCTTTTCAATGTGTGGTAAGTTCTGTCTAGGATCGTTAACTTTCAATTTTGTAATCGATGACTAGAATGGGGTGTTGATAAGCCGGCTTTATGGGCAGCAAAGGTTGGAAATAGTTGGCGAACAACTGGAGATATTTCCGATCGATGGGACTCCATGCTTGGAAATATTGATACCGTAAGAATATATTATTGTTGATCCAATTAAGAAATCAACGGAAATATTTTTAGAATAATGAATTTGCTGATTTCGCAGGACCTGGCGGTTGGAACGATCCTGACAGTAAGTAGAATTTACTGATTTTTCCATCACTTGATAATCTACGTTTGAATTGATATCTTCTTAGTGCTTGAAGTTGGTAACGGTGGTATGACCGATGCGGAGTACGTCACGCACTTTTCTCTTTGGGCTATCAGTAAAGCACCTCTCATTATTGGATGTGATGTGACAAAGATGAGTGCTGCTACTCTATCTACATTGACGAATCCCGAAGTCATTGCGGTTAATCAAGATCCTCTAGGTATTCAAGGAAAGAAAGTTGCTTTTGCTTCATCAACATCCCCTAATGCAACTGCTGGAGTCAGTGTTGTCGATTGTTCTCTATCATCATCACGCATTGAGCCTAAAATTCGTCAATGGACTTACAATTATCAAGACGGATCCATCCGCTCGCTTGTTGATGGACGATGCTTAACTATTGATCGTTGTGATACGCAAGAAGCTGCAAATATCGTTTTGAGTGCGTGTCGTATCAATGATCCTCAAGCACCCTGTCAAGGTAAAAATCAACAGTGGATAATCAATTCAACGACACAAAGCATTGTTTCACAAATGGATGGAAAATGGTAGCTTTCTCGTTGCAGTTTTTCTCTTTTTATCGTTTCTGTTCTTGTAGTTTGGATGTCTACAACTTCGACGGGCCAAATGTCGATGCCTTCACATGCAATAATCAAGATAATCAAGCTTGGATTTGGAATGCTACGGATACATCATTACGTAGTAAACATAACGGAAAGTGCTTGACTATTCAACCAGAAATTGAAATCTGGGCTGGACCACTATCATATGGTTCACAAGCTGTTATTCTTTTCAATCGTTCAGGAGGTAGTAGTGAACCAATCACAGTTAGGTGGACGGACATTGGATTTCCAAGTGATCATGCTGCGACTGTTCGAGATTTATGGGCAAGAAAGACTCTCGGCACATTTACGGGAAGTTTTACAGCACTGAACGTCAACCTGCATGCGGTTATGATGCTTAACATAACTCTTACACAGTAGAATTCTTCTAAATTGAATTCGTTTTACAGCATATTGAATCAATTTGTGATAGATTGAATTTAGCGTTGATAAAACTTTCGTAATATTTTCTTAGATTGTAATTTCTTATGCAAATAAATCCAATTGTCGCCTACACTTGTCCATCGAAATTCTATTAGGAATAGATTCGAGTACATATATTTCTAACTTTAGAGTAAATAATGGCCTGTCTCTTTGAACGCTACACAATTCTCTTCTTATTCGTCGAAATCATCATGCCAATGTCTTATTTGATAAATTCATATTATTTCATCTTGAGAGACATGTCAATCAAAATGAATAATCATTGACATCGAAATTCTTTTTAGAGTGACACAGTGACAAGACACGAATTGTTCATAAAAAGCAATCATGTGTTCTTCGATTACTTTTTCATCTTTATATAATTGATGACTTTGTTTTTACTTGCCCAAAAAAAAAGAAGAGTTCTTTTTCTTGTTGGAAAGATATGTAAATCATGCTTTTATTCACCGATTGATCGACAAAATCTAAACTCGACACATCGTGTACCATTTTTTACATATATGCAAATGCGATCGTAGGTCTTGTTCTTTTCGTGAGAATGCAAATAGATCAAAAACGGCAACAAATGTTATTCTAAAATCCGAGTGTGAATAAAGCAAGGTTAATTCGACTTGACAAGTGGTCCTGGAGGACAATGTCATTGTTTACTGTAGTGACCTAATTTGTGAATTTCTGTGGAATAATGAAGAAAAGACAAATGTCGTTGTTATGGTGTAGATAAATTTGAAAAATACTTGTACTTATGTCATAAAAAAAGGAAATTTTCATCAAGAATGTTTTATAAAAAAACATGTTGAAGCTCGTTATGTATTCTCGGATTTACATTAAAGGCTTATCTGTGCTTAACAATAATGGGGCTCATTAATAAATGTTCCTTCTTTTCTTCTTGTATTGCTAAACAAAGAAAATCACTCGTTATTTCATTGAACAAACGTTTTTATGTCGAGTGGCAGAACGTCTGCTACAGACGGTGGTGAAGATTCGCCTCAGCATTATTCGACTGTCACAAAAGCAATTCATTTCACCACAAAATTAACATTGAACAATGACGGAAAAAACTCACCTTCACAACAATATCTGCAACATGAAAAGCATGCACTACATGACGGACAATATTCCACTACAGATATTCACGACAGGTATGTTTCAGCTTTTCTTTCTTGGATTAATCAAAAATAAGACGAATGACATATGGAAGTCAATACTGAGCTTCAACGCGTTGGGTTCGAAGAGTTGTTTCCACTCTATCACCAAGCAGCAGAATTTATTGGAAAAAAAGAAAGTTTGCTTGTTAACTAGTGCCATCTATGTTGCACATACAATGCAGTGATGTTTGAGGATTCTACCTTGCCAATTCTGTTGAAAATGGCTGCTTTATTTAAACTACCTATCAAACAAGGAGTAATAAGTTACGAATTGAATCTTTTTCAAACTAATGATCTGTCATTTGTCTGCGTTCATCTGAGAAAATGAATCCTAACGCACCATCAAAAGCAACCGCAGGTGGTGGTGCGAATCAAACTCGAGGAGATCAAACCGCAAGGTGGATTGAGATTTTCTTTCCAACGGTCGAATTGCTTATGCTTATTTATGATTTAGATCGGTGGATAGCAGAAAACATCGTTTGGCGCCAATCTGGCCGGAGTGGAATGACGCCGATGTGAATGCTGAATCGTGGGAAGTTGGAAGTGGAAAAAAGAAAGAAACAGGAGCCAATCGAGCACGTGTTGATACAAAATCAGCGAGCGTAGGAGTAGGAAAAATCGACTTTTATGAAGATAGATCATGTGAACATGCATAATTATGTAGGGTACCCACGGATTCGAAGATCCGGAAGGCAAAATCGAATTACCATCAACATTAAAAGCTGATCAATGGAAAAGACCAGTGGATTTTCTCCCACCTGAACGAGTGAGAGACTGTTCTGATCTAGTTTATGACAGTATTCAATGAAATGAAATCTTTTCTAGCCACCAGTGATTGTTGATGTCGATCAAGGCATGCAAAACTTTGATTTAGTCACACCAAACGAACATTTACATTTCAATGATGTAAAGACACACACTTTTTTGATTTGGTACCATTATATTTGCTTTTTCTTTTAAATCCGAAGACTATGCGCAACATTATCAGTCAGATCACTGCTCTATGGGATATTTGTCGACGGGAACGAAAATCTACCGGTGGACCAGACAATGTACCGGAACAAAACGCAGCTGTTTTAAGCGGTCGAACTTGGCGTCCTTGGGTTTGTTCTCTTCATGGTAATAAATCATAAGTTCTATCGTTGCTCATCTTTCAGGAACATATCTATGCTTTAAACAAAGTATCGAGACAACCATTCGTTACACCCTACAATCCAGCAGGCAAATATGTCATTCGACTCTTCTTTCTGGTTTGTTTCGTTGAAAGATATCCGAATGATTTTGATTTGTTCGTTGAAACTAATAGGGCACCTGGCGAAAACTTGTCGTTGATGATACAATTCCGTTTGATTCAAAAAACCGATGTCTTCTACCACAAACATCTCTATCACATGAACTATGGCCATTGCTTTTATCGAAAGCTCTACTAAAAATCATATCTCTCGAGTAAGGATAAGTTTACATTTTGTTCTACATTTCGAGTCTCATTGTCTTCGCAATTTTAGTTATCGTTCACCGATTAGCAATCCTCCGTCGAATGAAACAAGTATTATTCATACATTCACTGGATGGTTACCTGAACCGATTCCGTTAAAGTAAGATAGGACAAACTCATAAAGAAGAAACAAATGTTCCTCTATTTCTTAGATATACTCACGCTGAGAAAGTGTGGGATTTTCTTCGTAATAATCGTTCGAATAAACTCGTAACAGAAAATGAAACGAACAAATCTGACCACCCGCCCACTAGTCCATTGCCAACATATGGTCCCGTGCCGCTATACAAGTGGCCCGAACCAAAAACTGAAATAACAGAAGAAGCGCCATCGTCACAATCCAATGTAAGATTAATCAGTTTAATAATCTTCGTTTTGCTTCAACTATGTTGCTTTGCTATTTCAAGGAACAACCAGGTCATCAGGATGACACTGCCACAGAAACTTTAACGAAGAAATCCGACGAAAAAAGTACGAAAAAAGGAGGCGCACCAGTTGGTTTAACTGTACCAAAAGATCCGGCAACGAAAACAACTGTAGGAAAAGAAAATCGAACAGGTAAGAATCAACTAAAAATGAAGTACAATTTAAATAAGGATTTCGATTATTGAATAGGTAAAGATTCGAAACGACTCGGCGGTGCTGGTCGAGGTGGTACAACCGACGATTCGGGTTCAATTATCGACGATCAAACAATACCCGAAGCACCGAAAATGATCGTTTTCGCGAATATACCTCAATCGCCATCAGCGCGTATCAGTGCCTACGGTGAAGTAGCCGATCGTAGTGAAAAATTGAGACGTTATAATTTGAACGATACTTTTTCGACAACAATGTTATTAACAACCATTCGAGATATTCCATTAGATCCACCACCACCACCTGAATACATACCACCATGGAAACTGATCCGGCCGAAGAAGCCCAAAGTTTTGCCACATGCTGAACCGTTTAGTAGGTCAAATCAGTAAAGAACTTTGAAATAAACTTGCTTGACTTTTAGCACCTCATGAGCCCAAACCAGATCGATGGATTGAAATTACTTCTCCGTATATAAACTATCCTTCTCCAAGTGCTTTAAACATGTACGTGTATAACAATGGTTATTTTCACTTTTCTTTCTAATTCCATTTAATTTGTAACCAACTAAAACAGAAGACCGACGATTCGATTGCATATGATTGATAGTTGCATTACGTACGAGTTTGATTTTTATATGTGCATGTTCTCTTCGTTCTACTAGTTGCTTTTGCTGTTGTATTCAGATCTTATTCTTAGACACCTTGTTTTTAAATACTTTTTCCATTTGATGATCTTGACTTTTGTCTATAGGAACATCCATACGCCTCCTCATGGCACAACGTCACGATTGAGTCATTCAGCAACGCATTCGACAGTCGTTGATGTACCTGATATAATTGAGGTTGATGAAGATGAAGATGGTGCGCACGTGGAATCGAGAGTAGATTACGATATTGACCAAGGAGATGCGCATAAAAAAGAAGAAACCATTTCACCGTCGAAAGAGGTTTGACACACACTATTAGAGATTGTTTGTAGATCGAAAAAGTTGTTTTTTATTTTGTTTTAGATACCAACCACTGATACACCAGATATCATGGACGAATCCCTGCGTAGTGCAGGTGGTAAACTTCGAAGAGAAAGATCTGCTGATAAAAATAAAGTAAATTTCCTCCCTTTTTGTTTAACTTATTTCGCCTATCTTCGTCTATTTAGAATAATCGAAAATTGACAAGTAGTAAAATTGAAGTACCATCGGCGAAAGCACCGTCTGATGCTGTGTCCGTAAAGAGCAGAGGTATGCAATTTCTCTAGTAAAGTTTCCTCAAATCTTTCATCTTGTTTTCAATTATTCAGCCGGTGAGAGTGAACCAACTGGAACACAAGTCGATGCACCTGGAACAGGAACTGCGACCAATCCTGAACAACAAGATTCGCAGTCGAAAACGAATGATGCGAATTCCGGTCCAAAGATGGCTCAACCGATGAAAAAGACATATACAACACCAAAAATCTGGATGGATTTCGATGATTTCTGTTCTTGCTTTACATCAATTGTCGTTTATCATAATCCTCGCGGTTATCAATATTCTCATAAACATACCGAATTGAAGGTAAAGAAAAACATTCCTTCGAGCAAATCTTTTTGTCGATTATCGTACGAAATGAAAGTAAAAGAAAATGATGAACATATATTTGTTTTTAGTATCTTGCAGCTCATCAGGTAATTCAAGGCTTTTTGACATGCTGAAAGAGGAACTCAATATGCTTCTTGTTCTTATATACATTCATATAACTATGTGTCTATTTAATCCATAATTATATATTATGTGCTTTTTTTTCTTGTTCAAACGAATTTTATACTCATCTAGAATAATATCACACTTGAATTGAAAGTATATGTTGTGAAATGATATTCAATGAGTTCTTTGTTTTAGCCGGCAGTTACTTCTGTAACAAAAGAAAAGAAGAAAGATCCAAATCCACCCGCGTCTCAACAAATACCCGTAAGTTTATCATCTTCGTCTTTCACTCTTGTCTAAATTCTCTTCAATATAAATCACAATCAGAATCTTCAAGATGAAAAATCACCACTATATTTATTCGTCGATAGTACACGTGAATCATTAGGCAAAAACATAGAATTAATCGTCGGTTTGACATCATTATCACGTTGGCATGATTCTGGTCAACCTGATGCAACGGGTCCCACTGCGCCAGGTATACCGACAATACCGGAAAAAGGTGGACGTAATACAGGTTTATCAACGGATCGAGGGCCAACCGAACTTAGTCCAGCACGTGGTAAACATCGGCAAAGTGTTTTCGAAACACCTCAAACACCAGCTCCTCATGTTCTCGCACATGATCCAAATCCACCTGACAATAATCCTACACCGCAGAAAGATAGTGTTTCCCAACCAGGTTTACTTATTGCAGAAATCCATTCATGGAAATCAGTCTCGATGGGTCAACCGATTCTTCGTCTGCATACAACAGCAACAAAGGCCGCTTTACTTACACTACCACCTGGGTAAGAAACATAAATACTTTAACATATCCGTTCCTTGTTCAAACAAGCACCTTCTCGTGATTATTTAGACGACATGTACTGAAATTCACTGTAACATGCCCGTTAGCTTCTCATCTGCAAATCATGTCTGATACGCATGATTTTACATTCGGAGACGAAGATCAGTTATTGTCAAAAGTTGTTTCTGTGCCTGTGAGTCTTGCGCATCTCATTTATTGACTTGTGTTATTTTTGAATTTATCGTCTTTAGGAAGATGCAGAGTTTATCGCACGCGCAGAAGAATTACTTTACGCTCTTGATGAATCTATTCAAAATTTCAATGACATGGATCAACAGGATGGCAAACTCAATGAACTGTTTCGTACATACTGTCAATACGCACCGGAATCAGCAAATTTAACTATTCAGAAATGTTGGAGAGCGTTCAGCGACGCAATCTACGCTACCCTACGCACACTTCTGCATAGTGCTGGACAAGCATTGAACACGGAGACTCAATATGCTTGGCGATGCTTTACGAATGATCTGGCAACACCAGACATTATGGGTGCTTACGAAACACGGCAACGTAAAGAACACCTAACGAGAGATACTTCATAAACGTTTTTTCTTTTCAAGATAACATTAATATTACCAGAAGTTCTGCTCGACCGTCAAATGTAGCTCTACCGGGAAATCCTATGCCGACTGGAGCGTCAACCGCAGGAAAGAAAGGAGGTGGAAAAGACAAAGGGGGTGCCGATGACAAAGCAGCTGGTAAACAACAAACAGCACTAACTGCATCGTTGTCAGCAACCGAAATGCAAGGTAGAAAATCGTTTTATATCCCTTGATTTCGTTCAATCTGTTTGGAAAAAACCACTTCTAGAAGAACCTATTTCGGAATGGCTAACCCGAGAGTTATCAGCCACCGAAATGGATGCGATTATTAATATTCAGAAAAGTGCGCGAGGATATTTACAACGACGAATATTGAATGCTCGCACACCAGGTACAGAAAGAAATCTACTTATACAACGAGCATTACAATCCACAATGACAGCCTTAAAAAATGATGCGACGAAATCAGCTATTGTTCTGTTTCGGTAAGGACTAATGTCATTTGGTTCTAAGTAAAAACACATTTCATAATGTTTTCTTCTATAAGGAATCTACTGAGTATCAAACCAGAATTGATACAATGCTTTGCATTTCGTAATGATGATTGGAATATGGTAACTTATCGAGATTACCATGGACAACATCAAGAACAGCCGGCGAATACTTGGTTTACACTCTTTCGGTACAAATTCTGCTAGTTTTGTCGAAAATTCTGTGTGAAAACCATACTTCTCGTTTAGAGAAATATTCTATGCTACTGAATCTAGTTTTGTTGCTGCTAGACTTCTTGCTCATGCACAAAACTCGGTTCTTCGCGTGATCAACAATGATACATACCAGGAAATGTCTCTCATATTTAATCGACTAGCTCCAGCAACCTTTACAAAAAATAAAGTAAAACCGATCTGTTGTTAACTGCAAACGAATTTTTAAATGTTACCTTATTTCTTGAATAGCTTGGTTACACATTTTTTGCTGAAGGAGTCACATTGGATCAACCGTTAGTCAACAACCGTTATCGTCTTCGTTTATTAACATCATATGCACATTTACCAGAGCCACGTAGCGACCAGTTGACATCGGCATTTGTGACCAAAGAAAGTAAAGGATATTATGTTCCAAACAAAGATCAAATTATATGCAGGTAAGTTCAGATCGCGTATATAAACAACATACATTTTACTGAACTCGAGACAAGCATAGAGAACTCGTTTGTTTAGATATCGGGTGATTGTTGGTGAAGATATTAATCAAACTGGTCGTAATTTTCATTTGGCCAGTATTCAATTTAGTACATCGAAATCTGATGTCTTAATGCGCTTAACTGTCTTAGATGGTAAAGAAGAAATGGTTCGTGTTGAAGGCAAAGGCAGTATCGTTTTACCCGCTGTGTTATTCTTACGCGATGTTACGAATACGGTAAACACTGCAGTACAAGCACCATCGCTACCAATGCCTCAAATCTCGACGCCAACAACAGCAACAACAACGGCACCCGCGCCATCGAGACCAGCATCAAAAACTGGAGGTGAGCTTTACCAGAAAACGACCTAAATTGTATATTTTCTTTCTGTGTTAATATAGGCAAGAAAGATGGTAAGGGAGCAGGCGGAGCACGAGGTAGTATTAGTGAGGCAACTCCACCACCGACGGCTGCTCGACCTGAAAAAGAAAAAATTGGAAGCGGAAAACGAAGTGTAAGTCAATCTTTCCATACTTTCAAATCAATCATTTATTTTGTGTGATTCTAAATTGTTTTCATCTAGTCAAATCATAAGAAAAAACATATTCAAGTGAATGAATATCTATCTATTGTTTCCTATTTTTTGCGGACTTTCTTTTATCTATTCCCTGCATGTTTATATCAGCCCTTCCATTCACCGATGAACTCCACCTGACATTGGACAGAAACATAATATTTTCTTATTTTTTCTAGCGGTCAAGCAGTCGAGCAGGCGTTGTAACAGAAGAAGAGGAAAAGGTAGGTGGACATTTCCCTATAATTGATTGATCCAACACAGTAGATGATATATCTGTTAGATTCATAAGTATATCATTCAAGTCACACTACTTCGTAAGTCATGGCCATTAACAGCAACACAGTGGCAGTTCGTCGAACAACTCAAAGAACAAGAAAAGAATGATTTAAAAGGTAAGAAAAACTTTCGTTTTCTCCACTTCAAGTCAATAACATGTGGATTTAATTGAGTGTAGTCTTCAAACAGCCAACAGCAGCCAAACCAGATGGAGCTGCAGCTGGAGCTGCTGGTACAACAGGTGCAAATACCAAACGAGCAGGTCAGACAGGTACGGGTGCTGCAGCAGCGGGTAAAGGAAAAGGCGTTGCAGCTGCTGCCGGTGCAGGTAAAGGTAGTACGGGTACATCCGGTCGACCAGGAACAGGAAAAGGCACGACTGAAAAGCCAATTGACAGCACGAAAGCACATTGGATATTACGTGTTGTTTGCGATGCTGATAAATCTGTATGGAAACTCATTGTTTTCTTCCTAGTTTTCTGATTTCGTTCTGTATAGGACGAATTAACTATTAAGAAGGATAATGAACGAAATGATGAATTGATCAACACTAAAAAAGCCTGGGAAACATTAGAGGCCGGTCGTGCTCAAAAAGCAATGCAAACACGACAAAAATTTCTCGATTCTCTACAACCAAAAGCCGAAGAAAGACCTTTATCTGCGGCAACAGACGGTACAACAAAACCACTTGAAGCGCAACCCGATGACAAAACAGTTGCTACGACTACTACTGCAGCTGCTGCTGCTGCACCTTCTACAGTTCCACCACCTGCTGAACAACAGCCTGTTACCAAACAGCCTCCTGCTACGACAACAAAGAAGGGTGCATCTTCAACTGGAACTAAGAAAGGCGCTGCGAAAGATGAAGCAGCTAAACAAGCCGAATTAGCAGCCGCTGCAGCACAACAAGAAGCTATGCCAGTACTTCCTCCATTGCCGGCAGTCGATGAACCTCTTCTTGACCAACCACCAATAACAAAACCGAAAATCATCTTACCACCATTGGATATTAAACCTTTCACAAAGTAATTCTACTCGATAGTCAAAAAAAGAATACGAAATATATCGGACTTCTTTGTGCTTTTAGACAAAAGCTATCAGGCGATGAGGCCGTCGTAGTCGATCCATTATTTGAACAGGAAGAGCTACGACGTCGTCAAGCTGAATTTCTCGAATACGCGAAATATGCTGATGAAATACGTCAATTCCGTACTGAAGATCAAAACAATCGTTATAAAGAAAAAATCCGTCAACTGGAAGAGTACGTTGATTTACAAGGCAAAATCGATCAATTTCGTCGCACAGTTAACGAACCACGTGAAGCATTTCGACAACGTTTTCTTGAAGTTGAACGCAAACGTCTAGCTGAGTTAGCTGCTAAAGAACAAGAACTGATAGCTGCAGCTGAAAAGAATAAACCACCACCGACAGACAAAGGCAAAAAAGGTAAAGGAAAAGGTTCAGCCGGAGCGAAAGGCAAGAAATGATCTTCTTTTTTTGTACGATTATTTTTTTTCTTAATTTTTGATTTTTAAATAAATCCATGCAGCAAAACTCAAGAGAAAATATCATTTTATTGATACATAAATATTAACATATCAAATAACCACCGGTTTCTCAATCAAAGTGGGAAAATTTCATCATCTTCACGATTATAGCTATTCAGTATGTCTTTAGCGACAGTTATTGGCTTCATTTCGTCCACAAAGAAAATTTTGAGAGAAATTTCAACAACAATTCGAATAAAAACTCGAAGCCGATGAAAGTCTTCCTAAAGTTACGCTTATCCGATCGAATAGCATGTCACATTTTACCTGAATATTCCCAGACCTAGTATCTGTAAGCAAACCAATGGAATCGAGGTATAGACTATCAATTATACTATAGCCAAGCCAACCAGCCGACCGTCATTGAGAATCCGAATCCATTAAACAAGGAATGATTAGGATAATGCGATTCTCAGCATATAGTAATCTCTTTTTACAGTGAGGCGAACTTTGATATTTAAACGTCATAAAATAATAAACAGCCGCGGCATTCTCTATCCCATTAGCGCATACGGATGGAGAAACTTTCGTTCCCTCTTCTCTGTCCATCCATACAGGAACACCTTTCTCTGTTACATAGTGATGAACTTGTAGAATTACCTTTTGAACATCTCTACTGTGCAAAAAACATCACGTGTTTGTCAGGTGAAATATTAAACGCTTCCATGGTAAATAAAACAACTTTTGAAAAACACAGCAGATTTATAAATAAGACCTTCAAGACTCAATGATCATCAATAGAAGAAATTGCCCAACGATTTTCAAAATTTAGAAGATCAGTGGTGAATAAAAAAGTGTCAATATGATTCAAATATCACACAAGTAGAGAAAAACAGCCATACAATGCTCATAATGACAACGATGAAAATACAAATGATAAAAAATAATTTCATTCACTGTTTATTCGAAATCACATTGCACATTTCAAATCTATTCTTTCTCCTCGAAACTACCTGTATAAGCATCGAGTATTTTGCTTTGATTGTATGTCATCCAATGTGGACCAAAATATTATTGTAGAAAACTTTCAAGAGACAAGTTAAGATGAAAGCAATCATTCTTTGATTGCGATGCTCTACTGCTTGCTGAAATGTTCAAGTGAGAAAGAAATGCATAAGTTCCATTGTACATATAAAAAATTTTGATTTGTGTACAAAGTCTGAACTCTGTAATCATACATACGTATCCCTTCTATATGAATTCATCTCTGGTATGATTGATCATATAGAAATCGAGTGCCTGTTGTGTTAAACATCACCAACAAAAGAATCTATTTGATGATTTCGAAGAAAAAAAATCTCATCGCGACTTGTTCTTCCCTCGATGTTGTAAATGGTAATTGAATATATGCAGCTTGTCTTTTCTCGTTATTGAATATCAAATCCGAAGAGAATACAATTGAATGATGTAATAGACTCATTAAAAGTTCAGAAATCAGAACATCGAAAAGTCATGGATGAGAATGATATTGATTTACCTCGATGTGTATAGAATGAAGAGTTCTATTTGATTAAAATATATTAAGACTATAGCTGTTGATACGATGGCAATTGAAAGGATGTACGTGTGAATCGAATGCTTAAGATTGTTTTTCTTCTGATGCGAATATTGAACACGTAGATGAACTTGAAAGAAGTTCATTTACATCTTGATCATTTCATTCTGAATGAACTCAGACGATAACGGCAAGTGTTCTCTATCTCATCCATCGTTCTCTCCGTTTTTTCAATTGAAAATTTTTTATCGACTGGTGTATATGACCATTAATCAAGTAGATTTTATTGTTCTTTAGATTAATAAATATTTATACACACAGACACTGCTGTACCGAAACAGACAGTTACTGAAGCGCATTGATTCAGCTCTGTGTATATGGGAGATTTATGAACAAATGTTCGTTGTTTAGACGACAGCATATACAAAAGAACGAGAAGAAAAAATTCATGAATTGTTGAAGGTACTGTGATGTCCGACTACTTCTCTTCAATGTTTGCCATCACTACTCTTCACTCATTCTTGAAGGTGTGAATGAAATTACCTAGACTAATATATATCTCATGAAGTCGCATAGGTTTCTATTCCTTTTGTTTACAATCGAAAGTTATATGGCCAATTCCGTATCCTTTGATGGTAATTCGCATGTACTTTCCTCTGATAAAGTGTTAGACTTCTCTCTTTCCTAGACAATTGTTCCGGTCGATGGCAACTTGTTGATAAATTAAATATTAAAATAACATTCGATTGGCAAATTTATTCCGAGACAAATAAATTTATTACAGAATTTCGAGCCAATCATGTCAAAGAAGGTTTTTGGTACGGTTTCGGCTTTTCCTCGTCCTCGAATGGAACCGTATGTTACGTAAATCCTTGCATATGACTTTCCTTTTACAACTAATTTGCATGTAGAACGAAAATTCGGTTTACGTTCTCCGGCGAAGAGAGAACGAGTCCGAGATCTTTTGGGATATTTATAATGTCACACAATCAGATGTGATCGTGATAGATCGGGATAATTCGTCACTGGTTACATTTCAGCCTGTGTCTTCGTCAGGGCTATTGACCGTTCAATCCCAAATAGATGAACAAGAATGCTCTTACTTCGTTTACATGCGCGGAAGATTTTTAAATGATAAACCACTGTTACCAGATGAAATTCGTTCCAACCAATCACTATGCCTTACTTGTCAACGTAAATTACACTGTCCAATGTTTTCATTAGTCTATTCTTTTTATTTGAAGGACTGAGTTCTATATCAACTATGTTACCTAGTTCGATCGATGCTACAACTGACAAAGTACCAGTACCGACTAGTGATTATGCGTCCACCGTCACCCCGACGAACTCTCGACAAGGTTACGATAAACGTATAGATAAGTTAAAAATTGCATGACAGTGTTTGTAGAAGTCAACTTCATTTGGTTTGGGAGAATCCTCAACCGATCATGGTCAACAGACTATCGCACTCTGAACTCCGTCTCCAGTCAACAGCTACGTCTTGACCTTCAAAATTTTGTAAATCATATTTATTATTGGTTACGCTTTGTTCTTATCAATTTCTACTTTTCCTTTAGTTTCTATTACTAATTAGTTCGACTTCACCACTATTTATTTGTCAACAATTCGAACTTCTTTCTCTGGAGTAAGTGAGAGTTCGAAGGAAAAAGGATGAAAACTTTCCTTCCATTACAGATCAGGTTCAATACTCTTTGCAAGTAATATTTCTCTCATTTCAAATCTATCTCGACATCAAACAATCCATCAAATACAAAATCTAATCAATACAGTCAATAATTCCAAACATGATCGACTCCACTTCGACTCTTCTGCACACACTCTCAAACCTGCAAGTCAAATCAGTCAACTCGATCANTTTGTCTCCTCATTCCTATTCATTTCTCCTTGCCATTACAGATCAGGTTCAATACTCTTTGCAAGTAATATTTCTCTCATTTCAAATCTATCTCGACATCAAACAATCCATCAAATACAAAATCTAATCAATACAGTCAATAATTCCAAACATGATCGACTCCACTTCGACTCTTCTGCACACACTCTCAAACCTGCAAGTCAAATCAGTCAACTCGATCACCTATTCAAACAGTATTCGTCCTCTACCGACATGAACTTTCCAAAACAAGCACAGTGTACATTCATCTCTTCCTTCTAGTTTGTTTCAAATATTGTTTTGTTGATTTTCATCTAGTTGATTCAACATTCCATTTGCTTGTCGGTTGCATTGTTGGAGTCGGCCTTCTGATGACAGTGATCACCACCATCCTCTGTCTGTATGGCTACTACAAGTGTCGACGACGACAGTTTCGACACTACACCGAACAACAAACAATCAAGTTCAAAACGGATATTGACTCGTACACGTGGCTCGGACAACAGCCGTCCATTAGCTGTTCTTCGCCCTATTTGATCCAGTCAACTTCTATTTAACTTTCTCCCTCGTTCTCTTCTCTCTTCTACTCACCTTGAACTACACAAAGAACTAATAGTGAAGGATTTTGATCGAAAAGAAAAAAACTCGAAATGTAGTTTGTCATCTATATGTCGTCTGCAATCAGTCGAATAGAACTGATGCTTCGCGACTGTGCATATATATACACACACATACACGCTTTACAAGAGTGTGTGTATGTTGAGTCAACAGCTATTACATAGAGTGTATATGTGTGCGGCTTTTTTCTTGATATGTCATCAGAACTTAATTGTTAGTTATTCATCATACATATCATCGAATAGATGCATGTGTGCTTTCACTGAATTGTACGAGATCTGGTTCTGCGTTTGACTGATTATGCAGTAAAATTATAACAAGATCAAGTTTCCTTATCAGTCGACAGCTATATCTATGTATACATGTGTATGAGAGCAAATTGGTTTAACTAGTTTCACTTGTCAATACTCGATCAATATTTCAATCTAGTCTTTTCCTCGCTCTCTCTCTCTCTCTCATTTGTCAACCTTGATTATTTGTTATTATTTTCATATCCACACTTGTCTTTTGCTTATTTCGTTAGCTTCATCTTACTCGATTGAAATCGAAGTATATATATATACATGCACACATATACAGACAGTCATCATTGAAGAATGTGATTATAGAGATTTGAATGTTGTTGTTATTGTTGTTATAGTAAAAAATGCGGGAAGAAAGAAGAAACGCCGCAGTATGTCCAATATGCACGGAGAACAGACACACTCGCACATATACAAATACCTTTTTATTATCAACATGGTTGAAGTGAAGTGGAGGGTAATTCGAAACCGTGTACACACATTGGTTTCTCTCTCTCTCTCTCTCTCTCTCTTGCTCTGCCTAATTCGATACATTTCTCATTGTGAGATCGTTTCTTGTTTCTGTAAAAATTTATTCGTCATGATGATCGCCGTCGCCACCGTGTTGATCGGCAGAGTGGGCGGTGATGCGACTAAGCCGATTAACAAAGTTTAGA